TTTACTACATACACATATATTATAAAAGGTCAAAGTTAGGTGAATTCAAAATATAGAAATTAGCCTCAAATAAAAGGAAAACAAGATTTCTTTCCATAACCGATTGAAATCGCGCCTCACCAGTTTTCCTCACATATCTGAATGCTGAAAATTAATATTTCCACAGCGTGTAGCCACAAACGTTTCTGTCGTAAAGTCAGTGCAGAATTTTATTATGCCCATGCAAAAGAAAAAAACATAAAAGCCATTTTATGATATGATTAGCATATGTTGCATAAACTCCAACGACGGTAGAGGCTCCGGCAAGTCTACCAATAGTCTTAACTGGTTGTATGCTTGAGTAGCCATCCATGCAGCACCAGATGTGCGCTTCCTGATAGACCTACACGTTTTGTCGAGGTAAAGCAACAAGTTAAACTGCAGGTTGTGTGATTTTCTTTGTGAAAAACACAGGGTAATGGATGCAGGGTAATTGGAGGAGTATTGTGCAGTTCAATTACCATAAAGTCATTGTAAACACAAGAAAATATGCCAGCCCGACCACTCTGCGTTTGTAACTCAACAAACGCGAACCTCTAGTTGAGTGGTCGGGCACAACCCGACCACTGTCTAGAATTGTTCCGATTAATCTTTCTTTCTTTCTTTCTTTCTTTCTTTCTTTTTCCGGACAATAATTCTCCACGACTTTACTCCTAAACCGTTCAAGATATAAACTTGAACTTCGAACACATATCGACCCTGATCCCGAGAAGTGCGTATTGTCCTGACGTCATGATTACGTCATCGGGTATCAAATTACAAGCAATTTAGTGTTTCTATTTTTTTTAATCATTACAAATCGATATAAAATCAACCGTGAGAGACCGGAACTTGTTTTTAACGGCAGTCAATAGAATAATACTGGGTCTTCAATTTACTTCGTGGGTGTCAAATCATACGACCCTTACTTCCAGTCTAAACCGGTCGAACCCGGAAGTGCCTTGTAATTTTAAAATGGTAAAAGATATGAACGTGCTTTCAACGATGTTAGTCTTCGGCAAGAAAGTACTTTTCGAGACTGTAACATGGAATATTAGAGCGCCCTCTAGCGGCGCTAAAATGTTGAAAAATGTCCAAAATGCATTTGAACAGATGTCTGTGGCGAAGTTTGCTGTAATCTTTTGAAAATTGGTATATATGATGACCTTCATGCAAACAACACATGTGTGAAGTTTGAAGCCGATGACGTCATCAGACCGGAAGTTACAACGAAAAGACTTTTTAATCTTCAAAAATTGAAAAAAAAATTAATCGTGAGAGATATAATCTTAAATTGTCCATTGAATGATAGATTAATCAGTGGCGTCAATTGTGCCAGGTGCGTGGCTTGTCAAATTGTTCACACACGTGACCCGCCGCCGACAAAAAATACCCTAACGGTAGTCCGTCGCTCAAAAATGCAATGAAAGCGTAGAGCTGGGTGTGCGTGAGTACAATGCATGTACAATGGGTACAGGACATCCATTGTACATGCATTCAGTGGAGATCCATTATTTCATCGTCGTCATGCTTGTTGGAACCATAGAGCTATAAAACAAGGGGCCAAACACGTGGCGCCTAGTCTTGTGCTCAAGACGCTTTGTCCTCTATAACAAATCCCATAGACTATGTGCACGATTTTTCTCGTTAGCATTTTAGTCATAAAGCACACTCATTATGACATTGAAACTTAACAAAGTCAAAGAACATATAGCAAAGGTCGTTGGCGAAGATAGACGCAATGATGACGTCATCATGTGATTTATTATGAAATTTTGAATATTTATTTAAGCCCGTTGACTTTGTACACAATTTTTCCACTTTGTGCCCTTCTTTTTCAAGGGACCTTTTTGGCCACTTTTCAATGAGGCATCTTCATCAAAGTAACACCAAGCAAACACCTTAATGCTAAGATTGTGCCAGAACAATGATGGCATGATGACGTTATCAGGTGTCACGTGACAAGCAATTAAACTTTGATTTTTTTTATCTTTAAAAATCTATATAAAATCAATAATGAGATCTGTCGTCTTGCTGTTTGCGGCAAGTGATAGAGTAAATTAAGGTCTTTATTTTTTAACGTGTACGTAAAATCACATTGACCCTTGCTTCCGGTCGAAACCGGAAGCGGCTTATTACTGGATTATTATTTAAAATTGGTAATAGATATGAACTTGCTTTCAACGGTGTTAGTCTCTGGCCAGACAATATTCTTCAAAACTTGTACCGGTGACGTCATGAAATTCTCGACCGCCCTCTAGCGGCAGGTTTAAGATTGTCCAAAATGCAGTTTCAATAGATGTCTGGGGCGAAGTGTTTTGTAATCACCTGAAAACTGGTATATATAATGACCTCCGTGCAAACAACACATGTGTGAAGTTTGAAGTTGATGACGTCATCAGACCGGAAGTTACAACGAAAAGACCTTCTATTCTTCAAAAATAAATCAATCCTGAGAGATATAATCGTGAATTGTCCATTGAATGATAGCTTAAACATTGACGTCAATTGTGCCAGGTTCGTGGCTTGTCTAATTGTTCACACACGTGACCCACCGCCGACAAAAATACCCTAATAGTAGTCCGTCGCTCAAAAATTCAATGAAAGCATAGCGCGTCGCCGTTAGGCCACGGCATACGGCGCGCACGCCAGCTGAACGTAGCCTGGCTTTTCGTTTGCTTTTCGCGGGCGTACATGTACATGTCCAGTTATTAGTACGTAGACTCTGAGAAAGTCTGAGAAGTACTGTCCCGTACGACTGAAATAGATCGCTGCGCGCGTCTTCGTCTTGAAAAAAGGCAAGACAGAAACTCGGAAAGTAGAATCAGTGCACTTATTACGCTGTTCGTTTTGTTAGTATTTTCGTAAAAAATATTCATAACTTAACTGGACAGTGTTTCATAAAATAGTTGTCTACCCGACCACTCTGCGTTTGTAACAACAAACGCCAAGCTCTAGTTCTTTTTTTTTTTTTAGGTATTGGGTATGTATGCCCCCCGAAAGAGGGGCCCGAAACTACACCATCGCCAACATCGGGCTTATTGCAGATAAATGTTTCCACAAACATCTCAAATAATAATTATGGGATGACCTCTAATATATTGCTCATGTCTTTAAGTCATTTCGTCATTTGTACTTGCCTGTCCTAATTGGACGATGTCGCCACTGTGACTTCTGACCAGCGTGAGAGGGTGCGATAGCGACTGTGGCGGACATATTCGGGCACCAGAAGCCTGTCGACGCTTACGGGTGCTGCCGCCGCCCAGCACGGTGACCACTTCACTTGTTGCCTGGGACTGGGCGAAAGCCTCGGGGCTACGGAACAACTGGGGGAAATTCTTCAGCATCTGCTCCTCCTGAGCTTCGGTCAGATGTACGATTTCTCTCTGATTTGTGTCATTCAGCAGTAACATCGGGTTCCGTTCCAGTTCTTGGATGAACGCGCTTTTGGTCTGGAACTGCTGCATTTGGTCGTCGTTTAAGGAGTCGATGGCGTACGTCAAGCTGGTAGGGCAGCATGTTTGGAAATCGGCTTTTGCGAGCGCGGTCATAAACACGCACAAACTTACCAGTAGCATCGGATAGGTTGCCATCTTTATTTCTTTTCCGTGAGATTGTTGAAGTTAGTTCAGTATTTTGTCTGCATGCAACGTCGGCCAACCATGCCCATATGGAGAGTGCCGTCTAACCATTAGGTTTGGGTAATATTAAAGTTGTTTCCTTAACCTGATGTACCCCATACTGCACCGCCATTGGCCAAATCAAATCACGTGCTTATCGTTGCGCAAACTCCGAGTGGCGAATCAAGGGTGTGTGCCTTTAGTCCCATGCCGAATACACACGTAATAATGAACAATGTGTTTTCATAGTTCCCACAAATAGCAGCGGCCTACTGGAACTTTGGAGACAAAACAAAATAATTTCTCAATTCAGTTCTGACGTACTCGCAGCTACCAAGGTCGGGAATCGTTGAACCATCTGTCAGATTTCGATTGTCAACCGACTTTTGTTCGTTCCCTGTTTGCCTTTTGCACTGTACAAGAGTACCGTGTAGCAGTCTTAGTCCAAGACGTCTATCTACAGGGTGGTGCATAAAGAAGGAAACCCACTTTTGACAGCAATTTTCACCTACATGTTGAGCATTGTTTTGACAATTCAATTTTATGGTATTAAAATATTGATCTTTAAAACAAAGTGACGAAACAAATGCATATTTTGCCACAGAGATATGGTAGTTTAAAAATTTCATGTGCCAAATCTGTTTGTCCACGGATGGCTTATTCCATCCGCTTGACTGAGCTCCAGAGCTTGATTTGAAGACAAACAAAATATATACAACACGTGGACAACAGTGTATACAACAGACTTACACGGGAGAAAGTGATTCTGGTAACTTGTATTCAAATTATTATAGTAACACTGTTCTTGCAATTTTTTTAAACATTTTTTTTTTTAAATTTACAAAAAATAAGTCAACTATTTGATCGTTGGAAATCACCTACGATTGATCCGCGTTGGAAATCACATTTTTTCACTATGTATGGTGAAAAATTATTTTTAAAAAAGGTTCAAATAAGATAAGTATGTTAAAATTCCTGTCAAAGTGGGCTTCCTTCTTTTTGCTCCACTCTGTAGAGTTTGTACACATGCATTATGCACACTAACATTTCCAAAAAAATCAGTCAACTAATTGATCGTTTGAAATCACCCACATTTTCTTGATTTCTTTTAAAATAATGACAGCAACCAGACGAAATCATTTGACGGGGTGTTTAGTGCCAGTACGATTTTTAATCCATGTTATTTGGGTTTTTTTTAATAATAATTTGGTACGTTTCTTTTTGGTTACTGCAACTGACCCTATACACGCCTTGAAACATAATGTATTCGACTGTGCTAAATAAGTAATTGCTGGTTTTCATACAGCAAGCGGGCACTTTGTGATCCGTTTTTGTTTTTCTGCTGGTAACCCGCTAAAACTACATGCTTAAGAACGCTTTCAATGTTATTCACTTTGGGTATGTAGATGTCAATGCATATCGTCTGGCGTTGCGGAACTCCATAAATTGTTATTATTTTTTTTCGCTTTGAATGATTGGATAGCGTTTGTTTATCGTCTGCTCTGCCATACTGTATCGTAGCATTTGCGAATTTGGCGGGAAATATTTATAGGCCCATTTGGATCTTCCATTAGACAGCTTCTTTTTTGTCTTCTGAAAGCGGTGTCGACAAGAAATCTTGAAAAAAATGAGTTGTTTCTTGAATGGAAGAGTCGCTATCGTCACAGGTACGTAAAGCCATACTTTTGCTTCGTTATAAATTTGGACATGGAATTCATGGTGTGAAGATCAAAAGAAGTAGTTTCATGTGTTGGCGTACATGCAAAATCAACTTTGCGCGTATATGATTCCAGCTCTCAGCTGTTATAAACAAGGCAAAAAATAGCATTTGATGAGGTATCAACAGAAACCAACTACTGCAATTAACGTGTTTTTTCCCAATTAATTCATGTGGCTTTTCCATTCGTGTTTACCTCGCATTTTGCAAGCAACATTTATGACATTACATTAGTTATAATCCTTACATTCAGAGTTACCTCGTGAAACTGTATTAATTCTCTCGATTTCAAATGAATAATTATGATTTTTATAACATTGGTGTACAGTTGTGTGTTATTGGTCATTTTGCCCTGCTTATATTGACACTGTAGGAGCCAGTTCTGGAATAGGTGCGGGCATCGCGCGCCATCTTGCCATCCTAGGCTGTTCGCTGGTACTCGTGGGTCGCAACGAAGAAAACCTCCGACTCGTGCAGGCGGAATGTGTGGACAGGGGCCTGGATGAAGACAAGGTTTGTTGTTTGTTGGAGTTCAAATGCATGATGGGATCTACAGGTCTTGATGCATATAATGGTAGTCAACATGTCATTGAGGTCGCTCTATCAATAAAGACGCCGTTTTGGGCCCAGTATGCAAAGAGACGTGAAGTTAAATTTAGTGACTTACTTTTACATGTTGCTTTAAATCAAAATTTACAAATATTGACATTGATTTTGAAAGTGAACCATTCAAACCATAATCAAGTTACTAAATCTGTGACATGTTATTGTTGTTAACGCGCCCAAAAATATTAAACAGCAAAGGCAAATACAACGTGTATTTTAGATGAATTTAGATTAAGAGAGTAATTTTGCTGAGAATCGTTATTTCCTTACATGTTCTGTCTCAATAACCTCGCCATGACCCATCTGTAGAGGCTTGTCATGCAGTAGCACGCAAGCGATCAACAATTCTATGTAGCGTCCTCAACGGTTAAGTGTGTCCCCATAATTATTAGATTTTATATGAATAACAATCAAGAGGTGACGAGTTGAAATAATTTTGTGCATTACTCATAAAATCGTCTTCCTTTTTTAACCCACCTTTTTGGTATAGATTTTAGTGGTAAAAGCAGATCTGGGGAATGAGAAGGATGTGAAAGAATTGTTAAAAAAGAGCATCGAGAAATTCCAGAAAGTCAACATTTTGGTGAGTGTTGCAATTTCATCTTTTAGGAATCGAGTAACAATTCTTAAGCAAAAACCAAAACATGGAACACATAGCCAAATCATATCGAGTACAATTTGATTTTTATCCAATATTGTTCTAATTTAGGTAAACAGTGCTGGCGTCTTGGCATATGGCAGTCTAGAAGAGATGACGGTGGACCAGTTAGATTCGCTGGTGGCCGGCAACCTCCGTACTCTTTTCCTGGTTACGAAGCATTCCACCCCTCATCTTGCTAAAACAAAAGGTTCGTAATCATGTTGCCAAACTTCTGTACTCGATGAGCGAAAAATTGTTTTAAAACTAGTATCATTATTTTTAATTATGTATTAGCGGCAGGCCATTGACAATTTATTGTGCCAGGTTGGTGTGTCGGTACGTTCCGTAGGCTAAGTGGCGCTCCTCGCCTTCCACCGCTGTGACCCAGGTTCGATTCCCGCCTGGGCCAATATCATGGATTGGGTTTTCAGTACCTACTTGAGTTTGTGGGTTTCTCCATATTGTGTATATGGAGATCAATGGTCACTCCCGACTGTACTCTCTTTGCCGGTGAGGGGGTACTTGTGAACGGAGCGGATAGGCTGCCAGTGTTTTATTTAAGAGACATTATGTTTTTATTGTTATAACTGTGTGTATTTTTCCTGAACTACATTTTTGTCTGACTTGTATTTTTTTTTGCCGAATAAAGTGTTATATCTTCCAATTATTTCCAGGATCTATCGTTAACATATCCAGCACATCTAGCCGTCGAGCGGTGAGAAACTTTCCGCTTTCTTCTTCTTACTAAACTGAATGGAATTTGTCGATTATCGTGTACTGACAAAAAGAAAGTTAGACGAAGACGAGACAGGCATTTTCGTTTCCTCATGCTCGGCTGTTAAATAGCTTGAGATTATCCATTTTGTTTGTACCATTGTAGTCTCCGGGGTTACTTGGCTACGGGATGACCAAGGCTGCGGTGGACCACTTTACGAAAACAGTTGCAATTGGTGAGTCGATAGACAATCTGGTGACACTCATAAATCCAATTATTTTTTCGTGTTTCCTTTTTATTAAGTCCAATGTACATGTATTTACAGACCACGGCATTTTCAATTTGGCCGCTATTTGTTATCATCAAAACCTCTTAAATCTTGTTCAGTACTGTTTAGCAAAAATGGCAAAGAGTTTATAATGGTATTAATGAGTAATTTCATTTGTCTGGTCTTTGATACGCAGAGCTTGCTCCGAAGCAGATTAGAGTCAACGCTGTGAGGTAGGACAAAAATGGATTTCGCGAAATATAATTAACTGAACGAGATAAGACGATGTGCACAGAACATTATGAGCTATGTTTCGATAATTACATCGCCTTCTCGTTGCTTATTTTTATTTTTCAGCCCCGGCCTGACGGTGACTCCCCTCTATAAGAAGGCTGCCCCCAATTGGAACCCTACCGACGACAATGTAAGTTTTCAAGTTAAAAAGCCCATAGTAAAGGCGCCATCACATAACTTTTACTTATATTAATCACGAGCATTTGTTAGAGCGCCCTCTATAAGGTGAATGACCTCGCTATGCGTTTGTTTGCGTTTCTTTACACCACATTCATGGATTCTAATAAAGTTACACACATGTATTTCAAAAGTGCTTTTTAAAACCATCATGCGTCGTACAGTTTTGAGATTCGAACGGGTGTAATGGCCAACATTTTGGTATTTTCGTGTATATATTAAACCATTTTCTACAAGAAAAGATACATTCCACCCATATTTCATAATTTATTAGAAAGTATTTACAAGTATTTTTATTGATTGATCCTTTTCAACTCCCTTCCCCCTTCAGTTAGAAGAAGAGGGAAAGCGATGGCACCCTTTGGGCCGAGCGTGTACCGTTGAGGACATCGCCCGGTGCGTGGCGTTCCTAGTCTCGGACGAGGCAAGCTTCACGACCGGGCAAATCATCCCGGTAGATGGGGGCCGCCATGTTGCCCAGTCACTCCGCTGAACAAATTGGCGTGCTTGTGATATTAATGTCAGTTTGGACTAAAATCCAACAAACCTATATGCATAGTTTATAGACCGGAAGTGTGCAGTGATGGTACATGTTGTTCTGCATTGTGGGATAATCATGCACTGCACTGCTTTTCCTCATTTGTTACGCAACCTATCCCAGAATGCAACTTGAGCCACGTATACTATTACTGCACACTTCCGGTCTATCCGTAAAAGGGTATAAAATTACGATAAAGAGATTTAATTTCATCATTCAGTTTCAAAGGACTTCAATGCTTGAAGCCTCATTCTCTGAACATTTATAGTTCGGTTTCGGGTTGCTCGCATTCGAATGCATGAATGCTATGGTTTACAGACCTCTGAATTTGGCGGGAATTTTTATATTAGCTGATTCGTCGATTTTGAATTAACCCATTTCAATTGGTTGTGACACGTAATTGCATGTATTGCCGTTAACGACAGTCTAGATTTTTATCTGAGTAACTACATGGATCTATAAAAAGGAATTGAAAGTATGAAATAAACACCTGCAAATTGTATAGCTGTGCTCATGTGAACGGGAGATTTCTGATGATAAGGACATGTTGAATCTGATGTCTTTCCTCATTATAAACCGATCCTGCTTATCTGCGGAAGCAGTGACTGAGCAGATTGATGTCATTGCTTCGCTAGGCTGCAATTATTCAACGCATGCACTGACAGTGTTCGCTGATTACGAAGGCATTTTGTTTTGGCCACTGTATCCAGGCCGGCCGCCATTTTAAAGTCATGAACATTTTCTTAGAATGATATTTCATACACTATAATATATTGTGGAGTTTGGTGACTATCTAGACTGATAGTGTTTTTTTCTCTGTAGCATAGCTTCAGTTTATAGCAACAGTTGTCATATCGAAATTTATTAGCAGCGGAAACTGGAAAAAAAATATAATCTCGAACGGATTTTGCGATACTGTGGTTGTGTAAGATTTACTGCTTTTGGGTAAAATCTGATCGTAAACTTACCAGATGAAATTAAAAAATCAGCATGACCGATCTGAAAACGTGTTATGATAAAATCAGAAAATATCTCCCTGTAAATTAGGTACTTAGACATGATGTTCAAAAATTCAAAACCAATTCAAAAGAAAACTTGGATCGGAAGTCAATAAAAAGTTACCATACCAGGATCGATCTCTAAATCGTGAAATACTTACAGAAATAAATTCTTTCCCAAGCTACCTTAAACACGGTGACAAAATCGGTCATAAGAACAGTGGCAGAACATAAGTATGTCCAAAAGAAAACATTGGAGAGAGCGTACAGTAATTTAGAAGTAGGATACATTTTGTAATTATAATTATTTTAAAAAAAGCCTACGGCACCTGGTATTCCCAGGCGGTCTCCAATCCAAGTACTAACCAAGCGCGACGTTGCTTAACTTCGGTGATCGGACGAGAACCGGTGTATTCAACGTAGTATGGTCGTAGGCAATTAAAATTTATATTTATAGGTACTTATTTCACAGGCAGGACAGGTACTTAGCTTACGCAACCTACAACGGAACTGCGCTTGCGCTGTGGTTTAATTAAATACCAGAAGCTATAGAGTTTTGATCATGATCTATTCAAATTTAATTTAATAAGATGAATGTAAATTGAGTTGTGAAATTTCTTTCATGTGAACTTTAGTCATGCTTTTAAAAACAAACGCATTTTTTCAGATAACAAAAACACCAAATTTTTAACAGATAAATACTAATTTGTTATACATAGGCCAAAAAGCTGTGTTTTAAAAATTGGTAAGTTAAAAAAAAATTAAAAAGCCTACAACACCCGGTATTCCCAGGCGGTCTCCCATCCAAGTACTAACCGAGCCCGACGTTGCTTAACTTCGGTGATCGGACGAGAACCGGTGTATTCAACGTAGTATGGCCGTAGGCATTCATATGCGGTTTTAATAAGTATTTATACTTATTGCTCTACCCCATCATATGCGTGGGAAATTCACCAGTAAGGCGCATGCGCATAAAACAACACGAAGAACTAGAAATAAGAATCGCTCAAATCGGTCAACGGTCTGAGGTAGGAAACGAACCTGTAAAAGCCCCGATTATCACTCAATATTCTTCATTTTTGGCCTATCAGATCTGGAAGTGAAAATTCTAAGCTAAACTGAAGTCATGGCTGTACTAGGCTGTAGCAGTGGGCTTTGGAGCGAACTTGCCGCGCATAGTTCGGCCAAAACTCATAATGGTTCGGCGATGACCCATCTGTTCTGTCCAGTTTTCTTAATCTTATATTTAAATGTACATGTACATGCCTTCCGTGCCTGCTGTCATGGTTTCCCAGCTCATGTGGGCCTACTGCATGTACAGCTACAGTAATCCTAGCTCTATGCCCTTTGCATTGTGTTACTGCCTTTTACGGTTTGCTGATTGTCCCATGGTGAGCATGTGCAATGTACAAACATGTAGGCGGGCATTGTGCACCACGCCACCATATACAATGTAGCACAAGCGCAGCAGTTTCTATGGCCTGTGTGTAAAGCGTACATCGCCCACCTGTTGTTCTTGCAAGAAAGATTCACCGTTTTAGCTTTCAAACTTGAACAAGTCTACATGAAGACGAGCGCCCAACTCCGCCACAAATTGATTAGAACATGACGAGACGTACATTCACAAAGTACATGCATGTGACGTATGGCCAACACCTTCATCTATGATAATGACGGACACAAACTATTATGATTGGTTTGCCAATTTACATGGTCTAACCATGGAGAAATAATTTCTCCATGGTCTAACCATTTCTCCATGGTCTAACCATCTAAACCTTACCCTCTCATGCTACCTACATGATCTAACTGTAGCTAAGTGGCAATCAGGCCCTTCTTGTTGTATGCATAATTTAAATAATTTGCCTGAATATTAAACATAACCCACACCTAAACTGAACCCGAAAGTCTTCGACTTTATATTGAATCTTGCATAACTGGAAAAAAAATTGAACAACTGGCAATTTCTTTGTGATTGTGCACACCACTTAAAGGTCTCAGTTAAAAAAAACTCAGTTAAAGGTCTTTACTTTTTATCATGACTTAAGAGATTCATCACCAGTTTCAAGTTGAGAGCGTGATGTAAAATGAGATTTAGCATGGAAGAACGAGAAGAAACAAATGATACAAATACGGGGAAGTTGCATGTCATTTCTCGTCTATTTTCTTGGATAATGGATGCGTTGACTGCTTTCTGCCGAGCTGTGCAGTCCGTGAAGCTCTCGATGACTCATGTCATTTGATTTCCTTGTATATTGAATCCTTGTTTCTCTTGATTAAACAGATAGAACATTCGGCATATTAGTTTTGTGAGAATATAAGACGGATATTCCACCATGCATTGTTTTTATAAACAGACACTGTTTCCCCAGTTTCACAACTCTCCTCTTTTTTGGGCCTCCAATGACAACAAAAAAGCTCTCAAGATTTTTGCACTTTCGTGGTGCGTCATGCATGCTCTTCCTCCATAATTATGCGTGGTACAATGACCAAGATTTACTATATTCATCTCAAGATCATGTCTCAAAAACAAATTTTGTCCTTTTCTATGTTAACAAAGACGACTCGCCTATTTATTTGATTTTCAAGTGTTAATTGTTGTCATCTCTATGTCTCTCCAAATATTATTGAGCAACCATTTGTTAAATTTTTGTATGGTATCCTTGTTTATAAATAGGAATTGGTTACATTCCTGGTAAAGTTGTGTTTACCGAAGCATTTGTGAGCATGCCATTGCCAAAATATAGCCTCGAGAACTGTATGTTATCAACACCCTTCCTGTTTGGCCCTTGTTTTTAATTTCTGGTCGACTCATGCCCATATATGTCCACAGAATTATGCATAATGACTGGTGATTCACCGCCAGGGACCCAGTCACAGGTTAAGAGCTTGATGACGTCACCACCCAGCCAGCTCATTGCCCGTCATGATGATGTTGAGAAATGCACAGACAGCACTGAGACTTGTACCGTAGACACACCCGATTATTCAACAGGCTTGGTATGGATGACGTCACTCGAGGGATTGCCCCGTGTTTTATTGCTGTATGGCATGTGTGTTTGTGTGGGAAGGTCCGTGTGTATTTTCTGATACAGAGATGCTATCTGTGTGATTATATGAGCCAGGAGGATTATTTCTCCATGATTGTACTGAAAGCATCAAGCCCCATATTATTAGAGCAACGCTATCAATTCCAACAAGTGTGATGACAACTTGATAAGTGATTCATCGTCACTGTTTCAAATCCTAAGTAAGATTTGAGGCTTTGGCATGGTGGAGATACTAAATAATGGAAGGTTCTGTGCGAATAATTTCTCAACTAATAGAGAATGGTTCTGAAAAGAACCAGATGTATAAACTCGACGTTCCGACCTCTGGTTTTATACCGAGTTTTTACCGAGTTTAAACGTCGAGTTTAAACCTCTGGGTTCTTTTCAGAACCATTCTCTTAGTTGAGAAATTATTCGCACATGGTGTTTCCGCAAACCTTCCATTATTTAGTGTCAAATCCTGTTTGCAATTGATACTTTCTTAAACTGAAGTGATTTTCTTGACATTTTAGTAACTTCAACCATGCTTCAACCTGGCCCATGGCCTTTAGACATTTTCAACTTATTTTTAACAGTTGTTGAAGTTAAAATTATACAAGGCCTCCTTGAAAGTTGAATTCGTTATACTTCGTGTTACAATGTGGCACATTTCAAAGTAATGTTTTAAAACGCAAAAATATGGAATCGAAACAAATGAAGAGTCGCTATATATACACATATAAATTAAACGGCCTAAGTTTGCCGAGTTTATAAATATATCCAATCCAGTAATAGTTTCGTTTTATGCACTTGCATTGCACTTCTATTTTTGGTCAATAGTTATTTCCTTATATTAAAGAGAACACACCGTCTCTCTTCGTTGAATATTACAATCTTGGAAAGTTATTGACTTCCCGATTTGCAAAATTTTCAAAAAGTTGCAATCACAGTTTGTTAAAAACCCCTTCCCTTTCCCCTGAAAACAACCACTTGACACAATACTATTCCTTCCTCCATGCTCTTCCATTCACTACACTCGTAGATAATCACGATGCGTGATCATTAAAAATATTGTTCACGCTGGCTGACTTCTTGACTCATAGCTGCCCGAGATTCGTCACCAAGAGTAGGAGGTATTTCCCCTTATTCTCCCGTTGGAGTTGTCCTCCACGGCAATTCAGACAACCCATTCCTCGCCAAGTTGCCCGTGAACAAGCTTATTTTTGTGTGCAAAATTACATAAAAGGCATGCATCACCGTAACTTATGAATGGCTTTCGTTCAGGTCGACCTGTCACTTTTGTCAAGCTTTAACAAAAGGCAGTTTTGTTATTTACTCCGTGGCCTTCCTTATGCGGCATTCTTTCTCGGTCCATGGTCTATGTGTTCTTATTCCTCCATGGTCTATGCGAGGTGAAATCGTGTGTGCACTCGACCTCCCCCGAAGAAATAATCTGTATTTTGAGGCCACTACTCCAAGAACTTTTTATTAAAATGTTGTACAGCGTCTTGTGAGCATTAGCCTTCACGTTGGTGGTAGAACTGGAAGAATAAACAAATTCCTCCCTGACAGAACAATGGGAATACACAAAGTGCTTTATGAGCAATGTCAATGGCGGTTGCCAAACTGTTTATTTTTTATCCATTCATGACAAGTTCAATTTATCACATTTTGTAGTTGCTCGTTTTCGATTTGCCCCGAGTTGAATGTGTCGAGAAAGTCAAGCATGCCTGCAAGTGGTTTTGGGAGGCGTCAAGACTGGGCCGCGGTTGGGCCCGTAGAACTTAAGAATGCGGAAGTGAAATTATGTGGTGAACACCACGTCATGATGAATACAGTCATTTGATTGTTTGTCCATGGTTTCGAATCATGAACACAATTATGGAGAGCAATAATTTCTATGAAAGAAAATGTCTGGCATGGCTGTAAGGTATACACAATCAAAACAAAAAATCACTTGATATGATTACTCAAAAGTTTTGAAATAATGCCCAGTACTTTCATACGAAATAACGTCGATGTGTTCAATTGAATTTTTAAAATGGATTCAAATTACACCAAATGAGACCAAAAGCTGTATTATAGCTTTCCAAGCAAAATCAATGAAGTCAACGCTAGTTAAGTACAAATTGGGGCAACAGAGGCGTGACATGTGACCATTGATACCATTAGGAAGTCAACATGCTACCCAACTTGACATCTGAACGCAGAAACCACAAGGTTGTTATCTCCAAGCTCTTCAACACATTGGGACGCGACCCAAGGGACAAAGGTCGAAGGGATGGGCCATGATGGCTTTGATAGTGGCACCATATATCGCTGTTTATGAATGGTGATAACTTATTAGTCCCGAAAATGTCAACATTTCATTTGCATGTAAATGCAATCACTTCCTGCATGGAGTATGTATCTATACGTCGCAGACTCGGCGGTTTTTTTTTAAAGATCGGTTTCGAGTTTACTTTACCAAAAAAGGCAATTTGCGGGATCGATTCCAATCTCACGCTATCTATTTTCTTTCTGTTACGTCACCAGCTTGTTGTTCCCAGCCAGAATTTTGAAAAGTAGGGCAGGATTTGTGGAGGAGGGCACTTTACCATACATAAACCTCCCAACATTCTTTCATCACTAGAAGCATGGAGCTATAAGGTAATCAAGGAAACACTGATGCCCACTGTTCAATCAGATCGTCTGTGAAGGGCAAAACCTAACTTGATTTACACCTTGACGCAAAATTCCATCCTTTGAACAATCCTTCACTTCACAGTTTAAGTGTGTTGTTCATGCAGCCAAATCACAAACATTTAAAAAAACAATTCTGTGGAATTGCGGAGGACGAAATGCCAGCCGGTGTCAATGTTCTGAATGACAGACTTCGAGGATTAGTGTGTGGGAGTATTCTGAATACACGGAACTGAGGGCCAATATTTAATAAATCTTTTCAAAAATTTCAAAAGCAGCCATTGATGTCGGATAAAATGGAAAACTGACAGGGAAAAACCACAATGCTCAATAACTATAATAGGCAAATAGGCTAGTTTTTTCTTCATTAGGTTTCCATTAAAAATGTCTCTCTGCCTACAAGTTATATATACCGATGCCGGTACATGATGGAATTTTTCGTTTATGATAGGAATTCCAATATGGCATGGCTATTTTTATTCTAGTAAAGATCTAGATCATTTTATTTGGTTACTGAACCCTGGGGTTGAACTCGTTTCCTTGTTAAGTTGTATGGCGGATCTTGCGCAAAGTTTGCAGGAAACATGGGAGAAGAGGTCTTCCTGCTTCATCCTATACCACAACAACGACCGGGGCCTCTACAAGTTCCTTTTTCTATTCACTGAAAAGCTTTCGCTGGCCATGAAACGGTTCATGATCCAGGCTACCATGCTACTCATGGGAACGTTTTAGCCTTCAAAAAAATTCAAGACATCGACTCACTGCTGAAACTTGTATTCATCTTTACTTCCTTCTTGGGTATTGGGGCCAGACTAATACGTGTCAAGGACGGTTGCTCGTAGGATTAGTTTTGGGACGTCCGTGAACCCGACCACAGATACTCTGTACAGGAAGATCCGTGCATTGGCCATAATTGGGCCCAAATTCAATTTATAGTGACCAAGTCTTTTAGACAAGGGTGGACCCATTCAAAGCAAAATACGAGTATATAAGGAGGAACAGGATCATGGTCAAAACCTTTACATGTGCCACGCCCCCATATAAATGTGCTGCATATGAGCCGATATGGCGTGTTTCCTGGTTTAATAATAGTACATATGTACATGCCATTCTCAATGTTATGTGTGTACATGTACATGCCATTCTCAATGTTATGTGTAGTAAATAACATAGGCTACTCATTATTCAAATAGTATTCTACCCTCTAATGAATATGTATCGAAATAGTTATCAGGAATGAATCACGACTGGGGGGGGGGGGGGATTGTAGGGGAGTAATCGTCAAATATAGCCAAGGCGAAGAGCATACCATATATGGTAAAGTAATTCTTAATTGATTCCAGAAACTAGGTGCACGTAATTCTGTTATTGAAATGTGCAGAGGGGTGTGACTTGCAAAACCCCCCACAACACTTCAATAATTTGTTGAAAACTTCCACAGCCCACTATTTTTTCTTTACTTTGTTTTTCGATAAAAATGATGGAGAATCAATTTCTTCTCAATATGCAATGTGTAAGTACACAATACGAATTTCACACATGCTAAAGTAGGCTATTCAAAAACCGTTGATTTTCACACTATGGACCTGCAGATTTCAGCAAAGCGCGAGGAACCTGCTCCACAGTGAGTCCATACAGCTTCATTACAGAGATTTTCAGTGCATATGATCCTTGCTGTATGAACAGACAGTGTTGACATGTAAATGTCATTTTGTAAGGTTGTATTTCCCCTAGAATAGCCATATTGCCTACCCAGACATGTACACGTGAACATAAAAAATATACATGTACATGTACATGTACGTGTACACATGTACCGTATACACGTACTGTACATGTACATGTACATGTAATGTACATGCACTATTTACATGTACAGTACATGTACATGTACATGTACATGTACATGTACATGTACATGTACATGAAAAAGCTTTGTGCTAGAGTCCCTTTAAAGTTTAGTGTGAACCACTGAAGTATCCTGTGACCGGACGCAGGGCAGATTAAAGGGGTTTTCTTTCCATCTTCAATCTAGCCACTTCCTTTAGTTCCTGGTTTGTGCAGGAAACAGGTTCACGCGATCTGTGGGGAAAGTAAACTATTTTGTTGTCCTTTGGTGTATTTATCTTTCACTGTTCATGGAAAAAATACAGGGTGGGGATAATCATAATTACCAAATACCTGAGCATTGCTTCTTATTTTATTTAAAGCTACCAAATATATTGCGAAACGTAATCATGATATCTCCATATTGCTTTCCACTATCACAGTGAATATAGAAATATGGAGTTATGAAAGGTGGATACCAAGTTCAATAGCAAGTCACTATACATGTGCCAATTTCACCTTAAAAATAATTTGTTGCGAAAATTGCCAAATTCAGAACAAATAGTCCCAAAGAGGAACTCTATACATCCACATTTTCAGTAATAAACTCAGAATTTGGAGCTTGAGAAACAAATATATTAAACCCATGGATGACTGACAATACCAATATTTTCTTCCTGAAGATTAAGAATAAGAAAATGCATACGCATGAAGGAATAAGAAGGAAACTAAAGTTCAACAGAATTTGAAATAAGATGAAAATTCTATCAAACAAAACGAAGAACCGTTGAAAATATTGATCCCTGTGACCTCGACTATTTAAAAGCTTACATTTAAATAAAAACAGACGCGCAGGACAAGACTGTCTGAAATGCATTTCAAAACAGCAAACTCCATAGAATTATACTTCAGCCAAATATTATACGACATATAAATTGATCCTTTTAGGCCAATTGGAACCACTTTTGTGCATGGACTTTTAAGTTGCCTAAAACCCGTGTACAGTGCATGCTATACAAGGAAATAAAAAAATCAACATTTCACCCATGTGATTTCACAACCAACACTTGCTTTTACGGGTATTTTGTGTTCTTAAACTATGGCATGGTTTTGCTCTGGCAATGTATTTATTTGGAAGTATTATCGAATTATTTCTCTCATAAGGCACTTGTCTTAGAAAATCAACCACCTTGTAAGGATGCTGCGGTTATTTCCTTCCAAAACTCACGCCCACATTTTTTCCTGCATAATAACCTTCGGGGGAAAAAAATGCAATCTGGAGGGGAAAAAAACCACAGTGTGACCCCAGTGGGGCCTCGATGAACAAACACGCCCCCAAACCACCGGCTGGCCTATCGCAATCGCTGTTGACCATGATATCCCGGCAAAGCCCAACAAAGCCTGTATGTTTATGCAAATCAGGCGACACGAAAATGTGACCAAATAAGGCGATGCTTGGCCATCGCGTGTTCACGTGGTGCGGCGCGGCCCGCATATATTAAGGTCGATTCATCGAGCCACCTGTTATTCTGTCATTTGGTGCCAAGACCAGAAGACGTGCTCCGGGAACCCTATCTTGGTGAGTTCACAATATGATTTTGGCTTTTCCTTTTTGTTGAAAAGTGTTCTTTCAGAAAAGCAGCTTGTGCTGTCGTCCTTTCGGCTTTTCGTAAAAAAAATATTCACATGGAGAGTCCACCATATTAATTTGGAAAGGACAAGGCTTTAATTTTCCGATTGTTGGATTTTTTTTTATCGAAGCATATTGCTCCGGTCGATGCTCTTGCAGTAGGATTTAAAATAGTGTAGATGGATAGTTATCGAAGCATATTACTGCGGTCATGCATGCTCCAGTCGGATTTAAAATAGTAGAGGGACAGTTTCGTGCCATGGTGTTTTGTGTGAAGACCTTATATTAAATTGTTTCCGATATCAGCGATTGTTATTTGGTGATGATTGTGAGCATTTGAAAACGATTGAAATTATCATAATTTATATCGTCTAGTTTATGATTCATCTCCCTGAGTCATACAACTAATGAATTGTGTTTTAAATGAAGTACATTGGCTGTTATTCAGTTGTATTTTATTTCTGATCGTGTGGACCACTCCTATTAATAGAAAATAATTGGAAAATTCTATTACTTGCATGACTTGGCCGGTGATCTCCGGAGAAAGATTTGAAGAATGCCAAATTGAAGTTTTTATCGATCTCAATTTTCAACTCGCAAAATTGGCATTTCGTACCTCGGGCATGCAACTTTTCCTCGGATCAGCTGATTTCTCTTATTTTTACTTCCCATGTGTGCCATTCAAAAATGGAAAAACGCTGTATAAAGTCTTGCAAAGATGTGAATTTTTTTGTGTGTGAATTCCCAGTTGCATGCCTAACCTGAATACCTGTAAATATTCCTTCAAAAAGTGCTAAAATTGTAAGCTTGGAATACAAACATTAACATTTTCGTGTGAGCAAAAGACGACAAGCTTTTCTTAACTTTTTTTCTATGAATAAGGCTTTTTCTGACTACTTTTTTAAAATGTCCTAAAGCTTACCTGTTTGAATGAGTCGCCAACGCCCCTTTTGCAAAAAGGCCCACGTAAAACGCAGACAACCACCTGCGCCTATAGGTATAGACTCTGCATGCTGTGCCGGCTTCCCCGACCGAGCACGTGGCTGTCGGGGCGAGGCACGCCCCATGGCTCTGCGTTGTGGTGGCTCGTCATTGGCTGGCAGATGGTGCGTGATTAGCATAATCGAATATTCATTAGGGGGCGTTGACGATTGCCTTATTTGGTCAGGTTTTTGCTCGCGGTCGCGCCTGGCTGACTTCCTTGTTCAGTAGGGCCCTTGGACAATAAGCATTATGCTTATCGCGTCGTCTGCTTCCTGCTAATACTGAATAGACGCCCGGATTTTTTTTTTCGCTTCAAGAATGTATAATTTTCCAAAAAAAAATTCTGGTTTTTGTATTTAGTGCATACGTATTTAACCTTTTCTGTCGACCGGCAGGTAGCTGAACATTGTACGTTGGATCGTGTTTGATGTTTGAGATTTTTGTGTATGCTCTAAAATCCCCTTTTCATATTAGAAAAAAAACTTATTCGATACATTTCTTTTCCAACAGCTTTTCTTGTTGTGTGTGAAACGAACAAAAATCTAACAAAATGTGTGACGACGATGTTGCCGCTCTGGTTGTAGACAATGGCTCCGGTATGTGCAAGGCCGGATTCGCCGGAGATGACGCCCCAAGGGCCGTCTTCCCCTCCATCGTTGGAAGACCACGCCACCAGGTAAACAAAACGTTCCTTTTAGTTTTCTTTACAGTGTTCTTGTGTTTTTAAATACAAACATTGTGTTGAGTCGGCATGTACAAATGAAGTAAGGATAACTTCAACTTTTCAATTTTGTCTTGCTTTTTTTCTCAAAGGGTGTCATGGTTGGCATGGGACAGAAGGACAGCTACGTCGGAGATGAAGCCCAGAGCAAGAGAGGTATCCTGACCCTGAAGTACCCCATCGAGCACGGTATCGTCACTAACTGGGACGATATGGAGAAGATCTGGCATCACACCTTCTACAACGAGCTGCGTGTGGCCCCAGAGGAGCACCCCGTGCTGCTGACTGAAGCCCCCCTGAACCCCAAGGCCAACAGGGAAAAGATGACACAGGTAAATAACCGTTCCCAGTATTAAACCGTTAATTTGATTTGCCGTCAATGTGGAATTTTACCTTGACCAAAACATTTTGAAATTGTATCAAAATGTGTTTTTTTGTAAACTTAATTTATTTAATTCCTTTCAGATCATGTTCGAGACCTTCAACACACCCGCCATGTACGTGGCCATCCAGGCTGTGCTGTCTCTCTACGCCTCTGGTCGTACCACCGGAATCGTGTTTGACTCTGGTGATGGTGTGTCCCACACTGTGCCCATCTATGAGGGTTACGCCCTGCCCCACGCCATCCTCCGTCTGGACTTGGCCGGCCGTGACTTGACTGACTACCTGATGAAGATCCTCACAGAGCGTGGCTACTCTTTCACCACCACTGGTGAGTTTATGTCATGCATTTATGTTTATTTTTCAACAAAAGTCTGCAGAGTTGTGATTCCCTTATGCATGGTAGATTTTGTCAAACATGCTAAAAAATGTTATTGTTTTGCTCTTTTCAGCCGAGCGTGAAATCGTGCGTGACATCAAGGAGAAACTCTGCTACGTTGCTCTGGACTTCGAGCAGGAGATGCAGACTGCTGCTTCCAGCTCCTCCCTGGAGAAGAGCTACGAGCTCCCTGACGGACAGGTCATCACCATCGGCAACGAGCGTTTCCGTTGCCCAGAGGCCCTCTTCCAGCCATCCTTCCTCGGAATGGAATGCGCTGGCATCCACGAGACCGCGTACAACAGCATCATGAAGTGCGACGTGGACATCCGTAAGGATCTGTACGCCAACACCGTGCTGTCTGGTGGCTCCACCATGTTCCCCGGCATCGCCGACAGAATGCAGAAGGAAATCACAGCCCTTGCCCCACCCACCATGAAGATCAAGATCATCGCTCCTCCAGAGAGGAAGTACTCCGTATGGATCGGTGGCTCCATCCTTGCCTCCCTGTCCACCTTCCAGCAGATGTGGATCAGCAAGCAGGAGTACGATGAGTCTGGCCCCAGCATCGTGCACCGCAAATGCTTCTAAACAAACTGTAAAAAACCCAACCAAAGACTGATAACAGAACCGGGTTTCAGGTCTCAATAACCATCCAGAGACTTCTTCATAACCTTTATCGTAAACTTGCTATATAATCAATGTCAACTCATTCTGTGCCTAAGATTTTGAGTTCAACGCGCACATAAAAAAAAATGTCCTTCATGTTCAGTTGACGTATCTGCATGTCTCAAAGATTACACAGGCCGAAAAAGTGAACTAACACAATAATTAAAACTTGCAAATCTGACCCCTTTTTGAGTCGGTACTTTCTTCTATTGGTACTAAAGTTAAACTGAAATGTTGAAATCTCCAACGTCGACATTTCAAACGCGGCTTAGCATTGTTGCTTCAGCGATAGCATGGTTTGAAAGATTAAAATCATCCATCATTTTTATTCACATCTAGTGAAAAAACGGTAGCCCTTTGTAGGTCAACTTGGGGCGTTAGATCTAAAGCCATGAGACTGGACAACTCCATGTACGCCGCCATTTTTCTTTATATAACTTAAAAAACTTGTATATTTAGATAAAAGAAATTTTTGTTACTGGTGAGGGCAATTGTTGATTTGTGTACTATTTTTTGACTTCTAGTGAAAACTTGCGAAGGCCAAAAAATAAAAAAGTTGTAATTTCTTTGTAAATTTAGACTTTTGTAGTCCTTTATTGAAGCTTGCAGAGTGGGGAACAGGGTAAACCGGCAATCTTTTGGCGGCTGTGAGCAATAATTGCAAAATTTTTTTTCATTTTTTTGTTGAGTGGGGGGATCTACACTTGTGGAAATATTGCATGGAGATTGGTTTTGTGGAGAATATTTTGGGCCTTGTGTACAAATATTTGATTGGAAAAATTTCATTAGTTCTAGTGAGGTCCGGGGTTGCAAAATCTTTGTTCTGGCCATTGCACTTGATTAAAACGAACATCATTTAAGCACACATCGCTAATTACGGTTAAGGGGGGGGGGGTGTTTGAGCTCAATCCAGTTAGTTGCAGCGCCCTCTATGAAGATGTTGCGATGGGTTTTATTCAGAAGCGGGTCAAGATTCGGCTCCGGGTTTTGGGAGGGATAATTTTCATAAAAAAGTGCCCCATTCATGAAAATGGTACACATTTGGGAGTGTATTTAGCGCTTGTGCTGACGCTTGTATTCCTAAAAAGAAAACGCAATGTCGCCAGTAGGACAAGTTTCCCCCCCCCCCCCCCCCTTCCCCCCAGTTGGGCGCGTACCTGTTATTCATTTGAGATGGAACGATTTTCATTTGCTGGGGTCGGATTCTGCATGATTCGATTCTGGAGAAAAAATATGGCGCCCTCTACATAATGTTGACCTCGGATTGTGCAAGAGCTCTCAACGATCTTTTAATAGCTACCTTCCTATCTGGGTTGGGGTGGGGTTTTTTTGGGGGGGGGGGTGGGGGGAGCGGGGGGTCTATGTTGTGTATGTGTGGGGTTATTCATTTGGGGGGGGGGGGCCGTTGGTGGTTCTAAACCAACTATCAATGTGTTGCTTCAGCAATAGCCGCACAAAATGATTTATACAGTCAATACTCCTTTCTTCAAATTTTCTAATTATTTTGGAGTAAAATATCAAACTTCTTGCAATTTTTTTTGGCGAAAAATTAGTAAATTAATGGCTACTTAATTAGGGTGCTCAATGTTCTATTCATAATTTCTGCTGTTTCCGAAAAGGTTTTTCCCAAGACTTTTTGTTCCTGATGACTTATTGCGAAGAGGCCGCTCCTCCACAGATCTCTTAGGCATATCTTAGTGTCAGATGGAGTAAAGCTGCCCACACTACCCGACCCCCGCATTTCACATTTCCTTTTAGATATTTTTTTTTGAAGAAAACATCCCATAAAAATATTTTCACAATCCTTTCATATTCGTTTCCCGGTAACCAATTATTCCCCTCCTCAGAAAATCCTCCATATCGATGCAGCCGACACTGCAGAAGTACGACTGCTTTCTTTTCTTGTGTGCACGTGATGCCTGTTCCGGAATGGCCCCTCACTGTTTGAATTATGCATGGCAGAATATAAAACAGGCCCTTCCCTTTGCAACAGTAGGTTTTGTGAAACAGGTGGCGCCTATTGTCATTCTGATTTGTTGGCAAATAAACACGAACTTCGGACCAAATATGGAGCTATGCCGCTCCCATGAGCCCCACGTGATACAACCGTCCCGCACCAAATATAACTCATGTTTTTGCGAACGCCGCTGACAGATCGAGTGACATCAGGTCCGAACCAACTACTTGCAAGAAGTAAGAACTGACTGGAACGGTTAATCCCGAACCCATATCTGGGTGAGTTGTCTTCCGTCTTTTCAGTTTGAATAAAGTAAGCAAGCAATGTAGTATTGTCATGGTCATGCCCCTCCCCCCCCCCCCCCGTTCTCTATAGGGACTTCGTTTTAAATTACATAATTAGGTCTTTCTCCAAGAATCCGTCCTCATCCATATCACCACTGCACAAGTTTTGTTTGCCTATAGCCATTATTATTAGTTTGTAGACCAGCGTCTTGCGGAATATAAAACAGGTTTGAAGACTACTGTCCTGCTGATTAAAAGTTTGTAGACTGATGTCGTGGGGATTATTTGTCGAAACTCTGTCGTAGCGTTCATGCCAGGTGAGGTTTTTTTAACGACACGGGGTATCGAATTGTTTTCCGTTGCCAGTTATTGGAAAATGAACTCATTCACCATGGACAGAAGCTCGAATAGTATACACCATAATTACACAAAACAAACATTGCACGATTGAGCTGAAACTGTGCATTAAGCACGAATGTTCTACTACTACTACTATAGCAAACTATTTATTTGTCCCCCCAAAATAGGTCTTTGAATTTCCTAAATCAGAATGGGAGGGGGAGATCGATTCCCGCTCCAAGAAATATGCCAAAGAGCAAAAAGACCCAGAAATTTCAGTTTATGTCGTTGTTAAAATATTAGTTTCCCATGGTCGGCTTCGACTAGCATACATAAATATCTTGCAGCTTATATTTTTATAGAGAGAAAAAAATGTGAAGGCGTTGGTCGCTCTGGACTTTAGACGATTCACGTGTATACAGGCATCTAATCTTTTTTGTTTGAATAATTATGGTGCTGGGTTTGAGGGATAGGCCTATCTGTCACGACCGCTGTTACAACTTGCTTGGAAACGAACGATCTTTGATATTTAGCGTTTCGACATGATTGTCCATTTTTGAAATCTAATACATACAGGTACGACGTTCCAAAGTCAAATTATTTGCTGCATGGCGTTTATTGTGTGCAATTGTTTTATTTTCGTATTTTGGAATTGGAAACACGGAATTTCTGTCATGTTTATATCAAAGCTTCATCGCCTCTTAATTTCTTGTGTCCTCGAATGAGGTGTTAAACTCCCCATGAAATACAAAGGTATATAGCTAATGTTCAGGGTGTTCCCCACAAAAAATGCTCCTCTGGAGGGTGTATCAGGATTCTCGTAATTAATAAATCAATTGTAGAAGTGATGTGTGATAAGCTCGAACATTTTTCTTTCTTGTGTGAAGTTTTTGTTGGATTATCGGTTCAGTGGTTATGAAACAAAGGCCATTAATGTAACAGCAGTTCGTTTTGCTCCATTCCAAGTTTGACAATATGAAGAGGGTACACGATGTGTTTCTGTTTTCTCAGGCCCGCCCCTGTCTGAATGTCCTGAATCACTTTGAACTGTTATAACAGGTGTTTGAGACGCTCCTTCGCTATAATTAAAGAAGATATTACATAACAAATAGCCACGGTCAACAATGAGCAGCGACAACAATAGTATTCCTCCTGTTTGGTTTAGTAATTGAATCAAAAAGTCAGTTTAAGCTAATGTTCAACTTGGAATGGTGCAAAATAGTACTGTGTTACATAATAGCCTTTATTTGGAAAACCGGTGAACGAATCCGATGGAAAAAAAATTAAAATAGTACAATAAATATGCTTCACAATTATGTAAGGTTAAAAGACTTTTGTTTCTGCTGCAAACCCCGAAAGGGACTTTTTTTTTAAATTAAAATTATTATTATAATCTTGTCAAAGGTTTGTTATCAGGATTCAAAATTTGTCAAATTTGAAATGAAACATTTTGATTTATTTTCAAGGTTTAGCCCCTTTAACATTGTACGTTGTTACATTTTGAGCAATTCGGTTTATGCGTTTAACATAACTGACTAGGATCCTCGAATGGATTTTGTTTCATTCGACAGCTTTCTGTGTTGAAAAGAACAGGAAAAGACAGACAAAATGTGTGACGACGACGACGTTGCCGCTCTGGTTGTAGACAATGGCTCCGGTATGTGCAAGGCCGGATTCGCCGGAGATGACGCCCCGAGGGCCGTCTTCCCCTCCATCGTTGGGAGACCACGCCACCAGGTAAACAAAACTTTCCTTTTAATTTTCTTTACAGTGTTCTTGTGTTTTTAAATACAAACGTTGTGTTGAGTCGGCATGTACAAATGAAGTAAGGATAACTTCAACTTTTCAATTTTGTCTTGCTTTTTTTCTCAAAGGGTGTCATGGTTGGCATGGGACAGAAGGACAGCTACGTCGGAGATGAAGCCCAGAGCAAGAGAGGTATCCTGACACTGAAGTACCCCATCGAGCACGGTGTCGTCACTAACTGGGACGATATGGAGAAGATCTGGCATCACACCTTCTACAACGAGCTGCGTGTGGCTCCAGAGGAGCACCCCGTGCTGCTGACTGAAGCCCCCCTGAACCCCAAGGCCAACAGGGAAAAGATGACACAGGTAAATAGCCGTTCCCAATATTAAACCGTTAATTTGATTTGCCGTCAATGTGGAATTTTACCTTGACCAAAACATTTTGAAATTGTATCAAAATGTGTTTTGCAAACTTAATTTATTTAATTTCTTTCAGATCATGTTCGAGACCTTCAACACACCCGCCATGTACGTGGCCATCCAGGCTGTGATGTCTCTCTACGCCTCTGGTCGTACCACCGGAATCGTGTTTGACTCTGGTGATGGTGTGTCCCACACTGTGCCCATCTATGAGGGTTACGCCCTGCCCCACGCCATCCTCCGTATGGACTTGGCCGGCCGTGACTTGACCGACTACCTGATGAAGATCCTCACAGAGCGTGGCTACTCTTTCACCACCACTGGTGAGATACATTGGGTTTTTTTTGCGTAATTTTAACAATTTAAAACAAAGTTCTAAATATCTGATTCCTTTGAGGCGGTTGTCATTAAACTTACAACTACCTTTGGTGTTTGTTCTTGCCCTTGCAGCCGAGCGTGAAATCGTGCGTGATATCAAGGAGAAGCTCTGCTACGTTGCTCTGGACTTCGAGCAGGAGATGCAGACTGCTGCTTCCAGCTCCTCCTTGGAGAAGAGCTACGAGCTCCCTGACGGACAGGTCATCACCATCGGCAACGAGCGTTTCCGTTGCCCAGAGGCCCTCTTCCAGCCGTCCTTCCTCGGAATGGAATGCGCTGGCATCCACGAGACCGCGTACAACAGCATCATGAAGTGCGACGTGGACATCCGTAAGGATCTGTACGCCAACACCGTGCTGTCTGGTGGCTCCTCCATGTTCCCTGGCATCGCCGACAGAATGCAGAAGGAAATCACAGCCCTTGCCCCACCCACCATGAAGATCAAGATCATCGCTCCTCCGGAGAGGAAGTACTCCGTATGGATCGGTGGCTCCATCCTTGCTTCTCTGTCTACCTTCCAGCAGATGTGGATCAGCAAGCAGGAGTACGATGAGTCTGGCCCTAGCATCGTGCACCGCAAGTGCTTCTAATCAGACAATTCTGACAAACTTAAGAATGGTGATGGAAGTTTAAGTTCTAATAACTCTGTCAGCACAGCGGTCCAATGAACGACAAACTTGATGTTTAAATTGGAGTAACTTTCAACCGAGTTGATTAGCCTACTGAATGAAGTGACGACATTCTCTCCTTCACTATAGCGAATTGAAAATGATACTTAGTTGCCAAGGTTTTTTATTGTTAACTTTTTTGTTATTGTTAACCCTAAAAGGGTTGTGGTTTCGCCGCCCCTGGGTGTTGTTCACGTTAGGGTAAAGAGGTACTGGAGCTAGAAAGTTGTCTTCGATATAGAGTTTAATATCATTTCGTTTCTCGACTTATTATTCTTTTATGAAATGAGGCATTTCTCTTGATATCTTAATAACAGGCAAAGGACTTACTGATAATTCGAAACATTGTAATTGAGGAAACATAGTTGAGTTTTTGTAATGATTTAGTAATGTACACAACGTGTGTGGTACTTACGCCTTTTTTTAGGTGGCACTCTGATATGATGAAATCATTGGTATCACAATATTTGTATCTTATAGTTTATATAGGGATATTTGAAAATTAAAGATGTGTGTTTTAATTCCCAATGAGAATTCCCAGAGAATTAGTTCTGCCAAGATCGAGTTTCACCCTCCGAGTTAAATGTCGTATGGCGTCTTGCAAAATGTGATGTCCATAACCTTTTTGCTGTCTCTGACTGTAGTGCGTTCTTTATTCTTGCTCATGAAAATAATCCGAGAGGGCATCAGGAGCGGGCATTCACCAACCTCGTCCCCAGTGCTCACTTTATTTCCAACCTAGTTTCCAATAGTAAGCCCTGGATAGGAAACTTTCTTCCTGAATCCTGATTTGTTACCGCAATTGGCTGGTAATGGATCTTTATTGTGTACTTGGTGCTATTATTTACAACGTGCAGTACGTGTTTTCGCGATCATTCCTCCACGCCTTCTCGAAAATACTAATTTCCTTTCCAAATTGCTCATATCAATATGAAATGTGATACTACATGTTGTCTCGATATAAACTCGTAACTGTTTAATTCAAAAAATCGTGTTTTCGTAACGCACGCCGTGCTCGCGCTGCGACGAATTGGCTCTGTTTTTTTTTATCCCAGACACCGCACACAAAAACAAACGCTAATGTAACGCATATCCAGGCACCAGACTGTTCCTCATTTGCATACGTGTTCAAAAATCTTGCACATGCAAATGATCCAATACCAGGGTGAGAGAGCAGGTAGTGATGGGCGCGTACTGTTCGACACCCTGGGGACGAGGTTGGGCATTCACTTATGGGAAGCAGCCTCATCCCGCACTGCGCACCCTCAAGTCAGAATTTGAAGACCGTAGCCCACGCACCCGACGACTGTTCAGTTTCGACTCTGGAATCGTGTAGCTTGATGTAATAAAGGATCGTTTATTTAAAGCCATTGTAGAAGTAAACTACATTTGCTTTTCATGCGTGTGGTTCGTTGCCAATGATAAAAACAATTCAAAATCCAAAGGTGAATGTTCAAAACCCCGTTGAAATTTCAGCTCATTGATTTGAAACTTTTCAAGAAAACAACATGATTTCGTCTATTGCACGCTTTATTTTTAAATAATAGTGGTTAAATCGCTATGTCGAAATTGGATGAATTGTTTTAAAGAAAAGGATGTCTTCTTCCGTTAAATGAAGCCGTTCCACGTGCCCAGAATACGAGTTTTGCACAAATTTGGTCCAATGGCATGACAGAATAACAACGAATGCTCAGTCATCCGTGGCCACAGACACATAATCAAGATATCTTTAGGACACATCGGTGTTTCACATGCATGATCTTTAACTTATTTGAAAATATTGATTAGATTTTTTATAATTTATATTTACATGTGGGTTTCCTTTTTTAACCCTTTAAGGACGGGTTATAATGGGGACATTCCTCCACACAGAGAGCAAGTGGCCCGCATGACTGCACAGCCTTTGTGTGGTAGCGGGACTGCACAAAAGCAGCAGCTGTGGAACTACCCACTAGCCGTGTGCCACGGCATACCACAGCTGGCAACTGCATTCCAATGAGGATTAGCGGCCGCGGCCATGACCGCTTCCCGTGCGCATGGGGTTTAATGCACCCTGTTTAGGGAGATGTACTTGAATGGTATTCATCACGTGGTACGACGGTTTAATATTCACAAAATGTAAATTTTCAGACTTCTTGACGTGTGTTTGACTGGAACCATTTCAAAGGCGTATTAATTAATAAAAAAACCCTCGTTTTTGTCCCGTTAAGTTTAATCCACTACCCTTTTATTCACCTGCATGGCCTGACATTCAACATACGAATACAAGTAGTAGAAGGTATACTCCATTAATAATAGATGCATACATAATAATAATAATGATACTAATACAATAAATAATGCAACAGAATTCCCATAAAAGTATCGGTATTTTCTACGCAAAAAATTAGAAATATCTTCACCATCTGGTAGTTGTGGCAAATGAATATACTATTGAAGCATTTTCTTGCACGGCAGCCGTTGGTTTAAACCTACTCATTTGGCTTATTGATATGTGGATTCGTAAATTTCCCTTCAAACCTTCAATTCTGACATTATTTTAAGTTGCTGTATTAGCAAGGTAAGTTGTCATCGAAAACTCGTTTCACAACATCAACAGCCATGTATATTATATTGTAGGTTTTCCTGGCCGATTTCCTAAAATGTTCATTCACTTCCGGAAATCGGTCATTCCTTTTCGTCTGAATTTGAGAATCGCTCTGAACACGCGTTACATTTTCGTGCCAGAGCATTCGATTCCTTTTCAGTTCAATCAATTAAGTGATTGAGCAGCATCTTTCGTTTATGTCCATTCAGATTCGTTTACAAGATTTCTCACGATTTCTTTTTAGAAGGCGGTTTCAAACATTCACCATTCTATTTCACTTTTAGTTTAATGTCATCGGCACCAGATACAATTAGGATTTTCTTTTTCATTAACCGTCAATCAAAATGTCTGTTCCTGACATCAATCTAGACCGGGTATGCTTGTGTGAATGAATGCACAGGTAACGTAATTGGCCGTCTGTTTCTCAAAAACGATTGAACTTTCGTTGAAAAGAAATGGGATTTAAGACGTGCAATCATATTCAAACGAAGGTGAATGACCGAATTTCAGAAGTGAATGAACACTTCAGGAAATTGGCCGGAAAAAACTATACTTGCGCGGTGATTATCTATAGCATGCCCAGTGCTAATCGTTTGATATTGACATTGAGTGAAAATAAACCTTAATAAGTCCTTTCGTCTTGAATGCACCGTTCTATAGTCTTAAACACGCGTTTCCTACAAAACAAGGCAATATAAGACACGTAAAGCTGGTTCCAGAGTGTACCAAATTATATTTAATTCATTTAGAATCGACTATTCAGTGAAACTCTTTTCATGCATCTGGTCTTCACAATGGGCCCGAGATTAGCCCATTAGTTGGCGTAACGAGGTAATCATATACAATAGCACTGCCCGGCTCACACGTGACAGTGAGTCAGTCAGTCAGGCAGGCAGGCAGTGATGAAAGTGCGCGTGACTGCGAACATTTGCGATTGTGAATGGCCACAGCACATTGTGGTTGTCAACAATCGGCAGTTCGAATGCTAGTCTAGACTCCGGTCGCCCGTTTTCGAAAATTGTGCTTGTGCTCTCATTGTAACGGGACCGGATTTTCCCACATATTTTTGTCAGTATATAGCTTGGTGCGGTGCGAATGCGGCGCGAGTCGGTGTTGCCGGCATTGACTCACTGTTATTTCGGTTGTGTAAAAATCAAACGGTTGTGTACTATAATGAACCTAGCAACCTGTTGTGTAAACTGTTGTTTACACAACTTGTGTAAAATATTACACAACTTGTTCATTTTTTTTTTTACACAACTGGTTGCTAGGTTCATATAATACACAGCCAAAATAACAGTGGCATAACACGATTGATCAATTCACTGCTGAAACACATTTATAGTATAGACACACAAAATGGCTGCCGTTTCAGCTTCGCGGACGTAAACAAGCAGGGTTGTGTTCTACATAACCCCCAAGGACCGACACACAAAAGGAGAACAACAGATCCTTTCAGTCCTCGGCAGTTGGGTCTTTTGTTCAAAACGGTCCTCTGTAGTAAGTTTGTGTGCTTAGTCTATGGGAGAGTGTTACATTACAGGGACAAAGGGAAACACAAAGCATTGTCCTGGAGAGTATGGTAAAACAAAAGTACCGTTATGTTCAACATTGTATAACTGTCAGAAATGATGTACATTTCTTGCCAACCCGACCGTTCAAATTATGGTCAGTATAAAACGGTTTTATAAACCTTATAATTTCCAGACGGAGGTACAACTTCAAAAGAAGTCTACTTCTCTATTGCCGTGTGAAAGATCAAACTAGAGCCAAATTGACGACACTTTTTTTTCCTGTTTTCTTTCAGAAGTCTTCTGTGTAATATTTCGTGAAATATCTAACCAGAGAATCATTATCAGAATGGACGACGACATTGCCTCCCTTATAATAGACAACGGCTCGGGAATGACCCAAGCCGGGTTCGGCGGAGATGACTTCCCAAGGGCCGTGTTTCCCTCCATTGTGGGGAGACCTAGACGTCGCGTAAGTCTCTGGAAAACAAACCAAAAAGAAACACATACACACACAGACACACATACGGGGCCTACTGAAATTTGTGTCCTTGTGGAGACATTTCTTTGTTCTCGTGTACTAAAGTTTTCGAGTTTGAAAAGTAGTTTCAAAATGCTCTTATTTTAACCAGAATTAATTTCCTTGGCTGAAAGTCGGACTATCCCTTTGCTAAAACTCTACCATTTGCGACGGATCAACATACTTTGGAAATTCCTAGTTTTTGAGTAAAATCCATATATCTATTTCGTGAAAATCTTGTAGAGACGTATTCATCTTTAGAAATTGCAATGTGGAGACGTATACAATCTTTTGTTCCCCATTGTGTGCATGTCTCCAGATGGCACGGTGTATCAGATCACGTTTGTTTATGGTGTAAATCGAGGATTTCCCTTCGTTCCTTTTCCCATTTCCTTTGTTTGTACACTAACTTTTTCGTAACAGCTCTCATTTGTTCACGTTTTATAATCGAGGTCGTCCTCGATTGGGTTCCTGTCCTCGATTCACCGATGCTGTTGCACGTGTGTGTCCTCGTATTACACCATAAACAAACGCTAGCACCCCAGTATGTATTTGCCTGCAATCGGGGATCCCCTATCCCTCTTTTGTTTGTACCTCCCATATGTTTTGTACACATCGCCGAATTGGAGACCTTGGGGAATTGGGGACCCTATTGTCCTCTATTGTTCAACGTCCCCTATTGAATGCAGAAACAAACTCACACTCACGTTACATACCTAGTGTTGACATTCCTTTTTTGTGTAGTTAAGAAAAGCCTGTGATAAAAACTTATTTTATTCACGCTGTGAAAACTATTTCAACCCATTTTTTTCTCTATGATTCCCTTGAGTGTTTCTCTTCATTTTGCAATGGATAAACCTAACCCAAATATGCCTCTAAACCTGTTTTCCTGAGAGGGGGAACCTTGTGTGGACTCGGGAATTGTGGACCATATTGTCCTCCGTTGTCCAACTAAGACAGTTTGTGGACTTGACATTTTTTAATTCACTTGCATTTCTTCGCGAACGTGGGTTTGCTATAGAGCCGAACAACAGACAAATGGGAAGGCATCTTCATCGGCAGCGACATTCTAGCCAAGAGAGCTGACCTGACCCTGGATTATCCCATCGAGCACGGTATCGTCACTAATTGGGACGACATGGTGAAGATCTGGGATCACACCTTCGCTAGAGAGCTGCGTGTGGATCCAGAGGAGCACCCCGTGCTGCTGACTGAGGCCCCCTTGAACCCCAAGGCCAACAGGGAAAAGGCAACAGAGGTATTAACCGTTTACATTATGGACGCCATCTTGACGTAATTTGTTTGCGCAGTGCGTGATCATTAGTACCCTTCTCGGGTCTTCTGGATCTCCAGACATTAAGTATCTGCTCAATATTTATGTCAGTTAAAAGTTACCATGGCTGACCTTTAAAGGGATTACGAGCAGTTTGTCTTAATAAAAGAATAAGGTTGATCCATGGAGGTAGAATTAGTACGTGGTCATGGTGAGAGCTCGGCATATTGGCATGTATTATTTTGTAAAGTTATCATTCGCAATTCTCATAGACCAAGCCGTTAAACGAATTCCTTGATATTACACTCTAAAAATTGCACTCTAAAAAGACCCTGTTCAGTTTTGGGTTCCGAAATGTCAGGGTCCAACCGACGTTTTCTGGGTTAGCTGAGTCTTTCTGTGTCAAAGTGACGCTTGTTGATTTCACCGGCATTTTGACCGACACTTATGTATCAGGTCGTTATAGAACCCAAATTTCGGGTCAAATTGGACCCGTGTATTTTTCTTTTTTTTTGACCCAAATTTCGGGTCAAAATTTTTTTGTTAGAGTGTATGTCAGCAATGGCTGAATTCATGACAGACTCTCTTAACTCGAACTGTGATTTTTTTGTCTAAAATTTCAGATAATGTTTGAGAAATTCCACGCCCCTGCCTTGTATGTGGCCAACCAGGCGGTGCTTTCGCTCTACTCCTTGGAGTCCGAGCGCTCCCTCACCGGTACCGTCTTGCAGTCCGGTGAGGGAGTGACGTACTCCGTGCCCGTCTACGAGGGCAGCGCCCTGTCTCACGCCATCCTCCGTCTCGACATGGCCGGTCGTGACTTGACTGACTACCTGATGAAGCTGCTGACTGAGCAGGGCTACACTTTCACTACGCCTGGTGAGCATTAAGTGGCTTATTGCGTTCGGTTAACGGCACATCAGGAACTCGTCTCAGGCAGCTTTTCCGACTGAAACAAAGGCTTGGTTCTTGTTTCATTCACCATTTGCAAAGCCCCCATAAACCAAATAACCGAAAAAGTATAGGTGGAACCTAGCCCGAGACACTTTGTATGTCGTGCCAATTGCATCCTTATTGGATCCTTGGGAAGCGTTGATTCTGTGGCGGTTGTGTACACAAAGGAGTTGACAAATACGTACCAAGGGCATGTCATCGAAGCCCTAACGGTGTCCTAAAGGAAAGGTTCGGTACCAAAATTGTTATGTTTTCAGAAACTGTGACTATGTCACAAGTTCTCGCCTCGATCATTCTTAAACTAGTTCTCAGTTCAGTATTTTGGATATGACCAAACAAAAAAAGCTAAAGCTGGATTCCTACAACCCTTTAGTGACCATTTTTGTACAGAATAGGATCTTTTATTGCACTCGTTTCATCTCATTCTTACAGATGATCGTGAAGCTGTCCGAGACATCAAAGAGACGCTCTGCTACGTTGCCCGTGACTTCGACGATACGGTAAAGAAAGCAGCCGCAGGCTCCTCCCTGGAGAGGAGCTACAAGCTCCCTGACGGACAGCTCATCACCCTCAGCGATGCACGCATCCGTGTCCCGGAAGCCCTCTTCAAGCCATCTTTCCTTGGAACGCAAGGCCCCGGGATCCACGAAATGACGAACGACAGCATCCAGAAGTGCGACGAGGAAATCCGGAGTGATCTGTACGCCAACGTCGTTCTGGCGGGTGGCTCCACCATGTTCCCTGGCATTGCTGACCGAATGCAGAAGGAGGTGACGGCCCTGGCCCCGCCCACCATGAAGATCAAGATCATCGCTCCCCCAGAGAGGAAGTACTCCGCGTGGATCGGTGGCTCCATCCTTGCCTCTCTGTCCACCTTCCCGAAGATGTGGACGAGCAAGCAGGAGTACGAAGAGTATGGCCCAAGCATCATGCAGCGCAAGTAAAGTGCCTTTACAAGAAAAGAGCAAGACCAATTTCCATTTAGTTTTCGGAGAGCGGAGATCTTTAAATTAATACGTTAAGAACATTGTTGTAAGGTATAATATTAGGGAGTTAAATAATATGCTATACAGATTGATTGACGGTATAATTGGATTTGAATAACGGTTTGCAGCACACAAAGTAATACTCTTAAATATTTGTTTACTTTCACTAGAAATCATTCTTTTTTGACAGGGCATTTAGTTTACGGTTAATGAATATCGTCGTCAAAATAATTATTTCTCGTGAGCTGTTGACTTAAAAACTTACAGTGAATGGATATTTGGTCAGAAGACAGTCGGTGGAACTATGTTGTTTTAAGAGTGAAACAAACACGAAGGAATTGCTTCCGAACCTCTTTAGGCGATTTTGGTTTGGTTTGGTTTGTTTTGTTTTTTGGGGGGTCGTTTTAAAAAAGATAGTTTGAGATTTTCTCTTATCTAGCGCGGGAATTCCTCTGCAGTTTTAGTACATGTAAACGTTTGTTTGAAACTCCAACTGTATTGTCTGTTGCAAGTTGTCCTAAAAGTAGCCTAAAACAAGAGATCAGTTGTGGTTTTCCACTTTATATTTTAATGAGAAAAATTATCATATCTCGTAGTTTGAGTATTCTAATTAGATATTTCTCAGGACGCAAATTTACATTTAGTATTTTTAAATTTCAATTTAATAAGGATAGTTCTCTCAAGATTTGAATTGCAAAATGGTGGCTCTAGAGCTTTTAGAAAAGTCAGGACTTCAATATTCATAATTTACATGTTTTGCTGATAGTTTATGAGTTTGGGAGTTTTGGGGAAATATTCGTCAAGACTGTTCTTGTGGAGGTCAGGAATTTCTGAAATTTGATTTAAGAACTAGAATTCTATTTTTAAAATGGAAACAGATTCTGAAAATTAAAAAAGTTACGGTGTTATCTGGGTTCACGAAACGAATTTAAGTGAATTTTCATCACGTAATGATCCGTGTACATGACCCTTAGTTAAAAAAATTCCTGGGTCAGATTGACCCGCAATCCAGGTTCTATTGACTCTACACCTTTTTATCAAAGTTGACGCTTTTCCGGCAGGGTCAAAATGTCGCTTTTCTGACTCCTTTTCCGGGCCAACTTGTGACCCAGAAGCTATGGCAAAAGTGTTATTTTGACCCATAAAAGTGTCAGGCCAACACGGATTCTGGGTCCAATCTGACCAGCTACTCCCCCTCCCCGTCCTCCGATTTACCCAAGAGCCCCTCTTGCAGAGATAAATGTGCCCCCTCGAGCATAAATGTGCCCCTTGCGATGAAAAAAAAACAGGCCCCAAAAATTCGGATAATTTGTTTTCAGTAACCATTTCCCAAAGTGGTATACATGTAGAGAGTTCTGATATGAACGAGAAGTATGAAAACCAAGCCCCAAACCCCTTATAATGCGCCCTGAAAGTCGGCACATAAAATGCTTATAGTTTGCCTAATGGCCGGTTTTGATAGAAGGCCCCCTATTTTGGAAGGCGAGTTGGGGTGACCTAGACTGGTTCCCGATCAATCCACTGTGTATTTAGAATGTATCCAATGTTATTGGAGGCAGTCGCAAGTTGAATGGTAGACTTTTAAGACGATGGTGGCAGTAAACATAACGGTCCTTTTTCCATTGTTTACGTCAAATTGAACATGTGCGCTTTGGCTTTGAAACATGACGTAAATAATTGAAAAAGGACCGGTATGTTTGCTGCATTGATCTCCATATGTCTGTGTATATGGAGATCAACGGTTTGCTGCCACCAACGTCTCAAAAGTCTCCCATTCGAACGTATTCGCGCGCCGACAACGGTGGCTATTATGCTTTTGCACATTCAGGAAGTCGGCACGGTGCTTCGCTCGTATCCCCCGCCCTGCAAACAGGACGCTGGTCAGGGCTGACGTCATTTGAGCTCTCATTGGATAGATTTGTGTGACCTGTGACGTAAAACGCGTCACACAAATTAGCTTCCGGTGCCCATCATGCGTAGCGCGCGCTAGCTGCATGCGAAGGTCAATCTGTACTTCCTTCACATCACAAGATTCTGTGAAGCTCATGAGCCCTTACCAGCGCCCTGTTTGCAGTGTGTCTCGACCATAGATCTCCAAATTCACATATGGAGATCAATGGTCTCGACCACGGTGCTCTCAAAAGAGGTAAAAACACGCACCCTCTCGTTGGCGCACGGAGCCCATAGAGTTCCAGACACGAATAGCCGCCGGAAGAAAAGAACCGTCATATTGGTGAGTGAAGACTCATATTGGTGAGTGAGCGAAGACTTCATTTATTTTGCAGAGTTCCTGCCGGGGGGAGTTTGTGTCGGGATTCCGGCAGAATTTGGCCTAAATTGGCTGCAAAGACATTTGCAGAAGTGACACAATTTACCGAAGATAGTGAAGTAATTTATTTTCCAATTTACATATTCTGATCATAAAGTGGCAGGGTATATACTCCCATTAATAATAGATGAATAAATAATAATAAAAATAAAATAATAATACAATAAATAATGCAAAAGGCTCAGTCTCATAAAATGGTCATATTGATTTATTCATTAGGCCTAGGGGAAAAAAGAAGTTCAGGAAATTTGCATCATCTGGTGGTTCTGGCAAATGACAACAACATCGAAGCATTTTCTGGCACGGCTACCGTAATTTGGTTTAGCTACTCGGTTTTTTTGGCTTCTGGATGTGTGGATTCGCAAATCCCTTCCAATTTTCAATCCTGAAAATATTATCAGTTACATCATTAGCAAGGTAAGTCGTCCGAGAAAACCTGTTTCGCAACACAGAAGCCATTATACTTGCACGGTGTTTGCTTGGCAAGTTCTGTGCTAGTCGTAGGATATCTTTAACGTGTAAATAGGCTGAACAGTTTACTTCTTAATTATGTTTTTTTTCGGGGGGGGGGGGCTTTGGCATACCTTTTTTACCTGTTTTCTTTCAGAAGTCTTCTCTTTATATTGTGCGAAAGATCTAACCAGAGAATAGTAAAATGGACGACGACGTTGCCACCCTTGTAATTGACAATGGTACAGGATTGACCAGAGCCGGGTTCGCCGGAGATGACGCTCCGAAGGCCGTGTTTCCCTCCGTTGTGGGTTATCCTAGAGGTCGGGTAAGTCCTTGGATATGGAAAACAAATCGAAAGGAAACACACGCTTTAAACAAAAAAAATCTGATCGGTTTTGACCTGGAATTTGGGTTGTATTTGGCCTTGATTCTTTTCAGGGTCAAAATGACATTGTCTCGTCTGAGTGAAAATGACACTTTTGCCAAGTTTGGGGTCAATGTAACCCCAAATGGATCAAAAGAATTGTCATTTTGACCTGGAAAGTGTCAGTGGACCCGGAAATGCATTTAGAGCCCGGATCCCGTGTCAAAATTACACTTTTCCTTTTCAAATGGACTCAAGCATTGACATATGGAAGTGTCTCTTTGTTGTGACACGGAAACGGTGCGAATCTGACCTAAGACTTATGAGAGTGCGGGGGGAGCACAAACAACCGCCTGAGGACTGTGCCCCCTCGTTCCCTTCCCCAAAATTAGGTAGAAGACAGAAAGGCAGATTTGTTATTGTTTGAAATCCGTTGAGTGCCCGCTCCACAATATGTGACCCGGTCCTCCCCCGTAAATTGCATTATAGTCAGACACTTTTTGGACTTCAACTCTTTCTCTTTTTCTTTTTTTGGTTTATTTGCATTTCTTCTCCATCTTGGGTTTGCCCCAGACCCGAACAAAAAGCACCTCGGAAGGCTTCTTCACTGGCAGCGATATTCCAGCCAAGAGGGCTGACCTGACCCTGAGGTACCCTATCGAGCACGGTATCGTCACTAACTGGGACGATATGGAGAAGATCTGGCATCACGCCTTCGCTAGGGAGCTGCGTGTGGATCCAGAGGAGCACCCCGTGCTGCTGACTGAGGCCCCCTTGAACCCCAAGGCCAACAGGGAAAAGACAGCAGAGGTAATTAAAGTTGGGCAGTTTGTAGTATTTTGTTTGCACTGTGCGTGATCATACCAATCTCAAGTCGTCTGGATCATCATGCATATAAAGCATCCTCTCGATGTCATGTCAGCCATACTGTGAAAAATACTTTAAAAAGATAGTGGACATGTTGGTGTCAATATAAGATTTTGCTTGCATAAAGATGACATAATGAGAGTTAGGCATTTTGACTGTATGGTTATCATTTCTCATTGTTCTAGACGGAAGACCTGAGAAGTTCATTTCTTGACCTTATACCCTAAAACAAATCCGGGTCAAAATGTGACCCAGAATGAGGGTTATATTTGACCTGATACTTTTCGGGTCAATATGACACTTTCCGAGTCAAAATGACTCCTTTGTTGATAAGAGATGTGTCTTTTGACCCGGAAAAGTGTCATGATTGACACTGAAATTCTATCAGGTCAAATAGTCCCCAGACCGTCCAGGTCAAATCTAAACATTGATTTTTTTTAGAGTGTATGTCAGCATTTGCTGAATTCATGACAGATTTTCGAACCTCGGTTTGTGATTGTTTTTGGTCTGAAAATTCAGGTCATGTTTGAGACCTTCCACACTCCTGCCTTGTTCCTGGCCATCCAGGCGGTGCTTGCGCTCTACGCCTCCAAACGCTCCCGCACCGGTACCGTCTTGCAGTCTGGTGAAGGGGTGACGTACTCCGTGCCCGTCTACGAGGGCAGCGCCCTGCCTCACGGCATCCTCCGCCTCGACATGGCCGGCCGTGACTTGACGGACTACCTTGTGGCGTTGCTCACAGAGCGGGGCTATTCCTTCAATACGATTGGTGAGCAATCGACGTTCTTGTTGCATTGGGCTATGCATTGTCACATGTAAAAAAAACCCTGATAAATCACAGAAAATAACTGTAATAGAGGAGTCAACGTTATAATAAGAGATACCAAGGATTCATTGAAGTCAAAACTATGTTCTAAAGGATAGTTTCGGTTCAAAATCGCTTTCTGAAACTGTGACTAATGGCACAAGTTTCGCTTTGATCGTTCTTAAACTATAGTTCTTGTTTCAGGACTTTGGATATGTTCAAACGAAAAAAAATGCAAACTGGGTTCCTTCCGCTCTTCAGGGACGTGCTTCAGATCGGTCAGTTTGATTGCACTCATTGTATCATTTCAATCTCCCCACAGATGAACGTGAAATCATTCGAGACATCAAAGAGACGCTCTGCTATGTTGCCCTTGACTTCGACGAGGCGATGAAGCAAGCTGCCTCAGGCTCCTCCCTGGAGAGGAGCTACAAGCTCCCTGACGGACAGCTCATCACCCTCAACGATGCACGCATCCGTGTCCCAGAAGCCCTCTTCCAGCCATCCTTCCTCGGAACGCAAGGCCCCGGGATCCACGAAATGACGAACGACAGCATCCAGAGGTGCGACGCGGACATCCGGAAGTATCTGTACGCCAACGTTGTTCTGGCGGGTAGCTCCACTTTGTTCCCCGGCATCGCTGACAGAATGCAGAAGGAGGTCACAGCACTTGCCCCACGTTCAACGGAGATCAAGATCATCGCTCCCCCAGAGAGGAAAAACTCCGTGTGGATCGGTGGCTCCATCCTTGCCTCCCTGTCCACCTTCCAGGAGATGTGGATCAGCAAGCAGGAGTACGACGAGTCTGGCCCCAGCATCGTTACACCTAGGTGCTTTTACATGTAAAGGGCAAGACCAAGTTTCGTTATTCTCTTGAAAAGTATTCAAGGGAGGCAGGAGCGGGGATCTTTATTAAGACTTTAAGAACTTTGTTTTGAGGTATAATCATATTAAGGAGTTAAAACAATTTGCCTACAGATTGATTTAAGGTACGAATAATTTGATTTGGAATACGGTTTGCAGCACAGCAATGCTCTTAATATTTGTTCGATTTCATCAGAAAACGGTTGACTTTTCAAGGCATTTAGGATCGAATGGTTGTAAACATCGTCGTCAAAATAATTGTATTATTTCAAACGAGGTGACTAGTCTTCCCTGCAGTCGGTAGAACTACGTTGTGTTATGAGTGAAACGAACACGAAGGAAGTGCTTATGAACCTCTATTGAAGAATTAGGCGATTTTTGGTTTGTTGTGTAAGTTCCTTGCATTGTTTTGTTTTGTCTTTTGAGGGAATTCTTGTTTAATTCAGTTTTATGCATTTTCTTATCTCGCACGCGCATACCTAGGTTTAGTACATGTAAACTAGTGTTTGAACTTCAACTGTATTTTCTGCGCCATATTGTCCTGAAAGTAACCTAAAACGTACTTGCATGAGATCAGTTGTGGTTTTCATGTCGATATTTTAATATATACAAATTGTACCCTCTTTAGTTCGAGTGTATCTATTAGGAATTGCCCGGGTAGGAGATTTACATTGAATAATGCTTAATTTGTAAGGGCAATCAATTTGAATTGCAAAAAAAAAATAGTTAGAGGGTTTTCTTTACAAATATTTATTTATAGAGGACTAACAGATAACACACAACAGATACAAGTCTGAATTTTAAACTTCTTAATTTAAATATTTTTTTTGCTTATAGTTTATGAATTTGGGAGTTTTTGGTTATTCTTGTCATCAAGACTGTTATTGTGGAGGTCGGGAAGTATTGAAATTTGATATTAGAGCTGGAATTTTGTTTCTAAAACTGACACCAGATTAGTACAATACATAAAGTCTCAGTCTTATCTGGGTTCACGAAAGTTAAATTTAAGTTATAAGTTTCATCACTACAGGGTGAGTAAAAAAAAAAAGAAACCCAAATATCGGGACCTTTGTCTTAGAGAAGTTCCGCATTTCACTTTCAAAATCTAGGAAATGAAAGCTCAATTTATAAGCTTTCTTTTAGAACAAGAATCATTGCAATCACTCATGTACTTTTCAAGTTACGGAATTTTAAACACAACCTCCGTTTTAAAGTTCTGTCCGGCACGGATCACAAAAATGTATAAGTGTTCTTGCAGCAAAACGAAAACAAATCTCATCGGGATGTGTTGTTGAAAGAATCACACATTTCCTTGTGATCCGTGGACAGAACTTTAAAACGGTGCTTGTGTTTAAACTTCAGTAACTTGAAAAGTACATAAGTAGTTTTAATAATTCTTGTACTAAAAGAAAGCTTATGAATTAGGCTTTTATATCCTAGATTTTGAAAGTGCTACATGCAGAACTTCACTTAAATAATAGTCCAGACATTTCGGGTTTTTTTACTCACCCTGTATATGTGTAGTATAGTGTACATGACCCACACTTCATATATTCCATGGTTGCTAAATATACTCGGAATCTGGGCTCCGTCACATTTTCCTACGCTTCTCGGGTCAAAATGACTCATATCTGACTCATTTTATAGCTTTAAAGCCTCGTTTTGAAAGTTTATAAAGGTCGACCCCTTGTGAACTTCTATCACACTGGGCCTTATGCACGAGTCGGCCATATTGAATTGAGAGTGAGGTAAAATGGAACTTTTGGATCTTGCGAAGAGAAATGAAAGCTAGTTAATTACTAATTAATTCCAGTCTGCTTCCATTAATAATTTGAAATTTGTAAATGAACATTCCCTAATATTTAAAGCCCAAAAAAAAAAGGCAAGTAAAATAGGGTCGCATTATGCCTGTATAAACAGTCTGGCGCCATCCCATTCATCACTTAACTATATTAAAGGGAATATACAACATTTGCAATCATCGAAAAATAAAACTACCAAGATTTTGCGAAATACCTTAATAGGATGTTGGTAAATGACAGTCTAAAGCATCCTGTAAAATTATGGCACCTGGTATACTGTCATTTTCAAGAAAAGTGGTATTTTTGTATCAATTTCCAACGCTGATCGGCCGATCAGCGTTGGAAACAACTGGCTTTTTTTCAAATACTGGCCCCAATTAAAAATTGCACTTGTTTGTAATCGATTACAAACCTATGAACGGGTACGAGCCAGCTAGACTGGTTCCCTGACCTTACAATTCCCCAATGTATGTAAACTGCTCTGTTTCTTCTTATATGGAGTCAGGGAACCAGACTACAGGAAAATGATCGTTTTTCTTGGTTTTTATAGCATTTTCGAACCCAAAACCTCCAAAAAGTCAGTGTAACTATATTTGCTTTATATTTCCAACCCCCCAATTCCATCCATTTCTGAAAATTACAGCAAAAGCAAATGATGTATATTCCCTTTAATACATTCAGGGAACTCGAATGTAAACTTTAGGCCTACATGCTATACATTTTGAGCATGAGGTGATAGCAAGAAAGTGTTTAGAATTGTGTTTACTCGCTAAACACATTTGGTTTAGGCCAGTCAAATATCCACACAGAGGAAATTAGGCTACCCTCATCCCAATGCCTAAAATTAAAAACTTGGTCCCATGGTCAATTTGACCTCTCTTGAAAAATTATTCATAACTCTATCATAATAATCAGATGTTGACGTTCGATGTCTCATTTTAAAGTGGAAAGGCGTATCTTTCAAACCATACCTATATTAGGGCCTATCTATGTTGGTTACACATTCTATGTCTGGCAACCCGTTATATTTTGTTTGCATTTACTGTATTTACCAGGGTTATTATGCAGGTGCATAAACGCTGAGGTCAATTCTTTGAAATTTCCATTTCTGCCTCGATCCCAAGGACAGTTTTCAATATCCAACAGATGGCATCATTTCATATGGTTGTCTGAATAAATGAAATATTTATTAAAAAAAGAAGAAGAACATATTGGAGAATTGTCGCCATTATAATGCTGCATTGTTGGTGCCTAGGGCCACGTGATACATAGTTGGGCTAAGTGCGCGTACAATATAGCTGCTTCTCTTCCTATAACACCTGTCATTCTGTTCCTGGATGCTGAAGCCCTAGGATCACTTGCGGACACCGTAACTTCAATTTGTGAGTTTAGCACACCATTTTTTTCTCCAGGTTGAGAGCTTAAAGTAGCCATGCGTAATTACATTAACAAAAAAATGAATTCAATTATCGTCAAAGGATAAAGACGTAGTGTAGATCGGGGAAGCACCCCATCCGTGAAGGGGGGGGGGGTTCAAAGGTGGTTAAAATAATTGAAATACGCTTAGTACGTTGTTTGATAAAGTACGAATTAATATAGGCCTACACTTATGCACTCCAACTGCATTCAATACCATTTGAATATCCATTTGAAAAGCAAACTTAGAAAAATAATTTAATATGAATCCTTATTTTGAACATCAGTTTATAACAGGTGTTTCTTAGCTACCTTGGCTTACTCTGTTATCTTCCTAAAGGCACGATAATTCACCTGTTACACATTTTGCTCGTTTCAAAAATAATAACAACACTCAAAATCCCAATAAGAATGTTCCAAACCTAACCGGTTCAGCTTTCAGCTCTGTGGAGATAACGCTTCTCGAGCACTCAGGGCAAAACCATGCACAGTCTTTTGAATAACAAACACGATTTCATCCACAATGCTCTTTGTTTCCTTCAATTGCATTTCTTAATTTCTTCTAAATGAAAGCAAACCAGACGGAATGTCACCGGGCGTTTCCTAGCGCAGTACGATCTTTAATCCAGGCAAGATCTTACATTTTGTGGCAACTGTCGGGAAGAATATCGGTGCATTAATATTTGTCACCACCTTTTCTTCAACGCAGGCATTTTGAGATTGGTGAAGAAATTCAAGTCATGTCTAAAATGGAACGACGTCCAGAAAGGTTGTAACTACCATATATCTTCGAAGTTCAGATTATTTGTACATTTTTACAAAAATAGTTCTCTAACAATTGCTTCGTAAGTTGACGTAACTATTAAATCACTGTTAATAGGTCGTGCCTTCGTGCGTTTGCGTTTACGTCGTTTGTCAGCGCGTCGCAATGCATAACGCCATATTGTGGTAGCACAAAAACGTCGTGCGTTAAAAAAATTCCTCCAAAATTCATATTCCGTAAGTAATACAGTCAATTACAGAATGGAAATACGAGAAATATTGAACTGGAAATCACTTGCACCAAATAAAATGATTGTGTGCTAATAACAATCTTTTGGCTGTGCGAAGCGAAAACAGTCGTTTCGTTCAATTCCATTTGGAGGTGTAATAGGGCGAGAGTAGTAAAATTATTTTCAAACTCGGATTTTGAAGAATTTGTACGTATAAAATAATGGGACGTTGGAGTGTTTATATGCAAAAACGTCGGGATGCGCAGTTTTGACACAAAATATCTAGTGCGTCGCATAGAGTTCTCAAAACGTCATCTCGTTCGTTTCTATTTAGGGTTATGAAAAGTCCAAGCTACTGTCAAAATGTTTCCAGATTTATTGTTTACTGGAATAATATGTCTTATTGTCCAGTGATCACACTGTTAGACTTCATGGGCGTTCTTATGATGATGATGTGGCGAGTATCGTGATAGACAGTGGATCCAGCATGACCAAGGCCGGCTTCGCGGGGGAGGACGCTCCTAGAGTCTCCTTCCCCACCGTCGTTGGAAGGCCGCGTCACAAGGTAAAACGTTTGATCCTAAATGGGCATTACGGCCTTAAATCCCCGAAAATTTCATGTTTTGGATTAATGGATTGTTTGAATGTCCTATTTTAAAGATCATATTGAAAGGAAACTAACCAAATGTCTAGCCGTTCCAGAGAAACGACGAAAACAACTGGTTGTTTGCTTTGGGTGCGGCGGACATTGTGGCATACGCATACGTATATCAAGCCGTGTATATTCAATGGACCGCACACGTTAGGGTGTGTGTGTGGGTCAAACACACAACACCAGTACAAAAATGTTGTTTCTCTCACGTCCGCTGAATGCGAACCACTTTGTGCGGTAGGATTCACAACTAGCTAAGCCACGCTTAATGTGCTTCCTGCACACGTCCCACATACGCTTGGCGCACTGTATGCGGACGTGATCGAAACCATTAACACGGCCGTCCGTCCGTATATTATTGAAATGTTGGGATAACGCCCGTTTAAAAATGTTCTCGCTATGCGCTATATACTGACTATTGAGTGTTGACCAATGACCGGTCTATCTGAATATGATTGGGTTTTTTTTGCAGTCAACGTCACGTATTCCAAATGTCATGATTTTGTCCTTTTTTTTAATGACTGGTGATTAATTTTGTTAGGGTGTCATGGTCGGCATGGCGCAGAAGGACGCCTACGTTGGCGAGGAAGCCCAGAGCAAGAGAGGTATCCTGACCCTGACGTACCCCATCGAGCACGGTATCGTCACTAACTGGGACGATATGGAGAAGATCTGGCATCACACCTTCTACAAAGAGCTGCGTGCGGCCCCAGAGGAGCACCCCGTGCTGCTGACTGAAGCCCCCCTGAACCCCAGGGCCAACAGGGAAAAGACGGCAGAGGTGATTATATGTTATTTCAATCCGCCACGGTACTTTCTTGGGCCTAATTTATGAATTAACAAAAATGAATTCAAACAACGAACATTTTATTTTCAAACATATTTTTTATTATAAACTTGTAATTACATGGTCTAGATCATGTTCGAAGTTTTCAACGTACCTGCACTGTACGTGGAAATACAGTCTAAACTGGCTCTCTACGCCTCTGGTCGTACTACGGGAATCGTGCTAAACGCCGGTAGGGGCGTTACCTTTGCTGTGCCCGTCTACGAGGGTTACGCCCTGCCGCACTCCGTCACCCGCCTGGATTTGGGAGGGGATGAATTGACTGACTATCTGATGGGGATGCTGTCAGACCGAGGCTACTCTTTCACTACCGAGGGTGAGTGTCGCACGGTGCCACCAGTTCTTTTTTTTTTTTAATAATTGATCATCACAAATGGTGAGTTATGCCATTTTTAAAATTGACTGTTCGCCACCCATCACCGTAAGAAAAACAATGCTTGATTTGTCCAACATCTGTCATAAAGGTACCCCATTATTGGTTAATTCGGGTAGCAATGGACCAAGTATTGGAAAGAAATTGCCCGATTGCCATTAGATGGTAAACTATAATTTATGTTGAAGACAATGGGGTAAAAAAATACCAGTCAATTTCCAAAACCGTTTTTCTTTTTTTACAGTGATAGTGGGTTGCTGATATACTTAATAACCACTTGCTTCGACGTGTTCAACTTTCATGTATTCACCATGCACGTGAATTAATGTTCCAATAAAAGGGAATTTAAAATGCCTGTACGCTGCAAATCCAAAAAAACAATGCATTCGTCTATATTTGCGTCTTGTTTTATTTTCACTTAAAGCTGAACGTGAGGTTGTCCGTGATATGAAGGAGAAGCTCTGCTACGTTGCTCTTGACTTTGAGCAGGAGATGGCGTCTTTCAGCTCCTCCCTGGAGAAGAGCTACGAGCTCCCTGACGGACAGGTCATCACCATCGGCAACGAGCGGTTCCGCTGCCCAGAGGCCCTCTTCCAGCCCAGCTTCGTGGGCATGGAAGGCGACGGAATCCACGAGGCCACGTGCAGGAGTATCGACAAGACTGACTCGAGCATCCGCCACGAAATGTACGGCAATATCCTTCTGGCTGGCAGCTCCACCATGTTCCCCGGCATCGCCGACAGAATGCAGAAGGAGGTGACGGCCCTGGCCCCGCCCACCTTGAAGATCAAGATCATCGCTCCACCAGAGAGGAAGTACTCCGCATGGATCGGTGGCTCCATCCTTGCCTCCCTGTCCACCTTCCAGCAGATGTGGAGCAGCAAGGAGGAGTACGAAGAGTCTGGACCAAGCGTCATTCACAAGTCAGTTTTCTGATTGGCTCACTAGTGTAATTTCTGATGAGCCGAATAACATGAATATCATACAAAATGATAAATATTCATGAGGGTAGTGGTTAGAATAACTTTAAAAGGTGACGGTTAAAATGTTCTGTTCCACGAGACGGAGTTGCTTTCTGAATTACCGGTGTAGCGTGAATATCCGACTCAATGAAATATGGACTCATTGGTAGCATTGCGCATGCGCTATTTTTAGGATCACAAACGGGAGAGTGACCTGTCACGTGCGAGGGATTAACCAATAATAGGGAAAAGGAGTCGGATTATGACACCGGTATGTAGTGCGTATTTTGCGCTATCGTGCTCTTTTCATTTCAGTATTTAATATTAAACATTAAAAATTAGCAAATTAAACTGAAAAGCTACAGAAATAACTCCAGACAAGAGAACGGACGAGGCAATAGCCTTCCCATAACTCGGCAGGATCAACAAACACACACACAATTTACATGAAACAAAGTACAAAACAAAAAAGAGGGCGCATTTTTACTACTTTTGAGAGCCCCGTCCATTTATAGACATCGAATAAAACCTGTGTACATGTCGGCGTCGGCAAAATTTTTACTGGGGGAATTCTGTTTGAATTCAGTTTTAGGCATTTTCTTATCCTGCACGAGCACGCAAACGTTTAGTACATGTAAACTTTTGTCCCGCGAGTAACCTAAATCTAACATGAGATCAGTTGTGGTTTTCATATGGATATTTTAATTATAGGAAATATGTAACATCTGGTAGTTTGAGTATTCATATTATCTATTCCTCGGATCGGAAATGTATTATGTGTATTACTGTTCAGTTCGCAAGGTCGATCGAATAATATAATATTTATTAGTATAATACTATCACGAATTGAATTGCAAATTCTGGTTCGAGGGTTTTATTCAAAAATATTTATTTATAGAGATGAAAGTATAACACACAACGAAGAAAAGTCTAAACAAAATTAAATTCTTAATTAATATATTTTTCGCTTATAGTTTATGAGTTAAAAGCTGGAAAAGAGCGGAAGACACGATTATGTGAGACAATATTTACCAGGGTATTTATGCAAGTGCATAAAAGCCGAGGTCAGTTCTTTGAAATTTCCATTAAACCTTAGGCCCCAAAATAAAGTCTCCGGTTTCTGGTATGGAGCTTGCCCAAAAAGTGGTGCGGCGACGCGGCTTTTTTTTTTACCTGTTTTTTTTTTGCTTCAAATGTCGGCTGAGGACTGCAATTGGTGCCCGACTAAACTTAGTGAAAATATATGGGAGTCCAGAGAGGCCACATACAGCTTATTCTCGATCATAACCCCATCTAAAAACACGTTAAAATTGTGCAGGATTCCAGTCAAACCAGTGAGTTTGGCAGTTTTGAGACATCATCTTTTATTGAAAAAAAACCTTTTTTTCATTTTGCCGACGCGCATGGCTACGGCGACGCGCGCGCATACCAGAAACCGGAGACTTATTTTTTTTGGCCTTACTATACTAAGTCAGTTTTAATCTACGACAGATTTCTTATGTTTTCTTTTATGATTGTCTGAATAAATGAAATATTAATAAGAAAGGGATACTATGAGAGACGTGTCACCGTTATAATGCTGCATTGTTGGTGCCTTGCGGTCACGCGATGCATAATCGGGCTAAATGCGTGTACAAGTTGTTCTCTTCCTATAACACCTGTCATTCTGTTCTTGGATGTCGGAGCCCGAGGACCACTTGCGGACACCGTAACTTCAATTTGTGAGTTTCACACTATTGTTCTCCATGTTTACAGCAAAAGTAGCCAATCCTTTATATTTGAATCGACTAGGCCTATTAAATTGCTCAATTATTTTTACTTCAAGTGCTTAAATTTAACATTTTCAATGTCAAATCCAACGCTTTAACTCAACCAACATGTTAAATGTTGGTTCAACACTTGCAAAGTTAACACTTTGAAAAATGTTAACTGAAAATGTCAGCTTGTGTTGGATTTAACATTTAAAATGCTGGATTCAACATTTAAAATGCTGGATTCTTCACTTTCAAAGTGTAGTCACTGACGACCAAACCAATTGAAGTGTCGGAATCAACACCTCAGTTTTTAAAGTGTATTAGGGTTAGCTGAATGAAGTTTAACTGTTTTCTACAGTCAACCGTAGCTCCAACTGTACAGAATGTTTTTAGAGTTTTGCGTTTGGTAACAAACGTTTCTCATATTGCTATTGTCTCTGAAATATACTGATTGCGGTTTTAACAGTCAGGATCATATGCATTTGTTGCATACGGGAATAAAAACATTTTTCAACCCGTTTCTCTTCAACACAGGCTTTTTGAGATTGAGGTGAAGAAGACCAAGAGAGCACAATGTCTAAGACCAGCGCTTCAACGAGGTTGTAACTACCCTTTTTTCAACATTCACATACTTATGGATTCGTACATTATTGACGAAATAAATTAGCGTTGTATACGGTCGATCTCGATTTGCTGCCTTTATATCATTTTTCTAAAGTCGTATGCATCAGCGAGTCTCAATGCAAAACGCCTTTGTCGTGGTATAGACCTTTCTTTTGTTTGTAAACATTGGCGCCATTTTATATGGGCAGCCGCAAGCGCATAAATTGAAGCCGTGGTTGGCCGTTATTTTTCCAGAAAAACCTCAAAACGCCTTCAACACATAGTAAAAAGTCATGTGTAGAAATTATGTTGTATGCTCGTTGACAATGTTGTATTTCCAACAGTCAAATAATATTTGGGTTATCTGTAATAACTCTTCTTCATTTTTGCAGTGTTGGACCTTCCATAGTTTTGCAACCCGTGGTTGGCAAAATGTGCAGTTTGCCAACCAAGCGTAGCAAGGTCTATAGTGCATTCATCGACATTGATAATCTTGTGTAGTCTTGCCCCAACACTTCAGTGATCAAGAGCATCAGTTGCATTGTTGTGTAGCGCACTTGCATAATTGTTATCGACTGATATGGTGGGCGAGCCATCGAACTTATAAAAGAGTTATTAGCATGTAATCTCGTTCGTTTAAACTGTTCTATTTAAAAATGATAGGGGCTAAAGTCGAAATTAAAGCTGGGTAGATCATTTTGTGCATTTTTTTTTCGTTTTGAAGCAACCTTTTGCTCAAAATCTAAAAACGGGTGCTTAACAACTAACCTGATGAAAACGGATGCTTTCATCAATCTGATGTAGTTGTAGCTCTGTGACTGCAGTGTAATTCCGAGAGAAAACAATATCCTAAGATCTCATTTTCAATTCAAAGAGTTGCCGACTCGTATTTTTAATTGCGCTCGAAATCAGCATCCGGGACACATCCTCATCCGATTGCAGCAACTACGCGATGCCACGCGCTGATGAATTGACCACAGATTTGGAATTGACGAATAATAGCAGCCACGCGCGCGTGTGCGTCGTGTCACCACCCTCGCGCACCCATTCACGGATTCGCCGAATGACAAACCAACTACTGATGGAATTTCCAAACATGCGTCACTTGACATAACTTTGGCCGGGAATGGTCTTTTTTTTTATTGTTTTCTTCAAAATTACAGGATGCCAAAAAGAATAATTACACAGGGATTTTAGTGCCATTACTATCTTTCAACCACGTGTTTGATTTTTACAACTAATTTTGTCAGTTACTTTTTTGCATAGTCGCAAATTAACTACTCTAACTTTAAAGTCAAAATAGTTCCGGATAAGCTGGCATTTACCTGAGTAATATGTCTTTTTTTTCAAGTTTTCGTAAAGTTAAACCTGAGGAGGTAGATCAGCGTTCTTCTGATGATCCGGTGTGCGTCGTGATAGACAGTGGATCCAGCATGACCAAGGTCGGCTTTGCGGGAGAAGACAGTCCACGGATCAGCTTTCCCACCGTTGTAGGAAAACCGCGTCACCAGGTACGTAAAACGTTGTCTAAGAGGTAGTGTATATCATTTGTGCACTTTTTGTTTGGTTTGAAGCAACACAAGTACCGTAATTTTCGGAATATAAGCCGCGGCTGATACGTTGAATTTGCCCATGAAAATGTTTACTGCGGCTTATACACAGGGTGGCTTATACGCCGAGACTTGAAGAATAAAAATGACATTTACATGTGTATTTAATGTACTGGTACAAGAAGAGATGTGTTGCTGAAATAATTTTCAATTAAAAAAGTCATTAACAAACCGAAAGCACGTCCCACAAAAAGGTACCGAGCGGTAAAAAGTACGGCTAGTGAAAGCTGTCCCTTGGACATCGACAACCGGCCGTACGTGATGCTGCATATGCTGCATGCATGCTGCATGGATTCCCCATGGACCACACCATTTGTGGTAATAAAGGGGTGTACTTTCTTGGGAACAATAATTACCAATATTTCCCCTGTTTAAAAAAAGGAAAAAGACAACTAATACTTTTTATGGAGTTTGAAACATATCTTTATTTGATAATCAGTTGTTCAACGTCACAATATATTTTTTTTTCTTGAAATGTATTCAAGAAACGATGTAAAACTCAACACGGGTGAAATCACTCAAGATCTACAGATAAGAAGGGTGATTAACAACTAACATCATGAAGCTTTAGCTCGGTGAATAACGTATATTCCAAGAAAACATTATTTTATAGGATCTCGGTTTCATTCAGAAGTTGTCGAGTAACATGCCTCGACTCCATGGGCGCGTGCGCGTTCCTCCACTTGCGCAAGGCATGATGGGAAACAACATGGCGCAGCAAGATCGTACCCATGGAAATGAAGTTGCCGAGTAGTAACGTTTTGAATTGGGCCAGAAATCATCGTCTGGGACACGTTCTCATTCAGCCGATTGCAGCTACACGATGTCACGCTCTGAACCGACGAATTATAGCAATTAGAAACGAACTACTAACGGAAATTACCCCCAAAAAGGGGGCTTTAGATGCATATTTGGAAATGACCTTCTTTTATCGTTTTCTTCAAAATGACAGCATGTCAAGAAATTTTGTCTAAAACAAGCATTCTTTTCAACGATAATTTCGTCAATTACTTTTTGGATCGCTGCAAATGATATTCTCTCAATTTAAAGGCACAGAGGATCATACCGTATTATTAAAAAAAAAAATTACTTGGATTGAAGATCGTACTGGTACGAAACACCCCGTGAAATTATTCCGTCTGGCTTGCTGTCATTTAGAAGAAATCAAGAAATGCAGGTGATTTCCAACGATCAGTAATTAACTAATGTTTGGAATTTAAAAGTACCATTCCCTCAATAAGATTTAGAGGGAAAAAGCTTTCATTCCCAGACATTCGCCATTAACTTGTAGGTTTTGAAGATATTTCAAACTGATCATTTCGAAGGTAACGCGTTTGAATTTAAAAAAAAGGAAAATTCAAGACCATTTTGGGGTCTTTTGTCGTGGGTTTTGTTTTCTTGCTAGGGTGTCATGGTCGGCATTGGGCAGAAGGATGTCTACGTTGGTGAAGATGCCTTGAACAAGAGAGGGATCCTGACCGTCACTCACCCAATGGAGCACGGCATCGTTACCAACTGGGACGATATGGAGAAGATCTGGCATCACGCCTTCTACAACGAGCTGCAAGTGACCCCAGAAGAGCAACCCTTACTGCTGACTGAACAAGTCTGGAACCCAAAAGCCAACAAAGAAAAGATGGCAGAGGTAAAAAGACATGTACAAAAAAAAAATCTTCGCAGTAGCATTATCTTGGGCCTCACTATCAGAGGTGTATAATAAGGGGCGACGAATTATAGAAAATATTGTTAAACCTTTTTCGTAAACTTTTTTTTACGTGGTCTAGATCATGTTCGAGATCTTCAAAGTACCCGCACTGTACGTGGAAACACAACCTGTACTGGCTCTCTACGCCTCTGGTCGTACTACGGGAACCGTGCTAAATGCCGGTGGGGGTGTTACCTACTCTGTGCCCATCTACAAGGGTTACGCCCTGCCGCACGCCCCCATCCGCATGGACCTCGGAGGAGATGACTTGACTGGCTATCTGCTCAGGATGCTGTCAGAGCGGGGCTACACTGGTGAGTTACGATACCACGCTTTTCATTGTTTACCGCCAATGGTGAGTTAGCCTGTTGTGTCATTTTTAAAAGTTGAGTGTTCACTACCCTTCACTGTAAAAAAGCAAAAGAAAAAAGTTTGTCCAACATCTGACGGATCCAGACCCCCCCCCCCCCGCTCTGACACCCACAAGAAATTACAACAAAAAGTGCATCAGTAACAATGTGCTGCGTTTCCTAAATGTCCGCCTGTCTGCAACAATCGAACATAAAAATATCTGACGGGCCAACCCCCCCCCCTTGCAAAATTCCTGGATCAGCTCCTGGTAATTGGTATGAATTTACCTCCTTGTTGTTAACTCTGGAAAAAATCAACTAAGTATTGGGAAGGATTTGCCCGAGAGAGCGGCAGCTGGTATGCTGACCAACACTGGGAAACTTGACCAACATCTTCGCTCAACTTTGTTTATAGTTATGGTGAGTTACTGTATTTCATTACCATGTTTCAAGTTGAGTAATCACCCTCTATGGTGAGTTGCTTTGACGTGTTCTAGGTTGAGTGTTCACCATCCAAGGTGAATCAATATTCCAAAGAGCTGTTCAAAGGAATTTAAAATACTTGTATCTTGAAAATCAAACAAAGGTATTAGTGTACATAATATTTCCGTTTTATTTTCATTCAAGGTAATCGTGAGATTGCCCGTGACATCAAGGAGAAGCTCTGCTATGTTGCTCAGGACTTAGAGGAAGAGCTGGCGTTCGCGAGTGCCAGCTCCTCTCTGGAGAAGAGCTACGAGCTCCCTGACGGACAGGTCATCACCATCGGCAACGAGCGATTCCGCTGCCCAGAGGCCCTCTTCCAGCCGAACCTCTTGGACCTGGATGGTCCCGGGATCCACGGAGCCACCCACAACAGCATCACGAATTGCGACGTGGACATCCGTAAGGATCTTTACGGTAACATCGTGCTGGCCGGTAGCGCCACCTTGTTCCCCGGCATCGCTGACCGAATGCAGAAGGAGGTGACGGCCCTGGCCCCGCCCACCGTGAAGATCAAGATCATCGCTCCTCCAGAGAGGAAGTACTCCGCATGGATCGGTGGCTCCATCTTTGCCTATCTGTCCACCTTCCAGGAGTTTCTCATCAGCAAGCAGGAGTACGACGAGTCTGGCCCAAGCGTCATAAAATCACGAGATAAATAGCTGACTGGCAGATAATAATTAATTTCACGTGGTAAATACCCCTTGCATGTGACGTCACATCTTTGGGCAGGTCGGTGTTCCTCTATACTGTGGACAAGTGTACGAGCATTGCTCTCTCATTGTTATTGAAATGAAATGACTAAACCTGTCCCCAGAGAGGGGGCATCGTGCAAGGGGTCTATTGATAATTAACCGTGAGCGATTTTGACCCCGTGTGAAGGGGTGATACGAGCAAACTGGTATTTGCACACAGATTATGAGTTTTCCTCAACATGACACTCTACTATAGCGACTTTTCTTCGATCTTAAGTTTCATTCTCTTAATTGTTTTCATGATATACATTTAATATGCGCGAGTGTTATCTGATGTAAAAGTAAGGCCTTACATTAGCTTATTAACAGCATAATATACAAAAATGAATTCGAAATAATTCTACAAAATGTATAATGGTTGGGGTGTTTGGTTGTTAGACTTGTCCAATTTTACTTCTTTATTTAAGTTTAATTGTTTTCTCAGATTCATTGAGTAAAAATTCCTACACTTCTACAAATTTGAGAGGATCGACTTTCACTTTCTACTAGTCCAAAGCTTATCTTGAAATTCCACCTGTAATTGTTTGGCGAATGAAGTGCGACAGTGCTTCTTTTATTAAAAACAAACATTATTTTTCAGAACTATAATGTCACATCACGTTAAAGTTGACTACTTTTTGTTGATAAAAAAAAATGATTTTTTTTGATACTTGTCAGTGGTGCACCTTATTCAAATAAACATTGCATCTAATAATGGGAGATAAGTTTGACTGGCTAAATTTATTTGTGTAATTTTAAATTCGCTGATAAAGTGCGCACCGGCGCTCCATACTTTGCAACTGCTAGCAGGATATGCGCGCAAGCGCATGCGCTTCACCTGGAGGGAATAAATGATTACACCTGTCAACATCGAAGGTCAAATTCTCCTGGAGTTGAGTTCGTTATTACTATGGGAGTGTTGGAACTACCTCACAAACACTCCACGGATACTGTGTGCTTGGATCGGGAAGGATTTTGTTTACAGCAGCAGTAATTATCGCAGTAAGTTGATTACAATTTGCGTGCGTACGAAAGACCAACACAACATCACTTGTCCCATCCCCTGCCGCATGTCATCATGAGCATTTCAAGCTGTGATATGAGTGCCGCCTATGGGATTCCTCCGCCCCTATTTATGTCATGCATGTCATGAATAAAAGCATGCAATATAGCCCCGTGCTTTAATAAATCCATATGACTGATGCATGATGTCTTAGCGCTGTCAATATATAGTGACGAGTATAGCTCCATGGTGTACTGTACGTTCACGACGACTTGTTCAACCCGGAAGTCAATTGATACTTCATGGCGCGCCGCACCGCCTTTTATTTGAACATGTTCTTTCCGCATGGCGGTTTCTCACAGAAACCGCTAGATCGCATGCGCCCTTAGTATGGAGAGGTGTGTAGAAAAATAGGGAAAGATTTTCATATAGGAAGTTCACTAATTTTCCTCTGTATTGACTAACAAGCCCCATGTACCATGTACCAGTTTATTTTCTGATCTTGTGCATGTGTTGTATGTTTTCAGTACACAGTACGGTCGATCCCGAATTGTCGGACTAGACTTTATCCATTATACTCGGGCTTTATAGCCCTGACTCAATTTTCGTGCATGTCCTTCAGGCTTTGAAATTTGTAATGCGATCAGCACCTAGTGGGCGCAATGTCTGGCGGGGATAAAGCCAACCTGATCATAGACAATGGCTCCTGGACGATCAAGGCCGGCTTCGCCGGAGAGGACGCCCCCAAGGCTGTGTTCCGCTCCATGGTCGGAGAGCCACGGCATCAAAACGTAAGTTGGGAAGATCGTTAAATCTCCACCCAGATTGATCTGAATATAGCTGAACGAAATGACAATAATTTGTACAAAATAAATTAATTGCTGTTGCTACATAGCAAATGGGCAAGTAGGCTTATACTAGCTGGGATGTAGCCTAAATACAACTCTTAAAGGGCTTATAACATTTTGTAAAGGGGCATCACGGCCTGAAATCCCCGAGCATTTTATGTTTTGCGTTGTTGTTTTTTTATCCTATGTCAAATGTCTGGTTGAAAGGAAACTAACCTAACGTTCCCGAGAAAAGACGAAAAACCCCAGTTGTTTACATCGGACAGGTGTCATAAATATACTTATCTCAAGCCGTCTCTATAGTCAATGAACTGAACACTTTGTGTGTATGTCACGTAACACACACAGCACACACGCATGTTGATTCTTACACGTCAGCAGAACGCGAACCGAACCACTGTGCGGCTGGATTCACAACTAGCGCTCACAGCTCGATTTTTCGGAGACAAACTTTGAAGAACCCAGAAATTTGTTTTCGCATGGTTGTTGCAGGAATAACACAAAACGCCCAGTTTTTAAAGTATGGTTGTGTGAACGTTTATATCCTACTTTTAAATGCCCTTTCCAATTAATAAGTTTATTTCAGGCCGTAGTGTCCCTTTAAGAAAAAAAGGAGAGAGCATAACTCGCTTTAAAGATTATGTCTGTCATAATATCGGAAAATGTCTTTGCGAAATGATGCAAACTGCAATTGTTGCCATTAATGCTTGTGTGCACACCCAACATTAAAAACAAAAATAACAACCAAGACAACAACGTCGACAACGACAACAACAAACAAACAAACAACGAACAACATCAAAACGATAATTTAGCATTTATCTTGAAACAGATTGCTGGCATACCAGAGCTGAGGGACACGTACATCGGCGACGAAGCTGAAAGAAAGAGAGGCATCCTGTCCCTGAAATACCCCATCGAGAAGGGTGTAATCACCAACTGGGACCACATGGAGAAGGTCTGGCATCACACCTTCCACAATGAGCTTAACGTGAAGCCTGAGGAGCACTGTGTGATACTGACTGAGTCCCCCCTCAATCCGAAGGCCAACCGGGAAAAGATGGCACAGGTGCATAACGCAGTGTCATTTTGCAAACCAAAATAGCATCGAAATAAAGTGTATTAAAGACGATGTTTAAGATTGTCATCCTCTGTATTTCTGTAGTTTCTTCCATGCCATATTGGCCAATTGTTAGATTAACACACATTATGGCTGTTTCCCATATCGACAGCATGACTCTTGTAGCCATTTCCACACAATGTAATAAAGGTTTTTCATTTGTACTGAGTTTAAATTTTTTAGAACATTTCATTTTTTTTTCACCTACCTTACTAATGCATTTTGCTAGCAATATGCTAACTTGGTGAATTCATTGGTGAATTTATGTTTTCGATGTATTCATTCATTCCAGGAATTGAGGAAACACTGAACTAAGTTTTGTTGTTTTAAATTAGTATTTTTCCCACCGATGTTGTTATATTTTATCATATTTTTGATCGCTGCCTCTTTTGGCTGATTTGGTGTTCTTTTTCTATACTTGAATGAGACTATAGTTTAAAAACCCTTGTGACTAAACTAGTTGAATTTGATTTGTGCACCCACCCAGATCATGTTCGAGACCTTCAACACACCCGCCATATACGTGGCCATGCAGCAAGTGCTGTCGCTGTACGCCTCTGGTCGTACCACCGGACTCGTCTTGGAGGCTGGTCACGGCGTGTCCCACGCCGTGCCTGTCGACGAGGGCTACGCCGTGTCGCATGCCATACGTCGTCTGGACTACGGAGGATACAACTTGACGTTCTTCTTGTCACAGATGCTTTCGGAGCGTTATACGTTCACCACTCAGAGTAATTTACCATTTTCTCAAACCAACCCTACCGGAATCCACACACTTTTTCTGATTCAGTCAGTGATTTAATTACCCATTTGGGTTGCTCAATACATTTTGGGTCTACTTCTGTACCTGTTCAATCTGACACCTTTCTTTCTGATGATGCAATGCAGTTGTCCTCCTAGAGTGATCATGAATAGTAAAGTACCTACCAAAACGGGTCAAAATAAATATTTGAAGTCATTCTTAATGACACTAGAATGGCAAATTTGTAACAGGGGCAGGAAAAATTAATGTCACACTTGGGGCGCTAAATTTATAAAATGACCCATATGCATTGATTGTGAAATCAAATTTCAAATAAAGAAGCACAAAGGTGTAGATGCGACAGAAGTAAGAGCCTTCATTTTAGATTGATTGTTTGGTTGAGATGGCGGGAAAATTGAAATCTTTCATTGACAAGTGGTTAAAAGCTGCTTGCTAGGGGAAACAACAAAGTTAATTATGTGCTTGTAAAGAGACCGGTGTCGTGCAGTGAAATTAAGTAAGCACAGTATTAATATGGCGCTTACCAAAATAGCCGGTACCAGCAAAAATATCATGCAATATACAATGTCTTGTGGCTGGTTCTCTGCCGATTTGTGCATGACACATTTTCTGAGCATCGTTTTCTGCTTAAACGGGTATAATTTGGATTCAGTTTATATCAGTTTCTGTGACCTGTCCATAACCGATTTCAAACATGAATGCAATTTCGCCATTCTAAGTGCACTGCTTTTCACCATATGACAGTCCACTAGCGAGGGACATGCACAATTAATTCACTCGCAAACGCTCTCTACAATTCTCATGGAGGCTGCGGCAACCTGTCTCACATAGATAGCGTTTTGAACCAAAACTGTATTTTTCGTTTGTTGCAGTCCCGCGGATGAATGACATCAGTGGCTACAAGGAGAGGTCGTGCTACGTTACTCTGGACTACGACCAGGAGATGCAGAAGGAGATGCCTGACCCTTCACCGGAGCATAGTTACCAGCTACCCGACGAGCAGGTCATCACTCTGCGGAACGAGCGCTTCCGTTGCCCGGAGGCCCTCTTCCAGCCATCCTTCCTTGGGAGTGAATATGAAACGGCTCCAGGCATCCACACACTCGCGCCTGAAAGCATCTTGAAGTGCGGCGTGGAATCCCGCAAGGATATGTACGCCAATATCGTTCTGGCTGGCGGCTCTACCATGTTCCCAGGCTTCGTCGACCGAATGCAGAAGGAAGTTGCGGCCCTTGCCCCGCCAGAGACGAAGATCAAAATCGTGGCTACCCAGGAGAGGAAGTTTTCAGCCTGGATCGGGGGCTCCATCCTTGCTTGTCACCCAAGCATTAAGGAAATGTGGATCAGCAAGCAGGAGTACGAAGAGTCTGGCCCCAGCATCGTGCACCGTTGTGGCACCAAGTAGACGACATGGGCCAAAGCTACATACATACCAAATAAAAAAATTGTAATACCAAATCACTGATTTGGCAAGGATTTGAATGCTACCCTTGAGAAGGACTTATTAATTCAAAGAGGTCACTTGCAGGGTTAAGAAGTCTTCACCCTACCTTGTTGATATGTTAAATTCCATAATCTATGAGTGATTTCGATGCATACTCTAATCTTTCTCGAAATCCTAGGTCAACGTGTTTATTCTCATCAGTCATGTTCGGAATAATTTGCCTTTTTCCTGTAGTCTGATTTGAGTTTAACTCAATGACGTTAGAGTCTTCAACGATCACCTGAAAGGTCTTAGAAAATTACAGCTTCAACCTTAAACTAGGAGAGCTTTTTGTTTCAATTATAAACCGTAGATTTCGATGCTGGTAGTTTCTGAAGCAAACGCATTTTTTTTATTGGCATTTTAAGTCTGGCAATGACAAGGATGTACATTTTATGATTTTTTAAATTACTTCACTTGAATGATACTGACAGTGTTCGCTGAAAGTTAGCTGAGCTAACGAGTTTCTTCATTTTCTGCACCTTTTGAGTATCTGATTATTTTAAAATTCGCTCATAGTGCTGATGCTCTTGATATGAATAAAAAATTAAAATTATATAGTGCATAAAAGTGCAATAAATGCTTTTTCATTCGAAAAACATGTTGTTTTTTCATAATTCTCTGACAGAGCTTATGAGCTGTAATGAGTCGCTGTTTGTGTGACACGAGTCGAGACTAGTCATTGTAAGGAAGCCATCTAGTCGAGTCGAGTTATTAGGTCAAGAAGGGTCGAGTCACAAGGTGTGGTCGACTCGAGTCGAGTCAAATTGATGCTCGAGTTATTTCGAGTCATTATTTGAATATTTAATATTAGGCTACAGAATGGAAGAAGGAACACAAGGCACAAATTTATTGTGACTCGATTCGGAGTCGAGTCGAGTCATTAACATGATTTGTTACATGTCAGTCAGTCAGGACATGCAGCTGTTACACAATTTTAAGTGTTAGTAGAGCCACATAAACTTCTTTGTTTTGTAATTGTACTGAAATCTCTATTCATTTACATGGTTCATTGCTAGTAACAATTTAGTTGAGTAGTTTGGGCTTGCATTATTCGATCAACAGTTATAATACACCTTCATTTAATGTTACGTTTTAATGTATCATTATTAGTGATGATAAATAATACAGTGATTTTTATTGAGGTCAGATGGAAGTGTAGATAATCTTGAATTGTGAGACGTGTGACGTTGACAAATACTTTATCTATTTGTATAGCTATTGATGACGAATAAACTAATCTGGACATGAAAAGGTATTGCAGGTGTGTGTCTAATAGAAGAAATTTCTTGTGCTTCCGATGCACCTGTTAGATGTTAGATTGCTCTAAAGTCACTCTATCCCTTTCAAAATCCGGCACTATGAGTAATATCAGGCTTATTTCCTGGACTGGGTGTTTGGGAGCATGCATGGAGCTATTAAACGGCCAGGGTTTGAGATACAGTAAAGAAAGTCGACCAAAACTCGAATGTCTGATGACGCAGCGTACGGTGGTGGAGAAGCTCTGCTACATTGCTCTGAACCTCCAGGAGGAGTGTGAGAGTTTCAGCTCCTCCCTCGAGCCTCGAGGGATGGGTTACCAGTGTAATTCATAAGTGGCAGTCAGTGAAAAAGGTTACCAGTCATGCAAATTAACATGTGACACTCGGGGAGTCGGTCAGTCAGCAGTAAGTCCGATATGCCGTGTTATTCACAAGTCAGTGACTGTCACGGTAACGCGTTATCGAGGAAGGCAATTCAAACTTCCGTATACCAGCCATACCCAACCTCGTCCCCAGGGTGTCGAGCAGTACGCGCCCACCACTACCTGCTCTCTCACCCTGGTATTGGATCACTTGCATGTGCAAGATTTTTGCACACGTATGCAAATGAGGAACAGTCTGGTGCCTGGATATGCGTTACACATTAGCGTTTGTTTTTGTATGCGGTGTCTGGGGTAAAAACAGAGTCAATTCGTAGCAGCGCGAGCACGGCGTGAGTTACGAAAACACGATTTTTTGAAATCAAACTGTTACGATCTTATCGAGACAACATGCAGTATCATATTTCATATTAATATGAGAAAATTGGAAAGGAAATTAGTATTTTCGAGAAGGCGTGGACGAATGATCGCGAAAACACGTACTGCACGTTGTGAATATATAGCCCCAAGTACACGATAAAAATCCATTACTAGCCAATTGCGGTATCCAATCAGGATACAGGAAGAAAGTTTCCTATCCAGGGTTTACTATTGGAAACGCGGTTGGAAATAAAGTAAGCACTGGGGACGAGGTTGAGTCATACCTGCCTTCCCGTTCAACGGGGCGGGAAGGATGTGGGCCATACAGTCCCACTTGACCTTATTGGTGTCATAAAAGCTAACACTCCCTTTCAAAACTACTACAGGCAATATCAGCTAGATAACAATAGGCTTAGTTCCTGAAGCGGTTGTTTGAGCATGGAGCTATGAAACGGATAGCTGGTTTGAGATACAGTCAACAAAGCCTAAGGCAACCAAAACGAGGATGTCTGGTGACGGTCTTCCGAGCGTGGTGATTGACAATGGATCCAGCATGATCAAGGCAGGGTTCGCTGGGGAAGACAGTCCCAGAGTCTGCTTCCCAACTGTCTTTGGACTACCACGTCACTTGGTAACAGCAAAACACTGAAAACTCGAAGCTAACACGGCTATTTGTGTATATATTTAATCATGTAGATTCATGTTGCATTGGTCACGTCACCGATAGACACATTTTGCCGTCGAAACATTCTTAATTTTGGGGGGGCTCATGCAGCAAACGCATGACATTGACACAGGGGTACAATTTTACTCCCTCGACCCCCTTGACCCCAATTGACCCCTTGACCCCCTCGACCCACGATCCCTTTGACCCACGGCTCCCTCGACTTACGCTCAAGCCCTTCAAAACAGATTCACCCGACTAGATCGAGCAAATGAATGTCGAATTCGTACTTGCCCATATTCAAAATCTTTCTGATCGAAAAGTTTTCGATCTTGAAAACGAAGCGCGTGGGCGGTTCAGTCAACATCAATTACGCAATGCCCATGTCGCATTGCCCCGATCCTGAATCAGACCCTATTCCAAATCGGCATCCATGTCGGAACCTGTATTTACGGCCCTTGTTCGACTTCTTTTTCAAGATTGAACACTCATCGATTTGGAAGATTATGAACATGGGCAAGTACGAAGTAAAACAATCCATGGCTTGATATTTTAAGGGGAGTGTGTTTTGAGAGGCTTGAACGTAGTCGAGGGGTCGAGTGAGTCGTTGGGGTCGAGGTGTTTTTGGTTTTTATCTAACTAATCTGACAGTCCCTGTCTTTGGTAACAGCAAGTCTGTTAATGTTGCGACGGCTTGCGTTGACCGTTTTAGGGTTCCCTGTTTGGCGTGGGAGAAAAAGACGGTTACATCGGAGACGAAGCCCTGAGCAAGATGGGTATCTTGATCCTGAAGCGCCCAATCGAGCACGGTGTCGTCACTAACTGGGACGATATGGAGAGGATCTGGGAACACGCCTTCTACAACGAGCTGCGTGTGGCCCCAGAGGAGCGCTCCGTGATGCTGACTGAAGCCCCTTTGAACCCCAAGATTAACAGGGAAAAGACGGCACAGGTGATTACAAATATCTATATCAACAGGAAAAGGCTTGCGTAGTAGAGCTGTTTAGAACACACGAGCGATTCCATCTGATGGTCGGTGCAGTTAGCCAGTCGTCAGGCAGACATGCAGTCCGAGAGGGTGCTCTCTCGCAGGTCCAGCAAAAACATTTTCAACACCGTTGGATTTCCAAATTTCATTTTAAATTTACACGAGTTTCCTTGAGCAGAACCGGATGAATTAAAATGACCTCCAATGTGTGTATTTTTCTTCTGAATATTGTATTCCCTTATAGATCATGTTCGAGACCTTCGGCGTTCCTTCCATGTGCCTTGCCTCGCAGGCTCTGCTGTCTCTCTACGCCTCTGGTCCTGTCACTGGACTCGTAGTCAGTTCGGGTGGAGGTGTCTCAAACACTGTGCCCATCTCCGATGGTCATGCCCTGCCTCATGCCACCAATCGCACGGAGATTTGCGGCGTTGACTTGACCGATTATCTGAGGGAGCTCTTTAAAGAGCGTGGCTATCCCTTTACCAATCATTTATGTGAGTCACTCAGTTTCGGCAGTCCCTTTAGGCGGGATGAGGTGTCCTTATTCAATGGGTCAGGTTGTTTTATTTTGATGCCCCCTAACACACGCAGCAAGTCTGGTTTTCCTTTACTTCAGAGGACCCTAGTTGTTTCATTCTTTTATTCCAATGTTTCAAACTTAAACTTTTTCTCAACATGTGCCATAGGTTTTATACATGTAAATCTTCTGAGGACTTGTGTTCTTGTCCTCGGGCTTATTGCTATCGTATGCAACCCATTGTTCCAAGTCCTCAGACGTAAAGTATCACCAGGTGCAGATCGTTCGTTCACTGAAAATCAGAACTTGCCTTACTGACGAGATTTACACAAATACAATGACAGGATTGAACATGACATCATGTTCAGTGCTGTATATACCATATCAGATATAACAATGAGATATTTAACGAAGCTCATATATTTTCCCCATTTCATCGCACGTGCAGCCGACCGTCATCTTGTGAGTAGCATCAAGGAGACGCTCTGCTACGTTGCTCGGGACTTCCAGGAGGAGTGTGAGAGTTTCAGCTCCTCCCTGGAGAGGAGTTACGAGCTCCCTGACGGACATATCATCACCGTTGGCCAAGAGCGGTTCCGCTGCCCAGAGGCCCTCTTCCAGCCAAACATGTTGGGCTTGGAGATCCCAGGAATCCACGAGATGGCTTTCAACAGCATCATGAAGTGTGATGAGGGCATTCGTCCGGATCTGTTCAATAACATCATCCTGGCAGGTGGCTCTACCATGTTCTCCGACATCGCCGCCAGGATGCAGACAGAGTTGGAAGCCCTGGCCCCGCCCACCACGAAGATCAAGATCATCGCTCCCTCAGAGAGGAAGTACTCCGCGTGGATCGGTGGCTCCATCCTTGCTTCCCTGTCCACCGTCCAGCAGATGTGGATCAGCAAGCAGGAGTACGATGAGTCTGGCCCAGTCATCGTTCACACTAAGCCTATCTAAACTGTGAGCTGTGCGAGCTTTAGATATAGATGGCATTGTCTGACCTGACACCCCATAGTCGAAGATCGAGATCGTCGCTTCCCAGAGAGGTCCAACTATTGACTGGCTCAGTGGTTCCATCCTTGCCTCCCTCTAGATTTGCGTCAACAATCAGGAGTCTGGCCCAAGCATCATTCACAATTATTTCTGAATGTGTGCGCTTTGCTCGAACCTAAGACTGCAATTGTGTTGACTAACACTTCATAATAAAATTTCTAAATTTGGTGCTATTGACACTGAAAAATATATCCTAGATTAAGAAAAATAGAGTATACTGGATAGAAATCAATTTATTTTATAATAAAGTATTAAAGGTACAGGTTGGGGGATTCGTTAACATCCTTCTTTGTATAAATATTTTGATTGATTGGACGGAAAATGTTTATTAATCTCATTAATATCATTGTTCACTTCATTATTCTCTCTTAAAATCAAGCTGTTTGAAAAACTGTTTTAACAGTTTTTCAAACAACCCGATTTAACGATAAATTTCTGTTCAGGAGAGAGACGATTTCACTCAAAGAATCTCCACCTTTTAAGGTTCACCGACTTTACGGTCCAGTATTTACGGTCCAACTATTGTCCAGTATAGGCCTAAACAAGGAACAAAAGTGTCGTTTAATGCTTTGAGTTATGAGATGAATTCGATCAATTGCTCAGCATTGGCTAGTGAAAGCCTTAATCCTAACCCTTAAATATGTACCTTTACAAACTCTTATTGTTTACCCTTCGCGTGGGTGCACAACTCTGGTTACATCATCATGATGCACACAGTATTTTGAAATACATGGAGAGTCTTACACATGCAGTCACTGGTAGTATTGGTGGGTTACAGCGCATACAACTCTATTCATTACCTTTCAAATCCAAATGGAGTGATGTATGTTAGTGTTACAGCTACGGAAATAAACTAGATTAAAGAAAAACTATTAAATGCTATCGATGTGATCGTACGGGATTGAGGTTTTTTAACACCAACCAGCAGGACGTTTGGCGAGCATGCTCATTTTGTGGAACCACATTTAACTGTGCACTCAAATGAAGACCACTGACCTTGATATTTGTGGCACGGACTACACAGCTAAATATCGCAGGGAGTTATTTCGTTTGGATAATACATGGCAGTGGAATATCGTCCGAGAAGTATTGATCGGTAAGTTTCTAGCGGTCAATTTAATTGATTAAGATATTTATCCATTCTCTATTATTATATTATTATTTTTTTGGTTAATTATTTTACGGGTCATTCCTTAAATAACTGAGGAAGAGTTAAAACTGAAAGTAAATTGAATAAGATTAGACCTGAACGTAAACAAATGTGGAAAGTGAAAATAGTGTCATTCAATAATTATCATTACAAATGTAATGTTCGAAAAACAAAAGCAAAGACAAACGATACAAATTATTTTCGAAATAAAATATATATATTACATACAAAACAAACTAAAAAATAAAAATGAAAATAACGAAAACTTAAAATCAAATAAAAATAAAAAGGGATAGTATTTTGTACTACATGTATTTCTCCTTATGAAAATTGCAAAGAGAACATTCAGTCGTATAAAAAAAAATTACGAATTAACCAAAATGCTAAAATGCAATGTTTAAATAGCACACTCAAAATGAATCCTTAAATTTATGTCGAAAATTTTGTGGAAGTACCTCGTAAAAGCTTCGTAAAAGTGGGGAGTGTGGCCTGGTTGTTGGGGTTCGTGACTCGCAGCAGCATATGCAGCTTTTGATGTCAGGGGGCGGGGGGGGGGGGGGGGGGAACCGCACATCCGCGCCGAAATGTAGACATGTTTTTTTCCGGAAACTTGGCCTCCGTAAAATCTAAAAGGGGGGGGGGGGGCTGGTACCCATCTTCCAAATGGGGGCGCTCTTCAAACTGACCATTATTATGCATACTACATATTATATGGAAATTTTCACGGCACATTATAATGGTTGTTGAGCGGGTTTTCTTTGGTGGGATTGATGTCTGAAGAACTCTTTAAACATTTATTAAAATCATTGCTGACAAACAACCCCCTTGCCCCCCGCTGGATACGCCACTGGTGACTTGGGTTCGAATGCAGCTACTGGTCATATGCTGTGTCCTTGGGATTGTGTCCATTCGGATGGCCCTCTCTGGCACTAGCAAAATCAGCCTAGAGACCCGGATTTATGCCGATACCGACTGCATTAACGTTCAACAGGACAGGAAGGATGTGCTACAGAGTTCCACCTTGACCGTATTGGCTCATAAATATTCACAGCTCAATGTCAATCTCTACACACTCTTTTGGTAGCGCACGGAGCTCATGGCACTGAAATTGAGAGTTTCCCGTCATGCTTTGCGAGCGCTTAGCAAAGGCCGTGCACGTACAGTACGCAATGGTGCAACAAAAACAATGTACCAGTAGCAAAAGTTGCACTGTAATACGTCACCACGTTAATGAGTAAAATACGTCAGCATATTCTTCAGTGCACTATGTAATTCTCACCAATTCATTTGACCAATTACAGATCACCGTGTCATATAGTCCTTACGCGTTGCACTGTATCTAGGAAATTATCCGTTGATTTTCAAGTTAGATGGAACGCACCAAGGATTTACTCGTGTCTATCCTAGCCTTATCAATCCACTGCCCTCTTACTCCGCCCTAATGCACGAGGTTTGTTCTCACTGCGGTCAGGTGACCAGACAAAAATATTCGTGTATACCTTCCAGCACGGAATGGTCTACCTCCCCCCCCCCCCCAACATTCAATTGGCTTAACGACTTTCGTGCCCTTCAAAACCTCCCAGCCCCAAAACCTGGATGAGCTACAGTAGGTCTAAGCAATTATACAGCACGATGTGAGAAAGAGGGGCATGGGCGTCGCGAGGGGGGGGGGGGAAGGGGGGCACTTGCCCCCCCCCCCCCCGGAAAAGCAAAAAAAAAAAAAAAAAAAAAGGAAGAAAAAAAAAAAAGAAAAAAAAAAGAAAAAGAGGCGCGAAGACAAAGTGGTGTAAATTTAATGAGTTGGGGGGGGGGGCAAAATGTCCCTGCCCCCCTCTAAAACTGATAAATCGAGAATGTGATGAGAAATACAAGCATTTTTGGCAAAAAATTGTTTGCCCCCCTCTAGAAAAAATCCTGGCGACGCCCATGAAGAGGGGTACTCCCTCCATCTCCTTATACCCTACTACACACCCTAGACTATTGTTACCAGCATATCCCCTAGATATCTCAAAATTTCGGAGATTCTGGTAACACAATGACCAAAAAACCCAACACAACAGAAGGGGGTACCGCTGTCACATAGCGCGCTACATTATGAGAAACTAGTTGAATATCAGTTCCCCCGCAGTATCACAATATAACGAGAGCGATTCCGGCCCATGTTATTTCAAGTGCTATATAATTTATGCAGTTCCAGTTTGACAGTGAACCGAGGTTGTTTCTGATCACCAGCAACTGTATGGACCATGAGGAAATACAAAAGGTTGTCGGTGAATTTTAGATCCGTGTTTTCGAGTCAGATGAATTATACTATAATAGGTCGGGCTTAGTGTTGACCTGAAGCTATTCCGCCATTGTTGTCGGTCTCACACAAACCGGATGTGAATGAATTCACCATTCATCGAATTATAACAACACACGCCAGCCGTCTGTCTGTCTGTCTGTCGGTCGGTCTGGGCTGAGCAGCGGCTATCTGATGTAAGTTTACTCGTATTTATAAGTATTTAGGACTAGGCCTATTCTTTAATGGTGATGTACACAAACTTGAGGCTTTGAACGTGATCACTGAGGTGTTGTTTTGTTGATACTGTACACCACAAAACCATGGAGCTATACAGAGGCAGCTCCATGCACAAACTAACGGTTTCGAAAGTCTCACTGAAAATGGGAAACCTTTTTGAGGAATTGATAATCATACTGATGTTGATTTGGAATACGTTGTAATATGTACAAGTCTTAAAGCTCCATTATTTTGGTGTGATATGATATTCGGTTGATACCACAAACTTATCATTCACAAGTTTCAGTGGAAATGAGGAAATGTTTTTAGGAAAAGGTTGGACTAAGTTCCTGTCGTGTTTATCTGCCCATGTGTTAACATACCAAATTGCGAGTCATTGTTGATTTTGGTACATGGCAAAGGAACTTGAATATGGGTTTGGAAGTTATCTGAAGATCAGATGTGATTTCATGAACTGAACATTTACGGATTTAGTGTTTCATACTATCAAAATGGAGTTTACAGTCATTACTAATGTTGGGCATGAAATATTGAAAAGCTTATACCACAAGTACATTAGAATTTCACGCCTGAATGGTTTGCTATAACGAAGCACAACTATATCACTTGTGTTGGTAGTATACATGTATGTATTTGAATGTAACTTGCAGGCATAGCTTACATTTGCGACTAGCTAGCTACAGGGCATGTATTCATTTGGCACATTTATGCTCACATACACTGCAAAAAACTGTAGTGTTAATTTAACACCATTCGGTATCTATATAGGACAACACCAGTACAATTTAACACCAGATGGTCCTATGTAGATACCAATGGTGTAAATTTAACACTGCAGTTTTTGCAGTGTATTTACGCTAGTGTATTGTGTGTTGTTACGAATAGCTAATCGAGTGCATCGTGAGGTGAAGGATGACCGCCATGCGCACCATCGTGATTGACAACGGGGCCTACCTGACCCGCGTGGGCATCTCCGGGCGTGACGTACCGGAGGAGACTTTCCGGACAGTGGTCGGCCGGAAGAAAGAGGTATTTACTTTCAACATTTGTGTATTGATTCACTTAAGTTCGCTGTTTGTACAGAGTTTCACCCCAAAGTGTGTTTTGTCCCTTTTTTGTAATTGGAGAATTAGTTTAAAACTAATTTTTGTATAGTGATTATGTCAGTTGACAGTCATTTTACGAGTTCAGTGCCAAAGACTTAGTACTTACAGTTTGTTGTCAACCGGTGAGGTACCTAATAATAATAAAATGCTTTGAGTTTCCATGGCAACATTTTTGAAACAGATAAGGTGTGTACGAGTGACTCGTAAGGGTTGCCTGCCCCCTTTGGGAGGGAACCTGAACCATGGGTGTCGCAAGGGGGTGGGGTGGGGCAATGGGGGCGCTTCCCCCCCCCCCGGATAAGCAACCCAAAAAGCAGAGAAGGGGGGGGGGAGAGGCGTGAAGTCACATTGCTGTTAATTTAATAGGTTGTGGGGGGGGGGCAAAATGTCCCTGCCATCGTCGAAAATGATAAATCGTGCTTTGCCCCCCTCTATAAAAAATCTTGGCGACGCCCAGGACCTGAACGGCATTTTCTCCCCCCCCCCCCCCCCCCCACCCTGCCTCCACCCCACCACTTTGCTACGAAATGACATGGGTTTGAATGAAGTTATGCTCTCTAAAGATTTGGTACTGATTTGATCAAGAGCACTCAAGAGACAAACGTTCAGAGCGACGAAAACTTCTCTTCCTTCGTCCCACGTGCAGGGTACGGAATCGGCCAGCGGCGCCTCGGACATCCTGGTTGGGGAGGATGCCCTCGAAGTCCGGGACGCCCTGAACCTGAGCTACCCGGTAGACAAGTACCGCATCACCAACATGGAAGATTTGGGTCACATCTGGAGGTTTACCTGCATGGATGTTCTGGGCTGTGACTCCCTGGAAGAGTGCCCCATGCTGCTGACGGATGGGCCCCTGGAGGCGTCGGAGAGGGCCAAATCCAGGGCAAGACTCACCGAGGTAAAAGCCAGTGTTCCATCAGTGAAGTATACTTCATCAGTGAAGTATACAAGTCCTTTCACAAGTCCAGTTAGAAATTAATAACAGCTGATGAGCAACAACAAAGAAGTGCTGTTGTCACAGTTCATTTAAATAGCTTGAGACTTGATTTGACACCGGGGCACTTGTGATGTTAATGTGAGGTCCTGCCATCGCGAGCACTTTTGTGGACATGTGAGGACTTGTGAGGACTCTAGGGCTAATTAGAGGACCTTTACTTTTTCGATCCTCGCCACAAATAGGGCCCTTTAGGCCTCGTTTTTAATGCTAACTTAAAACCAAGCTGTAGTGTAAGATACATTTTGACAGAGTTCTAATCAAGTCGTCACAAGTTAGGCTATCACAAGTTTTTCACTGGTATGATGTAGTCTCAATCTAAAGTGAAGTGCCTTGTTGCTTCCGACCTTACTTGTGATTGACTCACTTGTAGCTAACTTAATAACTGACTTGCAACTAACTAGTGGATGACGTGTGGTTGATGGACCCATTAAGGACTTGTGTTGGACTTGTGGATGACCAGTTGACTATAGTAAATAACTTGATCGACCTTATCATACCTCCAGCTATTTTTCTCATATTGACGACATTTTAGAGCATTTCCCAAGCATCCAGACACTTTGTGTTGCAGATCATGTTCGAGAAATGCAAGGTACCGTCCTTCTACGTCGCCCTGCAACAGTTCCTCGCACTTATTAGCTTGGACCACACCACGGGACTGGTGGTAGACATAGGAGAGAGCATGGCGAGTACCGTCCCCGTCGTAGATGGCGCTGTGGTCCAAGACGCGATCCAGACCACGGACGTTGCGTCTGGTCGACAGATGACAGACCTCCTGATGAAGATGCTGAACGAGCGAGAGGGCATCTCGATAAGTACGAGTTTCGAAATCGCGGATTTGATTCCGGCTTTTGGTTTCATTTCTGGTTCCAGAAACATTTCAGGTCCAAATCATGCATGGGAATACAACAAACTTTGACATCACGATAGATTGACGTTAATAAATAAATCTTGAACCGGAGATGTCGGCTTCAAGGACCTAAAAGTCTCGTGAAGCCAGAGCCGAAATATAGCCGAGATTTGACCAAACAAAGATGCATGACCTATAGGGTCAATCCTTCAGCTTATTCACGACGTATGTCTAGGCGGGCAACAGTAACATTTTATTCAAATATAAATTATGTAATCTGGTTTAATCTCGTTTGAAATCCAGCTGATCGCGAGATTGCAACCGCCATTAAAGAGAAGCTGAGTTACGTCACCTGTGACTTCGAAGGAGAGTTCAAGTTTGCCGGGTCAGCGACCGAAGATTACACTCTACCGGACGGACAGGTATGATGTCATAATAAGAGAGTTGTTGTTTTGCTAGTATAGCCTCGCTTTGATTCCAAGATGGCGGCGATTCCATGCAATGAACGAATATTTCCCGAGTCCCAGCCGTAGTTTTGGGCATAACAATGAATAGTTGGCAAGATGATGTACAGCCATTTAATATTGCAAAGCAGAAAAGTTAACTACCTGTGCTGGGTCGGAAGGACTATAGCTTTGTCCTCAGACAGACAGACAGACAGACAGACAGACAGACGGGGAGACAGACAGAAAGACAGACCGACTGACTGACTGACTGACTGACTGACTGATTGACTCACTGAGTGTAAAAAAATATCCTAAACTGAGCCTTTTGAGTCAAGCTTGATTATGCAAACCAGGCCTGGTTTGATCAATTACTATTGAACTAAAAACACCAAATATTCAACATAAGAATATACCAAAACCTAAATGGACTCAACTCTCTCTCTCAAACACTGCTGGGGAAAAAATGAATTAGTTTTGGAAAAGGCTGTTAAAACTTATGGTAACTGGATAACAGAAGTTCAAAATGGCGGTCAGTGATTGCAAGCAAAACTACAAAGCACTCAGAGAGCACAAACCTCCGCCAAGGCTAAACAATTCCCCCGCATGGCATATTGTCAGTAACTTTTATTGTTAAAAAAATACTCGCATAAATCGTGAATCCTTAAAATAAATCCTGGATCCAGACCCAGATCCGGATCACTTCCAAAATCCAATCGATTTGTCCTTGTACCATGGACCACCCCTAAGAAAATGTTCATGCAAATCCGTCCATAACTTTTTGAGTTATCTTGTTAACAGACTACCAACCAACCAACAAAATCCGATGAGAAACATAACCTCTCATAGACACTACATCTGTTTGCACTATTCACTTGTCCAGGTGATAGGAGTAGGAACCGAGCGTTTTCAATGTACGGAGCCGCTTTTCCAACCGTTCCTCTTAGACCCAGAGGGGGTGGGCTCCAACGCCCTTGGCATCCACCAGATGGCCCACAAGAGCATCGAGAGCTGCGTCGAATCCTCCCGGGCGGACCTCTACAAGTCCATCGTGACCGCCGGTGGCTCCTCGCTGATCTCGAACCTCTCCGGCCGCCTGAAGCAAGAGATGAAGGCCCTCGCCGGGGACGGGACAGAAGTACGGGTGCTGACCCCGCCCACGAGGGCGTTGTCGGCCTGGCTGGGCGGGTCCCTGCTGGCCGAATGGGAGGGGTTCCCGGAGCTCGTGATCAGCGCGCAGGAGTACCAGGAAAAGGGTGCGGAAATCGTCAATCAGAAGTGTAAGAACTGATCAGGCACCAACTCTAATTGCTAATGTCCATGCCAAAGTAGTCTAAGCTGGCTGTTACGTTTTTAATGTGTTTAATGTGTTCACTGTACGCGAAACTTAAATTTTGCTTTAGAAATTTGGGCAATTCTCAAAATCTCAGCATGTAGAACAAAGTGATATTCCAATGGCTTGTCCCCACGTGCTGCATCTCTTTGGAATTCCTTGCCTTGTGCTTGTTTCCCTGCAACCTGTCCTGTTTCAAGAGGAATTTTAATTCATTCCTTCAGTTTTCTTGAGTACCTAGCTCTTCTTTTAATTTATCTTGTAGCCCTGTACCTGGAGTGGCTCGTACTACTCGTAGCCTTGTTCAGAGAAAAATATGCCAGAACCAAAATACAAGTGGCAAGCTGTGGTAATAGTTTACGTTTTAACATCAGGAAGCAGTATTTCTAAAAACAGCCGCATCTTGAAAAAAATTGTAATTCGATTTCCTTTAAATTCCTTCTATTTCTACTTGGCTATTAAACTTCTTGCCAAACGAAATCATCTATTAATTTTTTTTTCAGATATTAGAAAGTTATAAATGCTATTGTTGAATAATAAAGCATTAAGTTGTCATTTTTTTGGGCAATACTTATGTCATACTCGGCCACTGCAGTTTTAAAAGTCCAACAAGTGAAACAATTGTTTTATCTTTTCTATGAATTGTATGTAATGTTTATATAGAAATTGCAATAAAAATATCAAAGGTGGCCAACAACCGTTTGAAACTTTTGAATGTTTCCAATTCCAGTGCAGATTGATTACTTTGTGTTTTTCTTTTAATATTTTATTGTTATTGCCAATTAACACTGGCAAATATTAATGAATGTAGGCCCTATATTAAAAGCGTGCGCCTCTGGTGTATAAATATTGTCACATATTGTGCTACTTTTGGCTTTGTTTGCCTCATATTACAGAACTATAAATCCGTTCGTAAAAAATATTTTTTTCAGACGTGGTCATTCCACTGCTAAGGCTGGGAGAACTATGTGTCGAAAAGAATGTTCCCTTAGAATACGAACACATACATCACAATCCCACAAAGAAACACCAACACGCACCAACCCTTTCATTTCACTTTTTTTATTTTTTAATATAGAGCAAGTTTAAAATACTGTAGTAAAATGTACTTTTGTATATTTTTTTTGCGAATCGACAAGCCAAGAAAGAAACCATACATTTTAAGGTATACTAGTTGAATATTTACCCCCAAAAATATGTTGCCATACAAAAGATATTAGACACGACGTATATAGGTTTTCATCTTCAGACGAATACTAACGGTTCGAATACGAAAGCAGGCAATTCAACGAACTTCAATATTATGAGTTCAACCTCCTAACCAAATTAACGACTTTGGTTGATGGCTCTGATAAAAAAAAAAGCAGGCTCCATGCTACAACGTGATCCAGGAAGCCTTCTCAATGTTTGTGTGACGAATCGGATCAGTTCCACATGCACAGTTGCATAGACAAGAAAGGTAGGCTCTGCGGGCAGAACTTGTTAATAGGTACAATAGTAAACGACAGACAAGTTGTAAGATATGGAAGCAAAAGTGATACCTCATCTCGCGTATAATGAAAGTTAATTTATACAGTCTTAATGTTTTCCAGGAGATCGAGTATCTGGGAGGCGTTAAGGTGAGTTTGTATTTCAAAGTTCACTTTTTAGAAGCACTTGCGGTGCACGATGCTGGGGCCAGACTCATCGTACTCCTGCTTGCTGATCCACATCTGCTGGAAGGTGGACAGAGAGGCAAGGATGGAGCCACCGATCCATACGGAGTACTTCCTCTCTGGGGGAGCGATGATCTTGATCTTCATGGTGGGCGGGGCCAGGGCCGTCACCTCCTTCTGCATTCTGTCGGCGATGCCGGGGAACATGGTGGAGCCACCAGACAGCACGGTGTTGGCGTACAGATCCTTACGGATGTCCACGTCGCACTTCATGATGCTGTTGTACGTGGTCTCGTGGATGCCAGCACTCTCCATTCCCAGAAACGCGGGCTGGAACATGGCCTCGGGAGAACGGAAACGCTCGTTGCCGATGGTGATGACCTGTCCGTCAGGGAGCTCGTAGCTCTTCTCCAGGGAGGAGCTGGAAGCCGCGGTGTTCATCTCCTGCTCGAAGTCCAGAGCAACGTAGCAGAGCTTCTCCTTGATGTCACGCACAATTTCACGCTCGGCTGCAAGAGAACAATAAATGTAGTCAATTATTGTTAACAACAAATTACCAATTTTGACTTTCGTTTCCCCCAAAGAAGTCTAACATCACAATAAGAAATCATTTTAAAATTGCTGACTTGCCAATCGGTAGTCAGCAAAACACCCCCAAAAATGCGGTAAAAGAGGAGACTCACCAGTTGTGGTGAAAGAGTAGCCACGCTCTGTGAGGATCTTCATCAGGTAGTCGGTCAAGTCACGGCCGGCCAAGTCCAGACGGAGGATGGCGTGGGGCAGGGCGTAACCCTCATAGATGGGCACAGTGTGGGACACACCATCACCAGAGTCAAACACGATCCCAGTGGTACGACCTGAGGCGTAGAGAGACAGCACAGCCTGGATGGCCACGTACATGGCGGGTGTGTTGAAGGTCTCGAACATGATCTGAAGGGAATTCAACAGATCAAGTTTACAACATAGATTTGGCTACAATTTTAAAACGTTTTCGGACAGGTTAATTTTACATTGGCATCGATCAAATAAACGGTTATTTACCTGTGTCATCTTTTCCCTGTTGGCCTTGGGGTTCAGGGGGGCTTCAGTCAGCAGCACGGGGTGTTCCTCTGGGGCCACTCGCAGCTCGTTGTAGAAGGTGTGATGCCAGATCTTCTCCATATCGTCCCAGTTAGTGACGATACCGTGCTCGATGGGGTACTTCAGGGTCAGGATACCTCTCTTGCTCTGGGCTTCATCTCCGACGTAGCTGTCCTTCTGTCCCATACCAACCATCACACCCTATATTGAATAACAAATCGAAACAAGATTAAACAATTGAAGTAAACTTGACGGACTTTGACAAAAGCCTTTTATTAAAAAAAAGTCAAGAAAATTTGAAATACTTTTTTACCTGGTGGCGCGGTCTTCCAACGATGGAGGGGAAGACGGCCCTTGGGGCGTCATCTCCGGCGAATCCGGCCTTGCACATACCGGAGCCATTGTCGATTACAAGGGCGGCAACGTCGTCGTCACACATGGTGTTCGGTCGTTAATTATTTGCTCGTCGTGAAAGAACCTATATATAGCAAGCAAAAGAAATATACATAGATAGCTGATACTATGTATAGGGCCCTAACTTGAATGTACATGTAGAACTAGAATGTATCACTACAGCATGTATACACTACAGTTCAAAATGTAACACACACACGGCGATTCACACAAAGTATGACGTAACATTTTTTTATTTTAAACGGGATATCATGCACGTGCAGGATATACTAAGTATCCATAATATTCAATATAATTTAGCTGACACCTGACAGAAACGAGGTTGAAGGTACATGTATTATATCTCCCCCGGATGACACTACGAAATCAATCAGCAACATTGATTTGATGAACAAACCGTTGGTAAAAACAAGAGGAAATTGAATTGGAACCAATTAGCGGTTATTCAAAGGCGCGAATTAAACATAGGCAATCTGATCAGCTTTTTTCCATATAGAGTGCCCACAGAAGAATGAAATGCATGTACAATAAGTGTGACACCCTTGACTGTGCCTGCCTGGTTTCAATTAGGGACAATTACCGTTATCAGGAACCACACGATCACAAATTCGTCATTTCCGTTCAAAATCGCGCCAGAATAATTACCAATTACACTCACGGAAAATCACCATTTCCTTTTTAAGCTCCAATCAACAGAAGAACACCATTCGCTTTGTTTCAAACGCAAGGGCCAAGGCTGATTCAACACAGAATCAAACAATACCTGTGCCAAAGTTATGGTGTCTGGACTCATGCCAACATGTTTCACGGTGGTTTTCGCAAATTGTGCGGGTCTGTATTATTGCGTCGAGTGATTTATGGAGCAGGGTTTTTTTTCCCCTAATAATAATTTACATAATTACTCAAGCGGAATCGACGAATTTGAACCCCAAGAAAAAAATTTTTTCAGGGTTGGCGTTTCAGATTTAGGTTTAGGCCTATGTTCTTACATTGAAATATATGCATTTTGAAAATTGAGACACGGTTCTTGCATTATAAACGCAAATGTTGTGATGGGCTTAAAATTAAATATTATGGTTATTTTTATGTTTTTCATTGGAAAGATAAATTGGATTTTTAATTGTTTATTGGATAATTATTATCATGCAATTTACATCCTATATTAGAGGGCCAAGGCAAACAGTGTGTCTAACGAATTTTCAACACGAAGAAGCGATATTAAGCTCATTCAGTGGCGTTACGGGGTGATCCTACACGATAGCACTGCCCGGTTAGCAAGTGCCAATCAATGAGCCGGTCAGTCAGTGAGCTACAAACAAAGAAGACATCGGGATTGCCCTCTGGGGCCAGTGAAAATTACACAGAGTACTGAGACCTATAGACCCTTATGATTAGCAGCCATCTTTGAGCAGCCATCTTTGAGGGCATCTTTTGTTATTGTAATTAAGTAGTAATGAATGCACGAAAAGGTTCACTGATGCATATCCCAGCTAAACAAAGGCACTGCCATCTAACATTTATGGCTGACATGCATAAGGGAGTACTGATGTCATTTTCCGCGTTATTTTTTTAGTTCAAACTTGGAGGGGCCTTTAGATTTTAAGCGTGGCGGTCATCTTAGAGGCATCTTTTGTTATTTTAATTAAGTAACAATGAATGCACACAAAGGTACGCTCGTGCACATCCCAGCAAACAAAGACACGTACAGTCATCTAAGATGACTGCCGTGCATAAGGGCAATTCCACGGTTACTCACGTTACATTTTCGTAACGTGAGTAACCGATTTTGTGCGTCTTGTTTATCATACATAACACATTTTTCTGGATGTCATCTTTGGTGCTTAGGTAGGTCTAGGTCTACTCTATCTACCATGGGGATAACAGTTATTAAAGCTTTTTCAGTAAGGTAATTACAGGCTAAGGAAACTCAAAAGTACATCAGAAATGTAACGTGAGTAACCGTGGAATTGCCCATAAGGTCTTGTTGTACGAGAGTCTGGTAAAGGCTCTTCAATCTTCAGACGGAGTCCACTGCGTGCATTGCTTGCTCGGTTTGACACACCATGACCCTATACCTCGTCAATAATTCACAATAATGTGAGTCATGAACGAGAGAAATTCCTTGGGGAACATCCGTCATCTTCAGGGGCGCCGCTCCCCCTCCGTGAGTCATATTTTAGCCTCCCTGGGGGAGTTTCCGTCAGCGCATCAAACAATGACACGACGTACTAATGCTTCTATATTGTGTGTCTTGAATAGTAAGCCAACAAAAATGAACATGCATGCATTTTTTTTTTCAAGTAGAGAATATTTTCTTTGCAAGCCTGTCATAATTTAATTATTAATCACGATGTGATTCTGCTGGCCTGTTATTATTTAACTAGACTGTTTTATATATTATTTGGCATGGGCCTAATTATTTTAAAAACAAAAGATATAAGAATCACTTTGAAGGTGATGAGTGTTTTGCTATGATAAAAACTTAGGCTTGATAACATTTCAGTGAACACAAAAATATTTAAAAGCGGCACAAATATTTCTATGCCGAGAGCTAGGCATAAATATTATCGCAGAACGTAACGTGTTTTTTTTTTCTCAAGCAATTGCATTTTTTTATTTTTTTTTATTTTTGTTTTGATGAAGGATCACGTCCGCAGATATTTATAAACATCGGGCTTTTTATTTTGTTTTATTTACCATCACAGATAAAATGCATTCCTTGCGGATTAATCATTCCCATCGACATACAAGGAAGGACAGCGAAACATTGAGGTAGGCCGTCAATATTTTAAATATTAATCAACTTTGTTCAGCCGGATTTAATATGGTGTGCCAACTCGCGCAATTTTAGCTTATACCTACATTTCTAACATCTTATGGACAATATCGCCGCTGAAGACAGAACTCAGAGTGCACATTAAAAATTAACCTCGTTTGACATGCTTTATCATTCGCGACCGAGTCCTCAAAACCAACCAAAATAACCGTGCAAGAATTGCGTGCCACTTTAATACATGTTCGGCTCAACAGTTTGTTCACAATATTGACATAAATCCATTGTAATTTGTATTCCCAGACTTGACATCATCGAGAATAGCATATATGTCAATAATAGCAATTTCAGAACTAAAATCAACAAAACTCCTACTCACCCGAAACTGAATCTTTTGTTGGCGCCGATACGGTGCACAGTTCGTACACAAACCACCTGTTTACTGGCTGAAGTCTGTCTGCGGTGTGCGACTGAGGCGCAGACTCATAACTAGGGTTCATATTGGCCGACGTCCCTAGCGACCGCGCACCTCTCGTATGGCCAAATATGGAAATGGCGGCGGTGCTGATTTGCATGTGTTGCCTGGGGCCACGCCCACTTGGGTCAGAGATAAAAAAAAAAAAAAAAGGGCATCTTTTTTTAAGATCTCGCCTTTGGAGGGAAAAGATATGATCACACGTTGGCCTTTGAAAAATGAAATATCATCAAAACAGTTCGAAGGCTGGCAATGATTTACTGTATTGAATGCTGTAGTCCAATGATCACATGATGATGAAGTAATTAATGGCATAATGATGGTGCAAGTGGTATAATATTACTGGTTATTGTACCAAAACATGTCGTTCTATGGAAAACAAAATGTCAGCGATTCGGGAAGGTTTAAATTTTGGTTTTGCTGAGGCTTAAATTCTCAGCATCTCAATGAAAATGTGTGTGTTTTTTTAAGCCACTTGTGCTTCCCTGTCTTCCATGTGTTCGTGTTCGGGGAAGGTCCAGTAGGCCTATAGAGGGCTAAATGAACTCGCACACATCCCAACTCCCCACCCCATCCCCTAAATATTTTATAATAGTTAGACAAAAATCTCCAGATTGAATGTGTAGCGAAACACAATTGAGTCCAGCTTGGCTCGTAATGAACCCAGTGGCGCACCCGGGGGAGGGGGGGGGGAACGGGGGCTTGAGTCGCCCCCCCCCCCCCAAGAGGTTGTTAATTTTTTTACATATTTTTTTTTTGGGGGGGGGGGTATTTTTTTTTTTTAGTCCCACAATTTTACCTTGGTGATAATGTATGTGGCCTATTTACGAGTAGTATAATATGGGTGTAAGTGGCGCCACCAACGTCAAAATAGTCCGCCCCCGAAAAAAAACTTTCTGCGGCCCAAAAGTTTGGGCAACATTTTTTGAAGAAAACAAATTGAGCCCCCCCCCCCCCCGGCCCCAAAACCAAATCCTAGGTGTGCCACTGATATGGACATATTCGCGAGGAAGCCATTTTGGTCGTGTTCCCGGCATGTTTTTGATAAATTGTGAACTGTTGAATGGGATGGTGCCAGACTATTGATGCTTTCTAGCCTCATTTTCAATTTTTTTTTAAATGTGGCTTAAAACATTAGGGTATGTTTAAAGCACAATTTTTAAATTTTTCATCACAGCAGACCGGTATTAATTTGTAATTTACTTTATGTCATTGCTTTTATTTCTCTTCGCAAGTTCCAAAAATGAAAATATACCTCGCTTTCAATTCAATATGGCCGACTCGTGAACAAAGCCCATGACATATTGTTGCAGGGAATTCACGGGGTGTGGGTTTCAACCGCACAATTGTCATAATTTAGTACGTTTTGTTTCTGGAAAACTGAAAACTTGAAAATGGGCCTTCATAAAAATAATGTGAAGACCTGATTATTGCCAATTATCTATAGGCCGTCGAACTAGGCAACGACAGATTGTTGTTTTCCCATCGTACTATTCTTGCAGTGGCCCAGGTTTTGGGCGAGTGAATAAGTAATTTTGGTTGGGTGCCAAGTCCCAAGGTACGTCGGCCGACACTCGCTTGTAAACAGCTTCAAAAGCATGTCCAAATTTGGTCATGATTTGAAAACGTGGGCGGAGCTTTAATGGGTAAATATTGCAAGTGTCAATTTGAATATTATCATCGCATTGAATAGATAAGTTTGAACTTTTCCCTGCCTAATATGGCTCTAAGCAGCTATTAAGCAGTGGTCATAGGAAATTCCGAGTCGGCGTAGAATGGAAAACTTCAACAGCCGATCCGAAGAAAGATAATGTGCGCTGATAAATTCTGCCCCCTACAGACCACGTTGCCCCGCCCCCAAACATCGTCCAGAACGTCAGTAGAGGGCGCGCTGTCTTATTCTCGGTCAAATGCTGTATTCAAATTTAAATTATAATATTGCAGTATTACATAAAAAGCAATTTCATAACTGTCTAGTAGCAGTGATATGGGACAATTTTCAACACGTTTCTTCCATGTAAATGAATATCCAGAAATTGTAAAACTATAAAAATGTATGATTTACATGTATCTCTGTGGGGTCGTTGTCCTATTATGTGCATTGAAAAAAAAAGATTATTTTCAGTACCCAAAATAACTGCAGGTAATACACTCACTTTAGTTTTATGTCATTTAATTTTTTTATTTACAATGTACATTTGGACACTGTATAGTTCTTCCAATTGTTATTACTGTTTACATGTAAACATAGACAGAAACACACATGCGCTGCAAGAAACTATTTCTTAAAATCTACAAAACACAATCCAGCTTACCAATCCACTTTCTTTATGTTCTAAGGTGAATGATTGAATAAACATATCATAAAAAAAATGATTAATTCGTAATGATGCTTAGTAGTTAGTACAATATGCAGGGCAAATGCTTTAATTTTTTATACCCGTTGCAAAAAAACAACAACAAAAACCTGGTGACTGAAACTGAACCACTGTCTTCTTCATGAAAGGAGTCAGGGAATAAGATCCACATTTTAAAAATGGCAAACGGTCGTCATTACAATCTGGGACAATTTTGGAACAATTTAAATGATAAATATAATCCTGCTTTCCTCAATGAAATTAACAAAAACTCTAAAAGAAACCTAAAAAACACAAAATGTTAGTTGGGAAAATAAGAATAAATACATCGTATATAATTTTACTTACACATTTGAAACAAAAGCAGGCAAACAAGTGAGTTATAGGGGGACAATTATTAAAATAATCATAATCAAATCATACCTGAAAATAAACCACAACAAATTACAATGTAGTTCCGAATTCCCTTATTTACACACTAATCTTTGCACCATGATTTGGTGAAATGTCTTTTGAGAATCGTAAGAGCTGTGATCAAGTCAATCACAAGTCAATCACAAGTCAATCTGAAGTCAATCATAAGACAATCACAAGTCAATCACAAGTCAATCACAAGTTAATCTGAAGTCAATCACAAGTCAATCACAAGTCGATCTCATGTCAATCTCAAGCCAATCACATGTCAATCTCAAGCCAATCACAAGTCAATCTCAAGTCAATTTCAAGGCCATCACAAGCCAATCACAAGCCAATCACAAGCCAATCACAAGCCAATCACAAGTCAGGCCACAGATGAATGATGACAGAGGAATGCCAATAGTCATTTGCATTTTAATAGCTCAAGTCGCTTGACATGAGACTGGGCTTGTGATGACTTGTGATGTCTTATGATATCTTGTGATGTCTTGTGATGTCCTGTGATGTCTTGTGATGACTGGATTACAACTCTGGTTAACTATTCCCATTATCTTCAAGTAAACTTGAATCCTCGATCCTGATTGGTCAATCCATGGTAACAAGCCGAGCTACATACATTTTGCATGGCCACGTTCCATACCGCACTCTATGTATTCCACTATTCGTAGATGCGTGGGCCGTTGCGTACAAGTTTGCTTGAAGATAAATTTGTTATCGTGCTCGCGCACGTGGAACACCAAAAATGTCGTGCATCAGTGTGCCACATACCACGAGGCCTTGCTTCATGGTGTGTTGGACACAGACGCACTACATTATTCTGTGTTCCACTCTCGCTCGCGGAATAACATAGGACAGTGATGACTTATTTTCGCAAAATCAAACACTTTGAGAATTAGAGACCAATATTGTTTAGCCTAGACTGTCTTTATCAGCTGTCAAGGAAAAGCGGCCACTGTAAAAACGTTGCAGCTCTGCCGAGCTTCGAACTATTTGTTTCTTTGCGTAAAACTTGTGTCTTTTTGACTTATTCATACTTGCATTTTGACAAGGGAAAGCCAATTGAAAGTCTGCAAATCAGTTTTTCCATTTTTAGTGTGTGCAATTTCTTTCCATAATCTTGCACTGTGTTAATCTGCCAGACCTATATGTATTGCATCTCCTAAACACAAATATTCTCTTAACGTAAACACTGAAAGTGTATTTGTTTAAAATAGAAAACTTAATGCAAGTCTCAAATCAGTGTGTTTTAAACAAAAACAATGGCCAGTTATGCACCTTTATTACCGACTGTTTACAAAAAAAAAGTCCAGATCTTAATTTTGCACTAGCATTTTCGGGTTTTTCCCCCCAGAATTTCAACAACCCTTCCAGAGATTCAACAGTACATCCAAGAGATCCAGAACATTTCCACGACAACTGACCGACTTCATTCCAGAAAGTTCTTAAAATTTTACCATGCATTTCCAGGAGTTTCCAGCGATGTCCTGCATTTTGACCAGGGTTTCCGTAAGTTTTTCAATGATTTCCACAATTTTGCATGCATTTCCACGAATGCATAAGCCAGCGATTCCAGGCAATAGCGCCCTCTTTGATTCCGTCTATTAAATCAGAGATGTAGAGTCTTTGAAGGTGATGTCAGTGTCTCATATAACACTGCAGTAGCCACTGCAGCCCTGCCCTGCGGCCCCGGCTTTGCCCCCGACTAACGAGACCCCTCTGGATTTGGTATCGTTCTCCCAGAGACCCGGCGTTTGGATGATCTAGGGTTAAGGAAAAAGAGTTTAAGGCATCCGTAAGAAAGCTATTTCCAAAATGTTCAAGGCAAGGAGAGCTCACAATGGTATTTATTTCTCCCAAGGAAGAATTTTTCTCCTGAGAAACCTACGGGCACTGACAATTAGTACATCGCCAAAGGTGCATTGTTCAATTACAGCAAAGAAACTTTGAGATTCTGGGCAAGAATTTAAAATTATTAACCAAAAAATTCCATGGGGATAGACTTCTGAGGCAATCAAACAAAATCAACCGTATTCATTGTAGTCCATACATGTTCCTGGATGCTCAAGCTAATGTATTTTGTTTACTCATTTCAATTCTTTATGATGACGAAACTACCTAGAATGCTTGGAAGCTTGAGAAACCAAGATAGATTAGACATTTTACTTTTAGAGTATGGTTAAAAAAATAGCATTAGGCCAAAATAAAATACTCGGTCTCTGGTCAGCGCGCGCGTCGATTTTAATCATGCGCGCCAACCTTTTTTTTCTTCTTCAAATTAACACGGAAGCTACAACAGCGCCCTCTACTGCCGCGCCTCCTCAAATGTTTGTACCAAGGAGCACCAAGGAATGGGGAAATTGCACCAAGGCAAATGATAAAGGGCACCAAGGTAAATTATGGAGGACACCAATGTATAATGAGGACACAAAAAAGCAAAATAGTACCCACCTTGTCTGAACAATACAAGCTTGAAAAAAAAAAGCCACCAAAAAAAAAAAAAAAACGCGTCGCCGCATCAATTCCGGAACTTCGGTTTGACCAGAGACCGACTATTTTTTTTTTTTGGCCTTACATGGAAAACCCACGGAAACAGCATGTCTGTCATGCTACGACTAGAATCTGGGTCAAAAGGAAAAAAGAGGAAATTACCACTGTGCTAAACTTTACAGGTACACGTAGCTTTTGGAAATATGTCTTACATAATCTCTCCTCTTACCTTTTCTACGAGTTCTTCGAAGGCACACTGGACTCCGTCTTTCGTCTTGGCGCTGCATTCGATGAAGAGCATGGTGTGTTTCCTGGCAAACCTCAGCCCCTGGTCTCGAGTGACTTCCCTCTTGTCCTGCCAATGAAAACAAATGCACAAAGTCATTCCAAAAATATCCCGTGTACAGTGCAAACAAGCTCGATCGAAAATATCTCAGAAGCTGCGGGCAAACGAATTCGAGTTCGTGCATGAGTCGCGGGTTTGTGCCATGTAATTTCTGGAAGAAGTGTGTTGAGTAAAAAACCAAAAATCTCAAAAAGTTCAGTGGCACATCCACACTACATGAGGTAGACAGGAGGTTGTGCGTTTGTTTCCCAGCCAAGAAAATGTGTGAATTCTTCCTCTCAAATGATCTGGTAAAGCACCGACAATTCAGTGTTTATAATGTTATGATGGCTGTGCTGCATTCGTCAAAATGCCTTACAGTCTCCTTGTGGATTCTAAAGTAGCGACAGAGTTAAAGCAGCCTCCTGACGATGACTAGAGCAGGCTAGTCGAAACGTTGAGACCAAAGAAAAGTTCTTTTAGAACTTAAAGCAGGATTCTTCTTATCAGAACAAAAACTACTTAGCGAAAGTTGATAATAAGTAGGACAAGTTCTTTTCAGAACTAAATATCTTCTAAGCAGTAGTTATTACCACATGGTGTTACCGCAAACCGAAAGGATACAGAGTTAAAGTTATTCATAAAACAAAACAAGCACGACATACAGAAAGCATCAAGTCTCAAGCACTGACAAGTGTCTGAACCCTGAATGCTTATAATTCCTGTCAGGAATCTGACCTTGTCGATCTTGTTGCCTATGAGCATCTTGACGATGTCGCCCTTTGTGGAATACGTGTCCAGCTCGTTCAACCACTGGTCTAGCTGCTGGAAGCTGGTCTGATTGCTGACATCATACACTGCAATACACATATTACAAATTAATAATAAGACACAAACGCCTTTTGACACTTAATAGTCTATTTTCTTGCATTGCATGTTTTCAAGACCTTAAAGGCATAGTCCATCATTTGTAATTTGTGCATTTTGTTCGTTTGAAGCAACTAAAGTGCTCAAAATCTAAAGAAGGGTACTGAACAACTAACCTGATGAAGTTTCAGCTCAGCGTCAGCTGTATATTTTGAAAAAAGCAACATTCTAGGATCTCGATTTTAAATCAAAAGTTGCTGAATCATGTTTTGAATTGGGCCTGAATTCAGCGTCCGAGACGCGTTCTCACTGAGCTGATTGCAGCTACGCGATGTCGCGCACCGATCCGACAAATTATAGCAACTGCGCGCACGTGTGCGTCGTGTCAACGCTTGTGCACGCTTCGCCGAATAATAAAACGAACTACTAATGGAAAGTTAAAGGCCTTCTTTCGTTGATTTCTTCAAAATGACAGCTTGCCAGAAAGAATAATTTCACGGGGAGTTTAGTTCCCTTACTACATGTATCTTTCAACCAAATATGTTTTTCAACAATAATTATGTCATTTTCTTTTGGATTACTGCAAATGATGGACTGTACATTGTAGCTTTTGGACTATAACTTGTATAAATTGAAATCACACTTGCCCTACCTAATATAACACCCTGTGCACCCCGGTAGTAGCTTGGCGTTAATGTCCGAAATCTCTCTTGACCGGCTGTGTCCTGTAATGAAAATGTGTTTAAATAGAGTCACTAAACTACAGTAAACTCCTTATAAAAACTTGTCCACTTGACACCAAGCACATTGACCTTCAAATTGAGTTCTGGACACCTGTACAATATATAGAGTACATGTAAACTTACCCATATTGCTAGTTTGGCCGTGTTTCCATCGACTGACAATGTCTTCACTTTGAAGTCAACACCTGTTTCAAATGAGATATGAATTTGAATATTTGAAAAATTGTGCATAGCTGGACTTCAAAATGATTGACCATGTTAACAACGTTTGGCTGATTGAAGTGAATCATAATTTAATATTTACCAATGGTTGCAGACTGCTCTGGATCAAAAGTGTCATCCGTAAACCTCAGTAGCAAGCTGTGTGAAACAAATTAAATAGAAAGAATTTGTCATCACATTCACATTTTGTACAATGGCCTACGGCTTGCATTTCAATTTTCATTTGATTTGCACAGAAAATTTTGCCACACAAAATCAGGCCCACCTCGATTTTCCTACACCACTCTCTCCGATAATAAGAATCTTTAGTGTTGTCAATACATCGTCCTCGTCCATCTTCCCTGAAAACAATCAAATCCAACCACCAAAAGGATAAATTTGGTCTGTATATTCGCTTTTCACAATCACAGAACTTGAACGTACACTTTGTTGATTTCTCAATAATGATGACGTCATCAGTTCAACGGGAGTTCACCCTAGTCTCTTTCAAACTAAAATTTCCACAATAAATATTTTGTCATTTCATTTCTACACATATTAATATTTTCAAATTATATAAATTTTAGAAACAAGATAAAGTTATTTAAGGTTTTACAACATTCTCTTTATAATTTGTATTTTTGTTTTGGAACAATTTATTTTTAGTGCTTTTTTGTTCGTGAACTTTAACCTCAAAAACTCCGCCATTTTCAAACTGCAGTGCAGAAGTCGAAGCGAAGGTAGGCCCATGAATTTTATCTTTTCTTACCCTCTTAAATTTTGGGTGTTTCAGTAGACGCACATGCAGATGAAAAATTTAAAAGCGTATGGTTTCCCGGAAATGTAATAAACAAGGTTTGTTGTAATCCTGTGTCTGAGTAAAAAACAAAGTGGAGCCTGAAGATGAAGTCGACTCCCGACGAATTTACAACAGTACTGAACAAACACAAGAGGGCGGCATTCAAAACATTGATGAAGGTGTTGAATTTTAAGTTGACGAAAGCAGCTAGCAGTTCTGAAAAAGAGTGAAATGAAATCACAAATTGTATTAGTGTCAACGAAAGAGTAAAATGAATGATGGAAAGCTGCTGCCATTCTATGTTATGACTCATTTAGGCTTTAAAAAAAATGGGGAAAAAATTGACAATGCCTTCCTTTGTTGATGTTTCAAATTTTAAGCAACATAAAATGACTCGACATTTTTTTCTTCTGCATTCGGAATAGCAGCATGATGGCCACAGCAAACCAGGCCTGCCCCGGCATCGGCGAACCCTCGGAACTCGACACGTTAACCGGTAACCTACTGCAGGCCCAGGATACATTCCTAAATCGCTTTGCAGGGGACCAGCTGCAGCAGTTTCTACAGCAACATTGGAGAGAGCACCAAGCGACGATCCAACAAGGAAGAGGTTGGTTTCAAAAGGCTTTCATGGGGGTTGGGGGAGGGGCTTAAACCTAGCCCCTCCCCTTTATCAGTTAATTTATCTCCTTTTAAATTATCAAATTTTGAAAAACAGTCCACATGTTTTCTCGAAATCTGGTTCAGGTCTAAAACCCCTCCTAAAAATGTCCAATCAAGCATTTTGCCAGTCAGTGGCGTTATGCTTCAACCCTAACACTTCAAAACAGATGTATCATTGTTTGTCGAAGAAAATGCACAATACTTTTTTATCTTTTGCTTACAGATAAAATTGCATCACTTCAAAAGGATCTACAGTCGTTGGAGCAGCAAGAACTGAGCAACAAGCAAGGTGAGTTGATGGATACATTTCATGAATTTCTTAACATCTTGTACGACTTGTTTACACTGCAGCCCATGCGGATGGTGTTATGCCTTCGGTTTGGAGAGAGGCTAAAGAGATTGCCGTCCCCAAAGCCAGTAAAACCGGTTGCTGATCCAGCTAGCTTTCGACCCTTTGTACTTCTTGCAAGTTATTTGAGTGCCTCCTGAGGACTACGTTCTCCCCACTTGTTGAGTCAATCCTCCCCAAGGTACAAGCAGTGTCAGGGGTTCAAATCCAGCTGCTGGCTAAACGTTGTGTCCTTGGGCAAGCCACTTCATCCCTACTTGCCTCTCTCCAACCAGGAGTGTAAATGGGTACTGGCATTAGCTGAGGAGTAACAAGGCCACTGCTTAGTTTGATTAAAATAGGTTCAGGTGTAATTGTACGCAATATTTTAAATAACTTGATTGTTATTCTGTCAATTATTTCAGTTGAAGAAGTCAACAGGAAGAGGCTTCGGGAGGTACGAGAGCAGATCAAGCAGGAATCGGCCAGATGCCAGGAACTGCTGTTTGAGAAAGAACAGAAGGAGAAGGAACTGCAGGCCGAGACGGAGAAATACAACCAGCAGAAAGAATGTAAGGTTGTGTACAAATACCGGCTAGGGCTAGGGCTAGTTGTCATTGCAGTGGTGTTTTCACAATACACTTGGCACTAAAAGAACTAAGCAGTTTTTATAATCATCCTTGTTCGGACATTTCTCGCTGAACAAAAAAATATGAAATGTATGTTTTGTCGCGGAAACTTTCCGGTTCAATTTGATACCTCACTTGGGAACACTGTGTAAGAAATAACAAGAGCTTAGTTTCTTTTGTGTAGATCCAAATTTGGACAACCATAATCTCTTATTTTGGGGGATTGCTGGACGAGATCAGAATGAAGAATTCAGATCTACTTTTATTACTCACATGACTTTCGCATAATTTCACGTCCGTTATTTGTCCATGTTTCCAGTGGTTGAAGCCCAGGAGAAGGCGACCAAGGCACGACTGAGGGAGCTGAACAAGGCAGGGGGGCTGTACCAGGACAGACTGGGCCTTCAGTTCAAAAACATTGGTGGTGAGACATAAGACATTAGCCTCTAAAAATCCTCATTTCTCATTGGCCTTTCGTGCTGTCCAGAATCTCCATTCAAATTGGTTCAACCTACATTTCGCGACATTTTTCTTGGAACTTTCTGAAATACTCTAAAAACAACGTTTGCAGGAATCCAATGACATTGGAGCCAAGTTAGACAAATACAGGTTTATTGACCAGCCATAATTTGTCACAAGTAGTTTGTTTGCTGTGTATATTCAGTAGAACGTCATTCATCAGAACATTTTATTAGCACCATGGAGGAATGTTAGCACCAACGAATGATTTTCACTTTTTCAACTGTTAACGCTCAGTGGTGTTGTGCGGTTGTGCTTGAAGCATAGCCAAATATTTGGCACAGCAGTTTATGTTACAGCGTCATTTTACTGTTTGGCAATAATTCCTCATAACACAAAAGCTTCCAGTGAAACTGAGACTTCATGTGAATCCTGAATACTTTCCACTATGCCGGCACCAACACTGAAATGTGTGCTACAATTTGACCTTCCTTTATGTATGAAAGTTTTTATTATTAACCCTAACCCCTTCAGTGTGATTTACTAGGAACATTCCTCACCCTTGCAAAATCCAACACCATATGGTGTAACTCAACACCCAAACTGTTGGACTCTGATTATGGTGGTATGCCTGACCCCATGTAAAGCATAATCAGTTTACTAGAGCAGTGCTCACTCCAACAGATTCCAACAAAACATGCAGTTGGATTTTGAAGGGTTGGGGTGGCCAATAATAGAACCTCTATTTAATTTTCTGTCTAGATGGACAACTGCAGTTTGCTTTCACCCAACTGGATCCCAAAGACCACAACAGAGTATTCTTCTTCACTATCAAGATTGAGAACAACAAATATAATTGTAAGTCACCAAGTTAAAGAACTTGTATGAATTTGGAAGTAACCCTCCTTGAACCAAATTAAAAAAGAGTATTTTTATCAATTTATTCAAATGAGTTTAGTAGGCCTGCATATACCCACAAAGGGTAGGTGGACCAGGTCTGAATTTTAGCAATATCAAATTGTGGAATTATTCTATGTTGCTGTAGGATAAAAAATTTAAAAAACAACCACTAAAATATGGCTTGCAAAGATAGCCAAATTTCACTTTCAATACATTCTTCAATTTCACCACACCCACACTTTAATGTTTACATGAGAAATGAAAGTTACTTGGTACAACCATGGAGCTATAACACTGTTCAAAAATAATTTGGTCCTCAGATTTTTGATCCTTGAGTCTTTAACTTATCCTTGACCTTGGACTGATCTTTCCAGATAAACTTTTAAAGTTTTTCTAAAAATATAATGGCACATCTCAAAAATTGGTTGTCTTTATGGTTTTTCTGCTCTTTTGTTGTTGATGGTGACCCCGTGGATAAAATACTAAAAATTCCAGCCTTTTTTCTTGTATTTCCCAGTGAAAGACTGCAACCCAAATATCGAGGGCTTGGAGAAAATGGTGGATGAACTCAACGAAAGCAACAACTTGATGAAATTTGTCGTCGCCACCAGGAGAAAGTTCAAAGAGTTTGTCTGAATGAACCAACATTTCAATTTGTGTTTATGTGATAAGATAATTCCATCCTATAAAATGTAAATACATGTACATATTTCTTTTCCTGTAAATATTAGTTATATTTTTTTCCACCCACACACAAAAATCAGTACATTTTTCCAGTGTAATTTCAAAGTTGGGCACAACAGTTTGTGTTGTTTTGTAATATAACTTTTGTATAAAAATGAGTCATTAAACAGGAAATAATGACAAACTCAAGTGAATACTATTTTGAAAAAAAGTGGTCAAAATCATTGTGATTTGTTGTTGAATATTTACAATAAGTCAAGGATAAGGTGAAAACAACCCTATAATTGCTGTAGTATACAAAAAAAAGTCAACTGAAACTGAAGCTAATAATTCCATCACTACACACTACAGTACATGTACATGTACATGTACTCACTTTCACAGGTAATTATTTTTTTAATTCACATTAAAACCCAAGAACTCTCAGAGATGCTGAGAGGTTTCGGGGTTTTAACCTGAATTCATAGGGTTTTTTTTTTCAAAAAATGTGACAAATTAAAAGTGTTGGATTTGGTCTGAAACTTCCAAAAAACAATTTTTTTGAAAGGGGGTAAGAGTAGTTTCAGGTTTTTAGTTGTGTTTCAGGCTTTTCATTGATATATTGGTGGTATCTCTGCAGCACAGTGTATATAATATGTCAAGAAAACAGTGAATTTATGAATTGATAATTTTAATATGCTTGCAAGACATTAACCAAATGCCTACTTAAGTTATAAGCCTACTGCCATTATGTGTGTAGCTGGAACTTGTCCAGTTTTTATCAAGGGCGCCCTCAGTAGTAATAAAGCCTTGTTCAGTTTTTATCAAGGGCGCCCTCAGTAGTAATAAAGCCCTTGTCCAGTTTTTATCAAGGGCGCCCTCAGTAGTAATAAAGCAACAAGTTTATTAGCGGTAGTGTACATGTACATTGTACGGTGGCTGATTTCCGCCAAGAATACATTTTTTTATTTATTACGGCGTTATAACGCCATAAATTATCGCGTTATAACGCCGTATTATCGCGTTATAACGCGCTATTATCGCATTATAACGCGCTATTATCGCGATATAACGCGCTATTATCGCGTTATAACGCGCTATTATCGCGTTATAACGCCGTAATTTATCGCGTTATAACGCGCTATTGCGGCGCCATAATTTTACAGTATTGCTCCCACAATGCAACACGGTTACATCATCAGTACATGAGTCTTTTGGGTGCAATTGGCGCACAGGTTATTTGAATTATTGGTGATCATTGCCATAGAATGACCATATCTGACTCTATCTGATAGGATTGACTTAAGCATAATGTACGTTACTGAAACTTACACATTACTCCAGTTTAAAAGTGTTTTCTGTTTTCTTTATGAGAGTTTCAAGTTGAAGTGTATTCTTTTGAAAGAAATATACTACCCGTATTTGACCCTATCTGATAGGATATAGACTTAGCATATGTACGTTATTGAAAGTTGTTTTCTGTTTTCTTCACAAGAGTTTCAAGCTGAAGTGTGTTAATGTTTTCAAAAAAATATGTAACCCTGCTGATAGGATAGACTTAGTATGAGGTCTTTTTCCATTTTGAGAACCCTGACGTTTGTCGTTCATCTTTGTGACTGATACTACGCTTAAATAATGTTTGACGACCTTGCAGAGCCTGGTATTGAGGTTCCTGCAGAAGTCATGCAGGACCTGCTAAAAATATTGCATCTTGCTTAAAAGCCTTACAATAGTTTATATATAGAGGTATAATAAGTTTGGGTCATAGCTACATTAGCTGCACATGGCATGCATGTAGTTTTTATATATCTATATTACTTTTTTGGTTACTATATTACTTTTTTGGTTACTATAGATTGCTAAGCAGACAGTAAATCTAAAAAAAAATATGCTCAGCCTCTGACCATACACCCCTCCAAGCACCAGTCTTGCTTAAAAGCCTTACAATAGTTTATAGAGGTATAATATGTTTGGGTCATAGCTACATTAGCTGCACATGGCATGCATGTAGTTTTTATATATCTATATTACTTTTTGGGTTACTATAGATTGCTAAGCAGACAGTAAATCTCAAAAAAATTATGCTCAGCCTCCGACCATACACCCCTCCAAGCACCAGTCTCGAAGTTGGTTAGAGGGCTGAGGATAATTTTGGGGGAGATTTACGGTCTTGGTATTTTATCGAGCAATGTATAGTTACTAAAAAAGTAAGAGGTTTTTCACCGGCAGCCACATGTAGCCACCTCTTTGTTATCATGCAGCAGGCCTAAGTAAGCGCCTCCTGCTCAGTTAGCCTTTAAGATTTAGACCACTTTGGTAAGCCACCCTTTTGTTAAAGCTCTGGATAAGAGAAACTCCAACCAGCAAGAGCATCACTGACCTGTCTGTAAAGCGATGGTTAATTGTTATATAGTTTAATTATTACGCATGCATGTTTTCAGATATGTACGTTATTTAAAGTTACCCTTGTTAGTATATTCGAGTTACTTTGTAGTGTTTGCTGTTTTCTTCATCTCAGGAGTGTCAAGGTGAAGCGTGTTATTGTTTTGAAGCATATATCTGACCATTTGGTAACTTTCTTAACAAAGTCAGATACATGTTGAAGATCCGGCACAACAAAGGGACTTGAAAGCTGTTAACGACGTAGGGAGGTAAAATATAAAAAGTGGTTGATAAAACGTTTACAATAACAAAATCGACAAACAGCCGAGGGGTAGCACTGAAGTGAACAGAAACTGTCCACAGAAACAGGGTTTCTCGATCCATTATGCATATGCGCCAGCTCAGAGCTAGCCTGGTCCATATAGTGACATTCCCATTTCAGAAAGAGACAAGAGGTCCTCAATCATAAAATCGTTGATAAACCATACATAAACAATAACAAAAGACTGGATCTGTTAAACACAAGCATATATTTATTCTTAAAACACTTTGTAAATAATTTGTAAACCTGTAAACTTATTTCCAAGAGATTCCAAGCTTCCTTTTTATCTCAAATCTGTTACAAAGTTATTTAAACCTCGATAGCTCTCAGCCGAAAATATACTGTGGATGTAGGCCTAAGTCCTATTTTGGACTAAAACCTCGCAGTGTCATTTCTACATGACCAGGGGTTACCTCTACGCCAACCCACTGTCTTTCCTTTGTAGGGCCTATACACAAGATAAAGTTCAGTGCAGGATCTTGTGTTTCTTTATTTTGCTATTATATTTATAATAATCAATGGGCTCAAGTTGGTTGTGTGAGGCAACATGTACAAGTACATACATGGTTCGCCTTTATAGTAGCATTCGCGTGTCGTTTAATTTTAGCATACACTGCAATTGAGGCTACTTCGGGTAGGTACCGTACTGTTTTGTCTCACAAGCCCTTTCAACTTCATCCCACAAGCACTTTAAACACCGATTTCTCTTCTAACATGTTCCCTGAGGTTAATGTACAAGTTCATCGCAGCTTCAGGATTTCTAGGATCTTCCCATCCGTTGGTAATGAGTGATTGACAACAGTATTCAAATAACTCCCGATCACATGGAAATCGATCCTTGAAGTTGCATTCTTCTCTGCACAAGTCAATTCTCTCTTGTTCCACGGGTTTGAGATGATCCCTGGTTCCATAGACCTCAGGTAGCTGGAACATGAGCAGCGGTCGTCCATGGGTCACATGCTCTTGCTTCGATTTCCTGATCAAGTGTCCATCCCACACCTCTGCAACTGCGTCGAGATCACCCTGCAAAAGATGTGCAGACTATGGCGTAAGACATTCTTGATTAATTAAACCATAATCGACGATTGAACTCCATTCTAAATGTACAAGAACATAACACCCATCACAATGTACACTCTTTTGGCATATACAAAGGCGGATCCAGGTTCATGGATATCACCTTCAGGAATACATTAGAAATAAAATACCATGCAGGTTCAACGCAAGGAACTGTCTGGCACACCCACAGAGGGGTGGAATTATACACTCATCAGTGGACTTTTAATTTTACATGCTGAAAATGTGGTCGATGACATTTTCTCACCTGGATGTGTTTCATGAAGACAAATCGGATAAGTTCTTTGTCCATCACATCTCCTGTGAAGAAGCCTTCTTCTAGCAGCCACCGGAAAAGAGTCCTCCAAAACTCCGTGCATTGCTTTCTAAGCTGCCCCCACCAGGACTCTATTCGCTGATTCGCTGTACTTCGACCAGTTAGGTAGCTCTTATCGCCACCAAGTGCATCGTCGTGATGTCTTAGAAACCTCTGGAATGCTCCCACATGTCCGTTTTCCGTTCCCCTATCACTCCGGACGAGGGTGGGACATCCTCCAAGTCTATCCACCGCCTTCAAGAAGAAGCCCCCGATGTACTCAGGGTCGTTGGTTGTGCTGTTTGCCTCTAGCCAAATTATTTTCCTGGAGAAACCATCGATACAGCCACTGATCCCAATACCGAACGGTTTCAGTTTGTCCATCGCGTCCAAATGCCACACAAAATTAGGTCCGCGGCCAGAATATCGACGACGTACTAATCGCCGTCTCTTTCGAAGATTTACCCCATCTGGGTCAAGCTCCAACAACGTCCTTCTCACAGTTTCTCTGCTGGCAACCATGCCTGCTTGTAATAACTTGTGATGCATCCAACGATAGCCATGTAATTCGCCCGATGCCTGCAGTTGCCTTTCGATAAATCTTCTTACTTGGGCCATGTCAGTTTGATTTTTATGACGATATAACTCCAGGCGCTGAAGTTCTCTTTGCAGCTGACGAACACTCAGATTGATGTTATAACGGGACGTTAAAGTTGCCGCAATTTCCACTTGAGAATATCCAAGTTTAAAATATTTCTTGATCAGTTCATCCATGTCATCCATCTTCAAGTACAAAGTGCGCTAGTTTAAATTGGAAAAATTATGTTCACGGTTAGGTTACAATACTAACCATTCTATGAGGATGAGAATGACAAGGAGTGACGATGCCGTGGCGATGCGGTGGCAATAAAGGCTGTAATAACATGATCGCGTTGTTGCGAGAATTCAGAAGAACGGTGCATGGCGAAAAATACGAGGTTCCCGTTCAAAATCACTTAAACAGTACAATGTAAGGACGATAATAGCGCGTTATAACGCGATAAATTAGGGCGTTATAACGCGATAAATTAGGGCGTTATAACGCGATAAATTAGGGCGTTATAACGCGATAAATTAGGGCGTTATAACGCGATAAATTAGCGCGTTATAACGCGATAATAGCGCGTTATAACGCGATAATACGGCGTTATAACGCGATAAATTAGGGCGTTATAACGCGATAAATTAGGGCGTTATAACGCGATAATTTAGGGCGTTATAACGCGATAAATTAGCGCGTTTTAACGCGATAATAGCGCGTTATAACGCGATAATACGGCGTTATAACGCGATAAAATTATTTATCGCGTTATAACGCCGTAATAAAAAAAAATGTATTCTTGGCGGAAATCAGCCACCGTAAATTTTACCACCAAAAACTCTTTCATTAAATTTCAGTGAATGAAACCAAAACTGGATCATTGCTAACAATGTCAAAGACATCTGACCACCAATGGGCTATGACTAACATCGAAGTTACCGGAAACGCGATTGTAATGGCCGTTAATCATCTAAATAATAGTTCTTCCTGTCGAGTAGTTGATGAGAACCATGTGCGTACGCGTGCACGAACGATCTACACGTTACGAATGACAAAGTTTGACATCCTAATTTTACGCGGTTTGCGCGCTAAACGAAGATTTAATTGGGGGACGGGGGAATGCAAAATTTCCCCTTGCGCTCTAATTGGATACACCGATGCATACATCTGCATAATTATTGGATTTCTATTGAGTTCCCTAGTAGAATATGCAGGAGGCCATGTAGGCCCTACGTCCCAGGTTTATTCTGAAAAGAGTAAGCCACAGGTTTCGACCCCTTTTTGTAGTTGGACCTAATCGGGCATAGGACCTATAACTCCAGAAACGGAAAAGTTTATATATTTATTTCAAATCTTGAGATATTCTTTAAAAAAGAAATAATAAAATGTCAAGAATAATGTTTATGTCAAAATAACGATAAAAGAAATTCACTGCGGCTATTTCGGAATAAACAGAATTATTGAACAGACAGCTCGCTAACCGGCTAAATTTGCGATAATTATTTGCGTCCCATCTGTACACAGGGTGAGTCAAAAAACCAAACCCCCCCAAAAATATATTTCGTGTTTAAGAAAAAATATGTAGCACCAAACATAACAATGACTGGAAAGCCAATTTCGTAAGTTACTTCTAGATGAAAAAAATACTGAAATTGCTCAATCCGTTCAAAGAATATCCCCACGCAATCCTAAAACCTGTTTCGTCAAAAAAAGAGCAATTTATTGTGTATTCTGACTGTTTGGAACAACAAAGAAAATGACACAGAATACTTGTTTTAACAACTGTCAACACCTGTAGAACACAATATCTTTATTAACAACCCTGGTTAGGCAAACAATATGATTTATAAATCCACTTTTTTTAAAGACGGACCTTCAAAGGGACTTTGTTGAATATTTTGAACTTTTAAACTTAAGTTTTTTCGCTGGTTTTATCTTGAAATCTCATTTTGGACGAAAGAGGTTTTAGGGTCATTGTGTTTAAATAGTGATATTCTTTGAACGGATTGAACAATTTCAGTGGGTTTTTTTTCATCTAAAAGTAGCTTATGAAATTGACTTTCCAATCTTTATGTTGTTTGGTGCTACATATTTTTTTTATAATTGTTGGGGTTTGGGTAAAAAACAGCTTTATTTATTTCGTTATTTTTCATGTGGTGTCCTCACAACTTGGGCAGTTGCTTTCAAACTCAATTAAGAAAGAAAACCGCGCAATTTATTCACATCGTCACCTCCTCCTGGCCAGTATTAAACACCCCCCCCCCCCCCCCCGGCCCCCGGCGGCCTAGTACCGCGGCACTTTTTTTACTGGTCGTGTGCTGTCAATGCACCTTCCAACGTGCAGTTCATGTCAAAACCGCAGGATTATGTATGCGCACCGCATCCGAAATTAGCGCACACACCCACTACACGTACGTGCGCATACCTATACCGGCGCTACACAAAAATATTCATTCATGAAGTTGGTAACGCAGTGTCAGGAAGTCACGCATAAGTACGATATTTGTTCCGCAAGAATTGGATCATTTTAACCTGAAAACCATGGCTTCCGAGGAAGACAGGCAGTCGGGTGATAACATGTGAGTATTTCCTTCCATCTTTTTGTGGTAGCAATGTCCGTTATTGTAATTTTCATTGAAAAATTGGATTCTTAAATTGACAAGTTAATCGGGCCAAATTTGCCGAACTGAACCGGTCGTCTGCTAACTTAGCATTGAATTTAGTGCATTCAATTGTACATTAATGTACCGGTAGTTGACCAACGTTGCTTCGGCCTATAAAAGTGCATGTAGGCCTCTATACTGTAGTTTTATGGCTTTAGGTTGTGAGCTAAATGTTTGGGGAGGGAAGTCCTACATTTGTAAACCAGTTTCAGAGCACAGTTGCAGAATATCTATGGACATGATGGAATGCATATTATTATTAAATCATGTTAAATTTCAAGACTTCATATTTTTATTTTTAACTTAAAACTGTGAGTGTGAGTGTTAGGCCTACATCTTTGCACATCTTTTTATCTTACCCTCGTCATGAAAACAGATGATAACCTCGGAAATTGGAAGTGGAATGTGTCCAAGACAGAAAAAAATGGCACAAGCTAGAAATGTATATACTGAAAATGATGTTCAATGAAGGGTCCTTTTGCAAATTGTTATCAATTCTCGCAGTAAAAAGAAAGAACAAAGACCAAATCCTCCCCCACCCCATAAAAAAGGGAGAAAAAGAAGTACCAGTACACCTTGAACCTTAGCCTGGGGAAAGAAAGAAGAAAAGAATATTGCAACTTTATGCTGCTTTTTTCTTCATATAGGCCTATCATCTCAATGAAGGTCATTCATTGCAAAAATGACGATAAAACATGAATCTGGGACTGAGAAATATTTCCAATTTTGTAAGGAAATACTTAAAAAACACAACCGCTGTCACTGAGTGAAGTAGTGTCAGGTTGCAACATTCTTTCCAGAAACAATTCAAAGAAAATATGATTACATGCTATAGAGATATTTTGAGTCCCCCTTCACCTTGTTTGTTGTTTCACATCTGCTAATCTTTCATCCTGTCATCACCGTTGGTTATTTAACGTACAAGTCAACACATGATGCTCTGTGCACCTAGGCCGTGTATTAATAACCGTGTACCGAGAATAGTGCGGGACATGGCTGGCTGGTTTGACGTTGAAAGTCGTAGTGAAATTGCCATATGTTGAAGGAATGCATCGAAGATCTACATGTCATTTGCAATTTTGGAAAGGTTCAAGGAATGCTGCCCTTACATATTTATGCTAAATCTGGCCCAGCAGGGGTTAATTGGTAATCACGTCATGGAATGTTTGTCGAAATCCACACTCAAACTTGACCTGTTAGTCTGCCTATGTTTGTTTCTGTTGTTTTTATTTTACAAATAAACATGTTCCAACAGGGAGAAAAGGGGAGGCCTGAATCAGTGTGAAAACATTAGCAAGCATCTTGTTAAAAGGCATAGTAATTATGTGGCCTTGCTTCTGTGCAAAGTCATCATCGAGACAATTAAATTGCGAGTCGAGGGTTAAAAATTAATGCAGCAGCAAATTGAGGGAGTTTTTTTTAATAATTTTTTTACATGTACCGGTATTCATGATAACTACACGTGTTGCTACTATTTTACTTAGTACATGTACTAGCCTGAGTGTTGCTAAACTTCTCAAACTAGGCAAACTTGTATTCCATATATCTTTGAATGCTTTGAATATTGTGAACTGTGACATTCAGTGCACAAAGCTTCATTCAACCAGCACATGTATCATAAAGGCATGCATGTATACATGAACTTCTCAGTTGCATGGTGGAATAACAATACATTTAGTTACAGTCTCCTTACACAATGGTTCCCTCCACATACATATAGAACAACCCAATTCAGGATGTGCATCCATGCAAAGATTTTCAGGGCATTGAACAATGGGTTTAATTCATTCATAGCCAGGGCACAGATGTAGGAATGATTTTAGTTTTGTGTGGGTTTCCTCTAATTATGCCGTTTCCTCGTTGTACCGGCAGTACACCCCATCTCCGTTATAGGGCGAAGGCTCTTCCTGTCGATTGATACCAGGTCTTCAACCATATGCCGGATGAAGGAAGGTGTGCTTAAAAGACCTGATATGTTTACAACTTTACATAGTGTACAATTACACTTAATGAAATGTTTGTTCTTCAAAGGGGATATTACCATCATACCGTTATTACCGTATTTTGTTTAAAAACAACTTAACTTTTAAATACAATGTACATGTATGCAGTTGCCCTACATGGTATTGAGCAGAAGGTTCTGTTGTGGCCATTGGTAATGAGAGACCTTGTACAAATGTTCTGATATAAATCTAACTTACACGCTCAATTACTGTTGTGTTTTTCAGTTGTTTAATCTTAGGAAACTGAAAAAAATACATGCATGCAGTATTTCAAACTCATTGCAGCGATAACATAAATTTGTCTAAGTCAGTCTTGCAATCCTTTAAAGTTTTTGTCAGATAATTTGTCCACATGTTTGTATTGATCATTCATTGGGCTGTATGTTGAAACTGAGTAGGTTTTTACAGTTATATTCTTAGGGGTTTTATGGAAGTTGGAGCATCCATGTACAAACGCATGATGCACGTAGTGTAGTGTCTGACCACACTGTTTTATTTCTTTCACCATACCGTACCCTACGTTTACAATAAACAGGCTTTACAACTTTACAGTTTGCTTTAGCAAACCATCCTATCAAAACCCGGCCTCCCCTCTATCCAAACCGAACAAAAAGAACCCACACAATAGTTGCCGCATTCCAGGGTGAGTCCAATAGCTCCATGGTTAGTCAACATTGGTGATC